AGAAGAAATTCGTGACCGTGACGTCATCAGGTGTCGGGTTACGTCACATTATAGATGCATTTTCCCCCATATGTTTTGTACACGTTTTAAAACACTCCACGTTGGCCTCTTGGTAAATCCGATCGACCTCAAACTTGATACATACTTAGATTATCATCCACAGATGGCCCTGGAAGAAATTCGTGACCGTGACATCCTCAGGTGTCAGGTTACGTCACATTAAAGATGCATTTTCCCCATAGGGTTTGTACACGTTTTCATAAAACACTCCACTTTGGCACTTTCATAAATTCGATGGACTTTACACTTGGCACACACTTAGACCATCACCCACAGATGGTCCAAGAACAAATTTGTGATCGTGACGTCATCAGGTGTTGGTTTATGTCACATTAAAGATGCATTTTTCCCCGTAGGGTTTGTACACGTTTTAAAACATTCTACTTTGGCACTTTGGTAAATCCGATCGACATTAGACTTTGTACACACTTAGACTACCACCCACAGATGGTCCTAGAAAAAATTCGTGATCGTGACATCATCAGGTGTAAGGTTACTTTACATTAAAGATGCATTTTCCCCATAGGTTTTGTACACGTTTTTCTTCAAACCATGTACTTTGGCACTGTATCATCTGATTGACTTTTCACTTGGCAGATGACATTCGAAGTGACTTCATCAAGTGTTCATCACGTGCACAGAGTATTTCAAATATCCGAAACAGCTTGTGTTTGTCCACAAACACATTTTTTTTCTTTTTTTTTCTTTTTTTTTTCAGACTTTTTCTCCATAGGTTTAACACACGTTTCTTCAGCCAGTCCACTTTGCCACTTTTTTAAATCCGATCGATTTTAGACTTGGTACATACTTAGACCACCACCCACAGATGGTCCTAGAGGAAATTTGTGACCGTGACGTCATCAGGTGTCGGGTTACGTCACATTATAGATGCATTTTTCCCCATATGTTTTGTACACGTTTTAAAAGACTCCACTTTGGCCTCTTTGTCAATCCGATCGACCTCAGACTTGATACATACTTAGACCACCACCCACAGATGGTTGTAGAAGAAATTCGTGACCGTGACGTCATCAGGTGTCGGGTTACGTCACATTATAGATGCATTTTCCCCCATATGTTTTGTACACGTTTTAAAACACTCCACGTTGGCCTCTTGGTAAATCCGATCGACCTCAAACTTGATACATACTTAGATTATCACCCACAGATGGCCCTAGAAGAAATTCGTGACCGTGACATCCTCAGGTGTCAGGTTACGTCACATTAAAGATGCATTTTCCCCATAGGGTTTGTACACGTTTTCATAAAACACTCCACTTTGGCACTTTCATAAATTTGATGGACTTTACACTTGGCACACACTTAGACCATCACCCACAGATGGTCCTAGAACAAATTTGTGATCGTGACGTCATCAGGTGTTGGTTTACGTCACGTTAAAGATGCATTTTTCCCCGTAGGGTTTGTACACGTTTTAAAACATTCTACTTTGGTAAATCCGATCGACATTAGACTTTGTACACACTTAGACTACCACCCACAGATGGTCCTAGAAAAAATTCGTGATCGTGACATCATCAGGTGTAAGGTTACTTCACATTAAAGATGCATTTTCCCCATAGGTGTTGTACACGTTTTTCTTCAAACCATGTACTTTGGCACTGTATGTCTGATTGACTTTTCACTTGGCAGATGACATTCGAAGTGACTTCATCACATGTTCATCACGTGCACAGAGTATTTCAAATATCCGAAACAGCTTGTGTTTGTCCACAAACACATTTCTAGTTTTCTTTTTCAGTCAATTCGCCCATAGGGTTTGTACACATTTTCCTTCTACCATGCCACTTTGGCACTTTTGTAAATCTGATCGACTTCAGACTTGGTACATACTTAGACAATCATCCAGAGAGGGTCCTAGAAGAAAATTGTCATCATGACATCATCAGGTGTCAAGTTACGTAACTTTAAAGGGGCATTTTTTGTCCATAGGGTTTGTACACGTTCTTTTCTCCATAGGGTTTGTACACGTTCTTTTCTCCATAGGGTTTGTACACGTTCTTTTCTCCATAGGGTTTGTACACGTTGTTTTCTCCATAGGGTTTGTACACGTTCTTTTTTCCATAGGGTTTGTACACGTTCTTTTCTCCATAGGGTTTGTACACGTTCTATTCTTCATAGGGTTGATATTGGGATCTGTTATATTTGATAGGTGAAATCATAGTGACTTTATTTGCTGTCATGTGAGGGCACCCTGACTTTGCATCATTTCCATCCCCATGGCTCCAGATGTATATGCTTACGATTTGGTTGAAACTTTGTATTCACACAAACTTGGATAAGTTATACTGTACACTGTATACCAGAATATAGGTCAAGATGACGTCATGACATCGTTACATATCATCTGAGGTCACATTAAAGGGCGTATGTCTGAGACGTATAGCTATAGAACAATAGTTCCAATTTTGGTGGTGCCTTTTTTTCTGCGATATCTCCATGATTTGATTACATGTCGCGTAATGTGTCGTTAAAATGGTGGATTTCCATCTGATTTGGTTGTTACTTGATATGTACCGAAATCGGGGTGTGGTATAGATTAAAATTCAACTGACATCATAATGTCAACTCGTTGGAAGTGATGTCACATTAAACGGACATTTTTTTTCTGAGGCCAATAATGTCTGAACTATACGTCGGATTGGGTTTTGACCTGCGATAAACATACATGTAAGTAGGCCTACATTGTATACCAGGATGTAAGATGTACAAAAAATTAAGAAATTTGATAATGATGTCGTGAAATGTTCAGCTTTTTTCGCTTTAATTTTGGTTGTATTCTTGTCAGACCTCGCACACAACTGTGGCACTGTTAAAGTTGTTTGCTGCCCTCTAGTGTTTTAAATGATCTACCTATAATGAAACGTTCGAGATTGTCAGGATTATATTTCGAGGGGCAAAATTACATACAATCTGAGGAATCAATGTGTGCAGTTAAAAGGAGACAGTCATGTGACGAATGCAGGGGGCGGGGATAAAAGGATATCATCAGAGAAGGGCAAAACTGGATACCAAGTGATGATTTGGGCAGTCATATACATGTAGGCTGATAACGTTTTAAAAAAAATCAGAGGTGCTTAGTAAACTGTAAATGTAAAGAATACAATATTTACATAGAAGCACCCCCCCCCATATTGCACAACCATGCCCATTGCCTACCATGTGAGAAAAAATCATCCTTGTTTGCCATTCAAGTGTCAATAAAAATGACTTCACACTATTTTTCATTTGTTTACCAGGTAGTTTGCTTTACATAATCACTCTTAGAATCAGAGACATGTGTCCTGAATTACAAATTCTTACACAAGTCAGATGTAACTCGGACACCAAAATTGGACCCTAAATTTATGGAATCACCCACCTACGCTTTGCACGCGCACCCGTTCCCAAACGCAAAGAAAAGAGGACTGTGCACACATTGAACCACGTGGATTTAGGACGTCTGACATAAATCGACTTCACACACTTGTCACACACGGCAAAAACTTGGAATCCCCACACAAAGGTTCTGGGTTCGATAGCTGCCGATGGCCACGTCAATCTTTTTCATTCAAAGACAGAAAAAACACCGAAACAGCTCGGTGTTTGTTTACCTACAAACACAACGTCCGTCTAGTTTATTATTATTATTATTCACAACAGCCAATCACAGAGCCGTATCATTATTAATGCCGTGTAGAACACCCAACAGCCCTTGGTCTACAGACTGTACTGTGTATGTCTAATGTAATACTGCGAGCGGCAGTTACATTTACAACTCAGCATAAATAATCGAGGCGCCCTCTGATTGGCTGTTCTGATCTTCGGATGCGATTTTGTCCCCGCATATTATACTGCCACAGCACAGTCTAGGCGAAAATGCTACGTACGTAAGTACGTTCAATGCAACCATTACCAGTGTTCATTCGTGTGTATGCTTTCGTTTCACGGAACCCACTACGGCAGATTCTTGAACATGTTGAAGGTTTGATACGGTAAAAAAATTAAAATTAATTGAAATAGAAAAAAATCAAAATGGGCGGCCTGGAGCCGGCCTTGACTGATTCGCCGAGGCCAGAAGGCTCCAAGGCCGAGGCCGAGGTCATAAAAATTGGCCTCGAGGCCAGCCTCGAGACCTCGAACACTGATAGGAACCTTATTAATATTTGTCTGGCTTGAAAATATTGACAGATATTGCAAACACTGGCCAAGTTCGCGCAAGGACTATAGTTGACCAATGGTTAACTAACGTTTGCCCGAACTCTGTCTAGTCAACGGTGGTTGACTACGCTAGTCGACTATTTGGAACCAGCCTACTGGGGTTGGTTGCTTCGCTGGTAACCAATAGCCGCGCGCATTCATAATGCTAGCAGAGAGCCAGGATCCAGAAGTTTTGCGATGACATTTTGACCAGTGTTTAACTAGAGACCTGGAGACATTCGCACGTTGCTATCAGTGCGCAGTCGTAAGGTACGTCACAAATCAACCACTAGTCGACTAATGGTCCTTGCCCGAACTTGGCCCATAGTGTTACAGCTTTGAAAACTGGACATATTTTAAACCTTTTTTTCCTTCAGTTTCAACAAAAAATACTCAACAAATCAAAATGATTTTTAGCACATAGTTTGATCATTATAAGGGAAACGAACCCTGAAAGTTGCATGAAGATACGGTCTTCCAAATTATGGGAGAAATTGATGTTCAAAGAATTCGCCATTGAACATCCACATGTCTGTGTGCGTGTTGTTTCATGCAAAATAAAGTATTACGTAACCTTTAGAAATTGGCCCTTGCAACCACATGGCATATAGATATGTACATGTATAGGCCAGGCACATGGTACATGTAATTATGGGGCACAAACTGGATGTTAACTTACATTTCATGCAAGTAATACAGCTACCAATTTTGATGGACATATTTTTTGGAAAATTTGGCAGACCAATACAGAGTATTGCGTTGTACTGGATAACAGCAACGAGAAGCAGCCTGGCTATTGGTATGATGTGCCCTGCACTGAGCAGCATAGATACATCTGCAGCAGAAAAACGGGTAAAACGTAGTTTGTTTTCCACCATTACTGTCATATTTTTTTTTAATTGGCTTAGGTTGCACCATTTTTCTTGTGTACCACCACCAAGGGAAGTAGTGTACTGGTATATCTATCAAATGAATTAAAACATTACCATAGGCCATGCAAATGAAGAGAAACCTGCTTTTCTGCATAGTTGCATAGTTTCTTTTAAATGATCTTAACAGTTTACTACCGGTGTAATATTTCAGTTGACTCAGACATGATGTCTCAAATTGATATGACATAATATTGGATGACAATGTGTACGTAAACTACCTTATTTCTGTTTGTCTTTCCTTTTCCTTTTGTATTCTCTGTTTTTGTGCAGATGATAGCGACAATGACAAACCAATACCTGGGACTCGATGCACTGACGATTTCATTCCGTTTGGCAGTAGTGCATGTTTTTACTTGTACAATAACGCAACCAAAAGTTATGATGATGCACAAGCTGCATGTCGTGCCATCAACCCAGGGCCCCAATACGAAGTGAATCTTGCTACAGTACTGAATGGCTACGAGTCAGCTCTCGTGGAGACTTTGATGTACTCATTTGATGTACCATCTGCTTGGATTGGATTGAAATCAAATAACGTGAGTTTCTTCTTAAACAAGCAGTTTTTTTCATTCTTTGAATTTGAAATTCATAATTTTATGAAATATAATGTTACAGTGAGTAACCAGTCTCAAGGATAGGCCTAACTATACATGTAAGGGACTAAAAAATTGAATAGTCATCCGTGTTCTCCAACAAAGCCTGGTGGCGCCACCAAACTTTACGCAACTGCCGACATTAGATTATAGATTAGTCGTTGCCATCCTTCCAAATCAAGTTGCAGGATGTTAAACTCTACACTCTATCCTGGCAAGTTGCAACCAAAAAAAGGAAGGTTTTCTATAATAAGCCTTTTCGCTATAAAAATTGCGTGTGTGTGCATCATGTTCAATGATGTATACAGTTTTTGAAGGTAGGGCCTAAATAGTTTACCACAGGTGTGTGAATCGTAGCGGGGGAACATCAAAATCAAAGGAAAAGTTCTTGTTCTTAGTGAATGCCAAATTGTGAATTTTTTTTTACCGCACCACAGTTTTAAGGTTTTTGTATGCTCCAACTTTTGAGTGAACAAAAATTTCTATTCCTTTTGAAGATATAAATGCAGAATGCGGATTCAGTTACCGTATCTCTCTTAGACTATTGTGCATTCATCTGCTTTGTTTATCTCCCGAGAATAAATTATTCATTTTGATATGCACGCACGCAGTTGAATAGCGAAAAGGCTCATCTGAAAGTGTGGACAAAATCTCATTCGTGCAAAATAATTAACCTCGTTTGAAAAAAAAAGTCAAGCAAGCAATGAATGTTGGCAGTTAGTATGCATGCACGTTACTTGCTGCAGTCAAGCAAGCGATGAATGTGAAAGAGGTGGCAGTCGGTTGTACATCCCGGCTCAGCATGCCGCGGGAATCGGCACTACTAATGTACGGACCCGGGTACAGTGCTGTTTTGAGATTTGGATTTCGCGGGCCGTGGGGTACAGGTACAAAGTACCCATCGTTGCATGAAAATGAATTAATCCTTTGCTTCGGCTCTTTCTGATCGGTGCACATGGTGAAAAATGAAAAGTCGCGCAGCTGCGCATAAACACGTGGGCTGCTATAGGCCCCCTATATGTAACTGCTAGATAATAATGCAGTCGACTCGATCCAGACCGTGACCGTGACCGTCCGTGACTTGTTCGAATTAGAGCCGGGTAAATTTGTACCCGGGTCCATCAGAGCCAATTCCAGCACTCGACGGGTTCCACCCTACATAAGTACATATGGTGTTCATTGAAAGGAGGGTACCAGTGTGTACATGCAAACCGTGTGCATATATGTACATGTACTTAACTACTTGTGCTTTGCAGTGAATCAGTCTATTCTTGGCGGCATGGAGATCGTCCTGGTAAAAAAAACATACGCAAGGAACAAGCTTGCTTTTAATAACACATTAAACTTAGTTTCACATGAAAAAAACCACACATTCGAAACCAAGTACGTAGTGGAATAACATGTTTTGCTTGCCGAATTAATCCACCGAGCACGGACCTCACAAGGTGACACCGTTATTCTTTACATGTAATTTCAACAGCTTATGTTTTTCATTGAATTTCTGGGAGCCGGTTCTGACTCGGAAACGGTTCTTTTTTGAGAACCGGAACTGGCTCCAGAAAGATTGGAACCGCACAAGCCTAGTATGTGGAGCCTGTAGGCCAGATCGTTCACAATATACCAGGATATTATGAAGATTTGGCAGGATTGGTATGGACCAGCCATTAGAACTTGGGACTTGATGCAGCTTGAAAGTTTAAAGTTCAAAGAGTGTGCCACTGGATTCTTGCACACCAGAGGATCACATGTCTAGCAAACACGCTTTGAGTTAATTAAAGTTGACCATGTTTGAGTCTACTTTCTTTGAATGTCTAGAATGAATTTGGATGGGAGATTGACTACCCTATAGTCTATACTAATTGGGGAACGGATGAACCCAGTGGTCAAACTGGTGAAGGATGTGTGCGTGCTAGGATCGATGGGAACAATTGGGACGACACAACCTGTGCTGACACAGCAGCATACATTTGCCGTTTCGATAAACTAGGTAAGAAAAAAAACCTCTTAACGTTCAGAATAAACAATGTTGGTGCTTGTAGAATGCTTGTGACCTGATGATCTGGAAAAAAGTGATGACAAAGATCACAAAATGAGTTACATACATGTGTGGGCCTACAGTAAGAGACCAAAATTATATTTTCAAATATTGCTTTAGCTACAGGCTCACATAGCCATAGCTTGATTTTTTTTATTTGGCATGGTTTATAAACAGTGTTTACTCGGTGATGTTCCAAGTGATTATGAGAAAAAATTCATGAAAACTACATGTACTCAGGTGGAATCCACGACCTCCTGTTTACTAGTGCAGAAGTCTGGTAGTGTGTAATGCAACAAAATTCTTCATAAGATGGAATTTGCATCAGGGTGATGTAAATTACATATTTTTTTCCAATAATGTGAATATTTTCTCATAATCACTCGGGACATTACTGAGTATGCAGTCTTTATAAAATATGGTGGTAAAGGACGACAAAGCCCCCAATATTGAATTCATATAGGTTTTAATAGAATATACATGTAATGGCAGGGATAAAGGAAACAGCTGGGATCTGTAAAAAGAAAAAGAAAAAAAAAGAAGAGTGGTATGGCTCGCAAAAAAGAAGAAGTGAAATAGAAAAACACAAAACCAATTAACTGTATGTGCACTTTTTTGTATTTATCAGAAGGTTTTTAACATTGACTTAAGTTTACAATCAGGGGCCAATTTTATGTAGCGTTTTGTACCAGCCAAAGTGTACATTGTGAATGTTCTCAGCTTCTATCTGCTAATTAGCAATATTTTCTGCTTTGATAGCTACTTGTGTAAAAATTGATCCAGATATTCTTTTACTAATTCCTGATAGCAACAGTCTCCAAGTCCCCATTTCAATGGCAACTCTGAACTATGCAATTATTTGTCATTCTTTCAGCTATGACGTACCCAACTCCTGACCCAGATACAGTGATTTTACCCTGCCCCAATAGTGACTGGATCTCCCAAGGTGAAAACTGCTACTACTTCTCTGACAGAAAGACAGACTGGGGAGAGGCCAATTACAGGTAAGGCCAGGGGAGGAACAGTGACACAGAAATTTAGTTTTATTTGTTTGATTGACTTCAATGCAATTGCAACATTCCCCTCGGCCAGTAGACTTCTGGCCTCTGATATGCAGGGAATTCCTTTATTGAACTGGAATGAGAAAAGACATTCAACCGTAGACTCTTATATAAGCACGCAGCACCACTCCTTTTTTCACTTTCAGGCTTATTACGGTATCCAATCCTGTTCGGTATGGCGATATATATGAAAAACCGCAAACCACAAATTCACTGTTACCGCATTGTACCGCGAGGTCTTACCTATTCAGGGGCAGAACCAGAGATATGGTCCATTGAACACAAACACTCAAAAATCAATTTGTGCCACTTTCTACATTATTAGGCCTAATAGTAATAATGACAAGACAAGACATGGCACCTGTTCAAATCCGACTTCAATTGAGGTTCGCAATTCTAGAAGATATGTTTTTATTATGATGATTTGGAGAGTGTGTTACAAATAATGAAAAGAACATTATAATATGAATAACAAAAGTGTTTCTTCACCTATTCATTATTAATTGTTTTTCTGCACGATCATACATGTGTATAATAATGGCAATGCTGCTGTTTATAGTATCAACTTACGGAAAGTGGCACAAATTGATTTTTGAGAGTTTGTGTTCAACAGATCATATCTCTGGTTCGGCAAAAGCAAAATTGATAAACAAATAGCATTTGAAAGCTGAATATTCCAGGTTTAACATATAAGCATCATGAAACATTTTTCAATATTCCAAGGACACAGCTAGGCCCATTTCTGCTTGCAGCATTTTTTTAGGGAACAGGCTGTGCATGCCACAGATGTCTGCCCGCTGATGCATCCACAGACTATTTACACAATGGTCCGTGATGTAACACAGCCTTGCAAACTAGGCTATGTAATGAAGACTTGTTTGCACTGAATGATGGCAAGGCCTGAGCTTGTAATTTTTGAGCTTGTAATTTTTGAGCTGGAATATCATCCTCATTTTTGACCTATCTGTTTTGGAAAATAATTGCAGTCCAAACCATGGATGGACTGGTAGATGAAAGCAATGTCTGCAAACTTATGGTTCATTGCAGCCACTTAGGGTTTATATTTCTTCTTTGTACAAAGATGCATGCGGATGTATGACGGTGCCATGCTTGCGAGCATCACTTCATCAGCTGACAACGAATTCATTTATACAACAATGCAAGCCAAACACCAAAAAGAACTTTATGTTTGGATTGGACTGACACGTGTACAGACTGGCAATGATAATTGGGGTAAGTGGTAACAAGCCTTGTTCATATTTAGCATTGACTGCTGTCTGTGGAGATACAACTAAATCAACTTGGAGTCAGTTATGGCTCTGTCCTGCTCAATTAACTCCTATACAGTTACAAACTGAGGTGGGACCTAAATTTGAACACAGATCTATAATGACCGTATATGAAGAGTGTCCTACACAAACATGTTGAGCTGTCACCAGCGATCGCAAAATTAAAGTGCCATCAAATTGTCATGCATGGAATTCATTATAACATTGAAACGTTCCTGTTCCCTTACAATAGTGCCATTGAAACTGGGGTATTCCAATTTAAACAGAATTGTTCTAATTGAACAAAAGCCAGGCTGCACGTTTACTCCTTCAAACGTAAATCCTTACAATTTCTTGGAAGGAATTTGAATTGTGGGTTCTACGTGGGCAAATGTTTAATGGCAAATTCTGAATTGTTTTTAAATTTAAAATAATTAAGACTACATGTAGGAGGGTAAATGGCTGAAGTATGCAATTTCATCAGTTTCTCTTTTCCAGATGAGAAAAGTACTGTGCTTACATAAAAATCTATTCACAGCTGCACTCTTGTACTAAAGAAAGGGACACCTATAAGTGGTGCATTTGCATTTAAGCAAATGATGCAATGCACAGTGGTGCATTTGCATTTAAGCAAATGATGCAATTAGTGCACAAGCTTTCTGTGTCATTTCTGGAAGTCATTTTTGATTACAGTGCATTGTCTCTGTTATGGATATATATGTCTTCAAAGTGCTCCATGCATTTCTCTGTTTTGAGTGAACATGCATTGTATTGTCTGTCTTATTTTCTCAGGCACATTTGAGTGGATTGATCAGGAAGAGTTGAATTACGCCCTCTGGAGTGCAGACCAGCCTGACGGAAATGATCCAAATGCAGCTCTGTTGGAGTCTTGTGTTGCCATGTCCATTACCACTGCAGGTGCAGGGGCCTGGCTGGACGAAATTTGCCAGTTCAGTGCCCTCTACTCTGTTTGCAAACTGCCCAAACGTGAGCATATCACAGTCAATATTCTGAACTGCGACCAACATGAAACCATTTACATATTCTCTCTGCATCACTTTGACTCAAATTTTAGATTTAAAATTTTAAATTTACAAATCATATACTCCTTTACGGCAACAGTAAATAAAATACAAGTGTGACAAGTGGTATAGGCTCTGACAGAGGTGGTAAAAGAATGCTGCTTTCCAAATACCTCACTGACCACCATGACCACTGGTTGAAATGAAGACAATGGTAAATTCCAGCATTCCTCCTTTCCATGCAACAATTTCAGGAGGGGGTCCTGATTGTGTAGCCACCCATTTTCAGGTCTTTAAATTTCTGAGATAATTTGTTTGACGATCTTAAAATGTTTGTGAAACGTTCATATTCACATCAAATCATTTTCCACTCTAGATGCTCATTTATTCTTTTAATTATTGGATCTGTTTTTGTTTTTGCGTTTCAGAGAACTCTTATCAGGCACGGAGTAAGTCACATAGATTTTTATATTTCTATAATATACATGTATCTATTTTTTCCATAAGGAACATTTTTGTTGACATTTTGAGACCTTTATATGTGTAGAACAATTGTGACTGTTTTTTTATCTGATAACAGAATTGATATTTATTTTAATGCTTGTAGTTATTCATGTACTTGCTTTAGATCAGTTAGATGTTATTTACACATGATAAAATAAAATGTGGTTGCAAACTTACCAATTTATTAAGTTTTTATGGTATGTTAAAACAATATTTGAGCCAGTTTTTCCTCTAAAGAATAGCTGAGATTATACACATAAAAGATCAATTGATGCAAGCTCTCATTTTCAAAATTTGATTTTAAGTCTTAGCACTATTCCAAGAAATCAAAATTTCACGAAATACGGCCAAACCTTTATGGAGGTGTGCTGAGAAAGACATGCATGATGATGAACCACAAATCAAGAGATGAATCTCAGGACTTGGTGTATTGTTGATGACTGGGTTTAAAACTTTGCCTATATTGGAATAACTGAATACAGTTTGTGGCGGGAATGTTGAAGAGTTAAAAGTTGGAGATCAGTGCTACTTTCCAAGTACTCTTTTGGGACCTACACAGTCTGACAAAACCTGGACTGAAGCAGAGAATACATGTCGCGAATATCGTGGCCACCTGACGACTGCCAAGGATCTGGATGAGCAAAACTTGGTGCGGACATTGGTAAGTAATCCATCAGATATTATTCTATGCTGATTGTATAGAACTGCTTAACAATCATAGTGCATCCAACTGAAAGATATATAGTATTATACGACACCTGAATAAATCCCCGTCATCTGATTGGTGGATTTTTTATCACATTTCATTGAATTATTCGTCCCAACACACGGTGCACGCACGGCGCGCAGTGCAATGGAAGTTCTATTGCACGGTGAATAGAACTCCCATTGCACGGTGTCACTGCTGCTGGTGGTGGCACTGTTTTAAATCGAGATTGAACATGATGGTTCTCAACCTGTTGAACAGTTTGCATAAATTAAATATGATGAACTTGTCGAAATTTTTAACAGTTTTTAATCTGACTAAATGGCTATTAAAAGTCAACCAATCAGATGACCAGGATTTATTCAGGTGTTATATGAAACAAATAATGAATGTTTCATTCATGACAGCTGAAATGTTCAATTCCATGGAACATTTCACCTGTCACTTCATGAAATAATTCTTACCATTGCACTCACAAATATTCATTATTTAACCTTATGCATGGTTCAGAACACTTTGTGGGGGTGCCTTGTGATATCTACCTTTGTGTCACAAGTGTGGATCGATTTGCTCCTAAAGTTTGCATGCTCAATGCATTGTTTATTTCTAATTAATATAAGTTAAGGATGTGTGTGTTTTCACCATTTGCTTGCGCTGATCATACCCGACTCACCCAAGAAGCTGATGACAGGCGGGCACGCTCTTAAGATAGTGGATGACGTGGGCGCCCCTCCCCCCCCCCCCCAAAAAAAAAAACTAAATGAGTGAGAGGTGGGTACCTGCTAAGTGATCAGGAGGGTGCATGCTTAGCTATGCAGGCGACTTGCCTGCGTAGTGGGTGACAGGGGGACGTTTGCCCGCAAAGTGGCTGCTTCCCCCACAAAGCAGACAAGAGGTTGTGAAGCCGCCTCCCCTGAGAAACTTGCAAGACTATCAACTGACAGGTGAATTTACTTAAAACATTCTTTGTTCTTCAAGAAATATTTACGAACCCAAACTCTATTGTTGAATCCAACAGATATTTTGTTCATGTTTAGGTAAAATGATTTTATGCTTTTTTCTGTTTATAGTCATTCGGTTTTGCAAGGAGTTACTGGCTTGGTTTGCGGGATGAAGGCGCAGGCTTTGGGTGAGTGATATGTATTGACATAAAGAACAGCAGCAGCTATAGGACATTCCAAAAATGTTCTCAAAGAACAAACCCTGAGTACAATCCCTGGCATGAAACTCTTTCGAAATTATTTCACCGTTTCGCCTGTCAAGCACAAGTCAGTTTACTACTTTACATTATCTTCATTTTATTTTATGTGAAAATGAACCAGAACAATAATGACATAGCAATGAAAAAAAAATCAAATTAACAAACGTAATTAAATATAGTCCATCTTTGATTAATTGAAAATTATATCAATAGTTTTTGTTCTAATGCTTGCTGGCCTAGAGGCATGTGCTATACAGAGTCAAACAGAAAGTGATCGATTTAGAAAAAAGACATTTAAAATATGTGGCTCACTCAGTTTACTATAAAATAACATAGGAATAAAGTACATGTTCTTAACTATACTGGTAGTAACAGTGAACTGTTTACGTAATTTGCATACGTGTACCGGTACGCTTTAATCAGAAGATATTTGTATTTTAATGGAAATACCACAACATTCAGCTGTCCCCACTGATCATTTACTATTGTTATTTTTGTTGTTGTTGTTAATTTATTTATTTATTTCTGGAAGTGAAACCAAGGATTCCCTGAAAGTGGCCTAGGCACTGTATGTGTATTATATGTACCTCCACACGGGCCACTGACCCTCTTTTCAATAAGCCATTGCGAGTAACCTATACCCTTTGGGACATTTGAGGGACATTTGAAAAACATCTGGTACACAGACTTGCTCAGAATGCTTGGTACATTTTAACTTTGAATTCTCCAGACCAAAGACACTGTTGCTAATCACATGATTCGGGGCAAGCTCTTGCATAGTTACGTAAGAGATGCTCGGCACCAATACATCGTTCACAATGGGTGAGAAATGGCACAAAGACACCAGACCATGCCGGAGCTGGGGGTTGCTAGCATAAGGCTTGCCCCGAATCACGTGATATAGTAACAGTCTCTTTGATTGGGAGAATGCAAACTTAAAACGTGCAAAGCATTGGATTGAGTCAGCGTTCCATATTTTATTCAAATTTAAATCGCAAATGGCTTATTCTTGGATAACAGACTTGCAACCAGCCTGTTCATCCTAAAGCTAAACTTTGTCTTTGTAGTAGCAGTCAAGAGTCTGTCAAACTCTCTCATTGTCACTGATGAGTGGGCACTTGTGCTCCCAGCCCTTTAATAATAATAAAAATGATAATAATACTAATACTGATTTAAAATTTATAATGCGCCTTTTGCATGAAAATGATCAAAAGCGTTTTAGAGAATCTATACATGTAACTACTTTATAATAAAAAAAAAAAAGGATTATGGTAAAAAAATCATGTCACCTCGCCATTGCCCAAACCGAAGTATGGGGACACATCTGTCTCGCCAACAGGGAGATTATATTACGTAAGCCTAACCCTACTGACATCGGTGATGTCTCGATCTTCCCCAGAGACAGACATCTCTAACCCTACCTACGAATTAAGCATCTGTACTTACCCGGCACGATGACGCTAGAAATACAAACTAAGATGCATAAAACCCTGAAAAATACCTTCATTTACAAATGCTGCAATAAAGAGAAAGGTTTGATTTTTACATTTAAAAGAAGCAAGTTTGTGTTTACTACGTACATGTTTGTGCCAAGGCCCTGTCACCGAGTGAGGGTAACATTTTGCCGCTAGGACAATCCAAAAATGGTCCGTTGTTCCCTGACTGGAGACGGTATCTAGATTTTTTCGTAACAGTAACAAGATCCTGAAAGTATCTTGGAAAAAGACAGTGAATGGCTTTAAATATTAATATAATGATATTAAAATTAATCCTGTATAAAACCGGTAACCATTGCAGTTGACGTAATATTGGTGTTATGTGTTCAAACCTGTATGTATTGGCAATGGTATTGGTAATACCATTCAATGCCATTCAAACAGATGTACACGTGTGTCCCAATGAACTGTCAAAAGGTACTCCTTAATATATGCCTCCTCATCACCACTCAAGCATGGAACACAAACCTGTCAGTGTTTTAGGAACAGATCTGATCTTTACTTTCAATTAAACTTAGCCAAGAGTTTTGACATGTCAGGAAAATTGGGCCATGTCCAAATCAGGTGAGTTGTGGCAAAAACAATGTCAGACTGGGACATCGCTTTAAATTTTTATTTCCAACATTGTTCTATTTTTTTTTTTACTTCACAAAGCTGGAGTGACGGCACTGGGTTTAACATCAGTACAGACTACTCGGCATTCCCTAATGGTCAACTTCCAGACAACCTGGCCGGTGAAGAAGATTGTACAGAACTGCGTATATGGCAGAGTAAGCATAGACCCTTTGCTCTGTGACTCCTTACCAAGGGCATTTTTTTGTCATATAAATTCAGTGAAGATGATTTTTCATATTGTTTTTTTTATGTTCATGATTTTGCTTGGAATTTCATTAATATGAAAACACAAAGTTTTATTAGCCTGGCCTCAGGAAGGAATTATGTTTGCATTTTAAGAGACTGTAGCTGTTGATTACTCACATGAAAGAGAACAGTGGGATCTGAAGATCTGACTGTATTCTACAGAAGAGGGAATGAATGTGTTTGGCACTGCATGTTAACAATGAAAATCATCACAAACTTAATTGCTTTCAGGAACATTAAATGTATGTACATGTAGTTTATCATCAAACCAATTGATCTCACTTTAAGTCCTAACCGTCTAAAGTTTCTGGTGATACTATTTTTGAGATTACATCCTCAAAATTTAGTTTCCCTACTTTATGTCAATCCAGGATTGTATTCTACTGGTTTTTTTTCTGTGACTGAAGTGTAACCCCCCCCCCCTTCCCCCCGTATGTGATGTCGCAAACTTCAATGTCTTTTCAATGCCTATTCAATGCAATAATTTAGATTCAGCATGCCCTGGTGAGAGTGGCACAAGTAAAATTAACAACTTTCCCTTAATTGACTGTGTTTCTGGATCTAGGGACCCAATAGAAATGGGGTAAAAACGAGTGGATTGAAAAATAGTCAAGTTATAGTGTAATATATAATTTCATTGAAAAAAACCTTAAACAATTTTAACCATTCGTTTTCTGAATCTTGCACCTTTTTTGACACACCTTGTACATTCACAGAGGCCCCTTCCAAAGACAACAGCATTGTGCAATGCTTTTGTTACAAAGCAACTACCCCATGCCGGATTATCTGAGCAATAGCTGGCACAGTGCTTTTACAATCGAATGGGGTCATGAGTGTGCAGTTATAGTCAGCTTGCACTGATTAATGTAGTCTTTCCATGGTTCGCAACCCTGAATTGCTTCTAGTGGTAAAATGCCAGTGACTGCTGTTGATCACAATCAACACATGTTTTGGGTTTGTTTTGTTTACAGACGGAGAGTGGGGAAGAAGTGCTTGTGGGAATTTACTCAAGTTTGTCTGCCAACGAGAGGAGACCACAACTACACCATTTCCGCCTTTACCAGGCTATCCAGACTCTGGCGAGTGCCCCAAGGATTACTTCAGGCTGGACAACATGTGCTTCAACTTGAGAGGCACAGATGAAAGTCAACGTGTGGGCTGGATCACTGCCAGAGATGATTGTAAGACGCCTTCAGTTGCAGGGACAACCCTTGCCACTATTAGCAACCCTGGACAGCAAGGTAAAGTCCACATAAAAAAAACTACTGAGTGACAACTGAGTATTTACTGGGTGTTTGCTGATGAACAAGTCACCAGGGTTGATGTAAACTTGTGAAAGTGACTATTATACTACATGTATAAAGCACAAAAGGTGTACAGTTGTGCGTGTTTACAATGTAAATCGAAGACACACACGTGCAACATCATCGATGAATTGAGGACAGGAACCAAATTGAGGTTGCAAAAAAGTTATAAAAGTATAAACAAAGGAAAAGGGAAGATGAACAAAAGGACACCTTGATTTACACCGTAAACAACCTGCATGTATGTGTATGTGAGTATGTAAACACAGGCTATTATTGAGTAGGGACAAAAGGGTCAGGGCACAAACAAAGGGTCCACAATTGACCGATAGTCCACGATTGAATTAGTGTACATTACCAATGAGAGCCGTTGCTAGAAAGTTTTAGTACAAACAAAGGAATGAGGATTAGGGACAATTGGGGGTCCATGATTGCCGTTGTTTACAAAGATGCGTGTTTTTGTGTGTGTATGTACAGGGTTCCTTATCAGGTATAAAACACAATAGAACAGTAGATCCTATAAGGAAGTCTTTAGATCTTCCCCACAAGGGAAATGCTATGGAGTTTGAGATTTCAGTAGGAACAAAGAAAAACACAAGAAGGGCAACAAAAGTCTTCCTCATACATGTAAGTATGCGTTTGTAAGGCTGTGTGTCTCCATGAATTGTTGATGAGTTCATCTTTAGTGAGTTCATTACCCAGTAAGTGAGATATCATGAACCCACAAAGCCGGCATTTGCCCACGCATGATGACGTCATCAATGGTATGTGACGTCACCTTAACATGCTTAAAGGTCTATATTTAAAAAAAAAAATTATATCTAGAGAACTGTAAGTCCAGTTGGTTTGGATCTTGGTATGTAAACAGGGCCGTGTTACAGACAAAAATTGCAGTGACGTCATTTTGATGTCATGAGTAATGACATCAATATCGGGAAAACTACTAGAACAGCTTAATAGTCATGGAGTAAACTCATAAGAAATAAACATATACCAGTATGCGGAAAAGCCCTATGTTCTGTTCCTTGGACAGACTTACATTGTAAATCTAGTCTTTTTTTTTCTATGGGGTTTGTACACGTTTTTCTTCCACCAGTATACTTTGGCACTTTCGACTTCAGACTTGGCACATACTTAGAGTTAGCCCTGATGGTCTCTGAAGATATTTGTCCATGACATTATCAGGTGTCAAGTTTCACATTAAATGTGAATTTTGCAAAGCCTTATACATCTTCTGAAGTACAAGTCAGATTGGGTCAAAAATGTGTTGGTATGTAGACAGGGACGTATTATAGATGAAAATTCAAGTAACTTTGTGATGATGTCATCACAAGTCATGTGACGTCACATTAATCCTCCTATGCAAACATACATTTTGTGCCAAGTCCTTTCAGTCAAAATCAAACAAGTGACTGTTTTCAACAGTTTAGAATTCCCAGCCTGCATAAAGCAGGATTGACTGGCTGTGACTGTTTATGTAACTTGATACAGCTATGTTTTGACTCTAGGTGAGTGATAAAACAGCTGTTACCACAACTTGCCTGCTTTGTCTGTTAACCCAGTTTGACTAGTCACAGTGCTTGATTGACATATGATCTGACTGCTGGTGACTATCCTTTTTAAAAGTATAGCAGGGGAGGTGGAAGTGAGTTGTGACTGTTTGAATAGCAAGTGGGTTAAAGGGGCATTATTCTATTGGTTGTAACATAATATGTACCTATACCGGGATGTGTTGTGTATGAAAATTGAAGCGACGTCGTCATGACGTCATCACATGTCATTGTGAAGTTACCGTAGGTACCGTACTTAGACTGGGATGTTACAGATGAAAATTATAGTGACATCATGATGACATCATTACATGTTACATTTGAAGGGGCATTTTCAAATCTACCGGTATGTCATACAAGTCAAATGTGAAATTTGTAGTGATGTCATCATGTCGTCATCACATGTCACACAGTCATTTCAAACAGCCAAAACAGCTGGTGTTTGTCATGTTTCATAGTTCTTTTCTTTCCTTCTTTGTAACAGACGCCTTGAGTGGCCCCTTGTTGGCAAATTCCGCCAAACCCATACAAATCAATTTCACAGACTACTTGTGTTTTAAATTTTGTTTGTATTTGCATCAGCTCTGTTGACGGCCATAATTAAGGGAGTAGGTGCAGACATGTGGATTGGCTTGAATGGTATAGGCATCCACGATCAATATCATTGGACTGATACAACACGATTGGACTATACGAGCTGGGCACCAGGCCAACCTGACAATGCTTTGCCAATTACTGATCCGGTAGGTCATACACGTACATGGCACCAGTCTAGAATTATTTAACTTTTTTTTTTTTGACACGTAGTATCTTCTCTAGGGCTGTAAATATCTGTCTGCCAAGTTTTGTGCATTGGACCATTTGGTCACAATCGTGTCAAAAATTGGGTCTAAGCCACCTGACTATATAGACCTTTTTGGCTTCCTCATGGTTGGCATTTTTTGCTAACCAACTGACCAAGGGGTTGACAAATTGTGGAAGATCAACTTTGTAAAAATAAAGAAACATCAAGTTGCTGACGATCAACTCTTCTATCGGGAGTTTACGTGGTGTCACTGCAAAGTTCAAACCTTTCCCTAGGATTGATCGTTCTTCTGGTTTTATCTATGATATGTATGCACTTGATGCCATGTGTGACCGTCTAAAGTCAAACTCTGGTCATCACCAACCTGGGTCCTGGCTTCCTGCTGTGCATTATGATGTGTGCAGCTATTGGTAACCTGTGGTACATTATACAATTGTTGCCTGTTGTGAAGGGGTCAATGGTGTTTTGTACACCCGAGGGTGCAAATACATTTGCACCCGAGGGTGTACAAAACCCATGCATCCCCAATCACGGCAGGCAACAATTGTTTTGTTATACCATGGTAATAGATTCCAAGCGTCTGAAATTGTGGGTTTCCTGCAGTTGCCATGCAGTAACAGCAGAAGTATTATTTTGAAAAGATCTGCGATTACTGCACTGTGAATATTCGCACAGAATTTTGTTTTTCATTGCACAGGAACACAAATTAAATTAACTTTTTTCAGAATAGACCAATCCATTAATCCCTGCCCTGTTGCAAACCAATCATAGCTGCGACCGTGGATATGCATCCAACCGACATAATGCCTACGCGTCCATCCGACATTGCGTACGCGCGTGTACGTGTTGTCTGAAGCTTCTTACCAGGGCTATTTCTATTATACAAGGCAATGGAAACAACACTTTAAACAGTGGGGACATGTAAGGTAATGTACCCTGTGGGGTACATCACTCATGTACGAGGGGGTATACGCCCCTGACACAGTACATGCTTATTTGTGGCTCATCACGTGCTCGGTTCTCTACCAATAAAAAAAATCACCATCTATTACCGTAGTATAACAATTCCAAATGGTCGACTAGATAGTAGTCGGCCATCCTGCATTCAAGATAAAGTTAACCATATTCCTTGCCCGAGCTTGTTTATACCTTAAATGTATGCCAATGTGAGAGCCCATAAAAAAATGGCACTCAATGTTTACAAACAAAACAAAGCTCTATAAATAAGGTGAATGTACTCTTATCATTGACAGAACTCTGCTAGTTGTGTGGCGATGATGAATGACCCCAATGACCCTGGTCTGTGGAATGATGCCATGTGTACTACCCCACGAGCCTACCTCTGTCAGTCACCATTAGGTAGTAGTAATTTCTGTTCTCTTTTGTCCCTCATGTTCTCATGTGTCCCTCATGTCACTTAAAGTTACTCCCTGAACTTGCCTTACACCATTCCACCATTGAGTATATTTGTTTCTGTTCTATGTTGTGTACACACGGTCTCTCAATTGCCTGCATGTGTAGGGGAGAGGGGGGGTGTTGAATGACAAATCAAGTCCAGTTTTTTCATGCAGACCCTTTGTTTTACTTCCAATCTTTTTAGTGTCATCTGGTGGTGATCCTCCTCCCCTACCAGGAAACCCATGTGCAGACACCAAGTACTCCAACTACTTTGACACATGTTTCCTTATGGAGAGCACTAACACACGCTCGTTTGATGCGGCCAAAACAGTACGTACACAACAAAAACATCAACAACTGGTCAAGCGTGCATACTCTGTTAGGAGCATGTTCATAATTATCATGGAACCAAGTGCAATGTAATGTTTTCAGTAGATCACCAAAAGTAGTTCCGTGCTTGCTGGAAACCCTAATAAACTGAATCAATTAGCATGTGTTTCAAGCTGCATAAATAAAGGAGTAGACAGAAACAGCACTGAAGTTTGTCTGAATACTTCTTAAGATTGTGGGTTTAAGTCCAGCCTGTGCGGTTATAGGTGCTAATAGTCAAGACACTTTGTTACTTTTCACTACACCGCCTGGAAGGGTCTATGTTTTGTTGTTGAATATCTTTGTTGGATTGATTTCAAGTTTGTCAGCTGGAAATGAGCCCAGCAATCTCAGTGAAAATGATTAGACCTGATTGTCAGAACGAAGGCTTTGTTTGAACATTAAAGAGATTATTTAACCGTTCTCATGTTCAAGATTGGTTAAATGTTCACACAGCCTTACCAGATAGGGTTTGTTTTGATTTGATATCATTTGACCTCAAGAATGTTTTGTCTTGAATAGGATTGCGAGAATAGGGATGGTAACTTGCTGTCAGTGAATGACCAATACGCGGGGGCGCTATTCACGTATCTCCTGTACCAAGCTGGTACTGATGCTTCAGATGATGAAGCCTGGTTGGGATTGAGGCGTAATTCTGTAAGTACCTTTAATTTATGGTGGAAGATCTAGAGTGGGACAGTGGGTTAGAGTAAATTGGCTTGTACGTTTGCTGCAGGGAATGTACATCATACAGCAAATATCACAAAATCTGATGACAATGTACATGATATTCCCTTCAGCAAGTTTGAGTGTGAAGTTACCTCTTTTGAATTTATTCACTGCAGAATATAATGAGAAACATACTCTTTGTATACGTTGTATAGTCTTAGTAGGTTTCTGTTTGGAAATATTCCTGAAAATCCTCACAAAACATTTGGACTTTTAAATTTAGTACAAATATACATAATACACACAGCAATATGCATGCATGCATGCACAAAAATGTTACATCTTCCTTTGAGTTTGAATAAGTTTGGATTGATTAATTTCATTCTCTACTTTTTAATGGAAAGTTAACTGGAGTATTTGAGTGGGTTGACAAGTGGCCGCTGCAGTTCACCAGATGGGGTCCCAATGAACCAAACAACAACAATGGAGATTGTGTGGCACTAACTCGTGATGGCTTCTGGGCTGTCCGCCAATGCGACGCTAAAAAGTTCTACTTCTGCAAATATCCCTGTAAGTTGGATAACAGACACAAAGCCAATTCTTTAATTCTTTAGTCTCAGTCAGGACAGGCTCCATAATGTCCATCTGCATTGTTTGCAATTGAGGCCTTCATTAGCCTTGGTCAAGACATTTGTCACTAGTCGTCGGCACAGTAACCAGCGACCAAATATCCCTGCCACTCACTCGCTCGCTAGCTTCTAGTGTCGGTGCAAAATACAGAAAGAACATTGACCTCATGCTAATCAACTGGACCTGATTGAACAAAATAAAGTTGTGTTTCTTTATGTTTGCGCTAGATTTCTAGCACACAACCTCGTACACGAATACAGATAAGTGTAGGCGGGGCCAGTGGAGTGTCCAATCACACCTTGGTTAATCTCAATGTCATTAAATTATTATGCAGCTAATTTGCAACATTAAGTTGATGAAGGGTGGCAGAGATTCAGCGTCATTTGTCATCCGAATGTTTGTCGTGTTGCTTGAATTCTGTAGTGGATAAATTATTCCTTGAAATATGCTCAACCCGAGGAGCGGAAGGCCTTAGAATATATTTTCAAACGTCACAACGTTTTTGTGAATTTGCTTACAGCTTTTTGGAGAAATCCACCATTTTTTCAGCCATGCGCAAGGCACAGAGCCATAGCATGCAATCTCTACCCACCAATCAACCAATAAGAACAAGTCTTTTAAAGGTCGGCTTAGGTTATTAACATAATGAGCTTCACCCCCAAAACCTCACGCTTATGGTTGGACCAAGGCGTTTTTCTGGGTCCAGTTGATTTGCATATAAATAGGGCTGCATGAGTTCGCTGTTCGCTCTGTATTTTTGCACTGCACACATGTACACATACACCCACATTTCAACTGCATTAGCGAGTTAAAAGGCAGTAAAATAATTTTTGGCCGACGGTTACCGTGCGAATAGCTCATAACGAATATCTTGACCAAGGCTAGGCCTTTATGGGCTTGGTAGGCTAATATCTACCATTTTCTAGGCTCATTCTCCCTGCTGTGACAAGGTTTCAGGCTGGCTTTGTTTTTCTTATTGTAGATAATTTACTTGCTGCAAAAATATGTGTGTGCTTGTCATGTAAACCTGAAATGTCCTGAAAAAAACCTGAAATTGGCAAGAGTCCACTAAATATCCAAATCCCTGTAATAAGCCAAGTCTTCCACTTCTGTTTCTTCAATCAGCTACTCCGCCAGATGTTCCAGGGCTGAAGGGAGGGATCTGTTCTCCTGACTACGTAGAATTCCCAGGATCGGATGACTGCTACTTGTTTGATACAACGGCCACAAAGATACAGCAACAAGCTGGAGATCTAACATGTGCCATTAATCACGACGGAGGCATATTGCCCAGCATTCACAGCAAAGTAGAGGAAGATTTTGTCAAGGCTGAAGCCAAAAAAGTCTTTGGGGAAAACGCCCAAATTTGGCTGGGTGTAACTCGCAATGCAGGTGAGGATATGCTGGGGTCTTAGGCTTAGTCCATTTGGATATTTGATTATTTGGTTAAATGTGAACATTGAAATGCCCATTAGATCACGAAGCCTCATGGAAAATATTTGCTTTGTAAAAACAGGTTCATAGCAAAATTGTCTTGCAGTAAATGTCGCTTGTGACCATTTTTCTGCTGTTTTCAGCTCCTGACGTTTCGTTGAACAATTCAGCAATTGATCAGTTAGTATTGAAGCTTACTCTTTTCTTCCTTCAGATGACTTCAATACCTGGTTTGATGAGAGTCTGATGGACTACGTGAACTGGGATGCCGATGAACCTACTGATGATAACAATGCAAACAACAATGGCGTCCTGTTGGATGTGAATGGCGGATGGAGTGACGTCGCCTCTACTGAGAGACACAACTACATCTGCAAATCTCCCAAATGTATGAATGGCTGTTTGCCAGTTTAAGCTGATGTGCATTAACACCCCATTTTTAAATACATTGCTGCTATATCAAAGAATTAGGGTTCGGATTACAACTGTGACATATCATTTTTCTTCATAAAGCCGAGTAAAGATTGAGTGCACAGTTTTCATGTGTAAATCATGCTGCATGAGGCTATATTCAATGAGCTTGTACAAACTATTATTGCCTGCGCACAAATTCTAATGGTCTGCCTTCTGAATCCCACATTATCCTCCAAATTGTCCTGATATATTTTATTGTCCCACGTGCACAAATTTTCAGTTGATCATTTTTATGCTGATGGTGTACCAAATTTCTTATTTCTTGAATATTGGGTTACCAACATAAATTGATAATGTATGTAATCTCAAAGCTTTTCATGAAACAAATCACAAGTTTGCTCAGTTGTGGTTATTCATAAGATGGAACTAGAACCCACAGCCTCTGACTACTAGTTTAGATTTCTTAAACCAATTGACCACTCAGCTTGCTGTTATGGGTTCAGCCTGGTTTGAATCTGGTAGTAGCTGTTAACATTGCAGTTAATGTACAAAATGACAAACAGTTCTGTTTGATAGTGACTAATAATGCAGCCATTTTTTTAAATGGCAGCCATTTTGTAAACATCTTGGTATCTGTTTTTGTCCCAATGTGTGCAAGACAACTGTTGATTTTTATATTTTATTTTTTCCTCTTCCAGATCCAGCCCCTCCCACCTCTCCCCCAATTGTCACAGTTTCCCCACCAAAACCAGGTTTGTAGGTTTAGTTTTATCTTGGTTAATTTTGTGTCTCTGTCTCTCACTGTCTGTCTTCTATGTCGCTGTGTCTGTCTCTTTGTCTCTGTCTCTGTCTTTTTCTCTGTCTCCTGCTGTGTCTCTACTTTGTCTCTGTGTCTTACTTTGTCTTTGTCTTTTGTCCCGACCAAAACCAGGTTTGTAGGTTCAGTTTTCTTTGGTTTATTTGTGTCCGTCTCTGTCTCTTAATGTATCTCTGTCTCTTACTCTCAGTCTCTATTTCTGTCTCCTGGGACTGTCTCTTAAGTGTCTCTTACTTTGTCTCTGTCTCTTTCTATGACATTATTTCATTTTGTTTATTTGCCGATGACGCTAGTTTATTATATACTCATAAAAATGTTGATACTGCTATTAGAAACCTTAATGTTGAATTGAAAATAATTAGTACGTGGCTCTTAGCTAACAAACTTTGCATTAATTTGTTGAAATCGAACTATATGATTTTTTGTTCCCATCAGTATAAATACACTCAATCGGTTCCCTTAATTTTAAACGATTCCAATCTAAGTCGAGTAAAAAGCACTAAATTCTTTGCCATAACTATTGACGAGAATCTCACTCGGAAAAAACACATCGATGATATAGCGACAAAAATATAAAAAAATGTTGGCATAATGAATGGTTTAAAATATTACCTCCCCAGTAGAATCTTACTATGTTGCCATATCTAAATTATTCAATTTTGACTTGGGGTGGTTCACCATCCAAATGCAACAAACTGCTCATGTTACTGAAGCGAGCGGTCCGATTAATATCTCATGCTGGTTATCGTGATCATACCCTTCCTTTATTTGCAAATTTGAGACTCTTACAATTCAATGACTTATACTACTTTAACCTGGGCAAATTTATGTATAGGTTTACACACAATGCATTACCTACTTGTTTCAACCCCTTCTTTATGCTCACATCTGATATTCATTTGTATAATACCCGAAGCACTAGGAGAAATTTATATGTCCAATTCAACAGAACAACATTGTCTAAAAATAGCGTTATTCAACGTGGTACATCATACTGGAATAGTCGAGATGACTTCTTAAAATCATCACCCTTCTTCTCTGTCTTTGTTAAAAACCTTAGATCACATCTACTCAATTCTTATTCGAACAACTTGTTAAAATTTATGAATCTAGATGTATGCTCTCGTCTCATACCAGTTTGTGTTTTTTCTACGTTTATTCGAAGAACTAGTTATAATTTATGAATCTAGATGTATGCCCTCGTCTCATACCAGTTTGTGTTTTTCTAGGTTGTGTCTTTGTGTGTCTCACTGTTGTCCATTTTGTCCTTTGTCACTGTCTCTGTTTTTCTTGGTCATGTCCACTTGTCTGTTGATAGGTTAGGGTACAAAAGCGTGACGCTTCACCTTATACCTAAATGTTGTAAATTTGTTCTAGTATTGATCCATGTACATTATTATACACAATTACTTAACTCCTTGCATTTTGCTCTGTATAATATGTTTACACGGCATTGAAACTTTTTATTGTGTGGAAATGGCAACATTGAAATAAATGTTTTTACTACTATGTTGTTCTAGCTCTTGACTTGACATAGTCTAGTATGGGGATGGAGATGTGGTTGTTTGTGATTTTGTAGAGCATGGTGAGGCAAGCATGTTTGTGTCTTTCTTCCTATTGTGGAAAACCAAGATCTTGTTTCATGGCCGTGACACTTGTATCTCTCTTGTAGTTGCCACAGATAAATCGTATGGCTCTTCTTTGGATCTTTGTAGTGTGTCTATCTGGTTTTATTTGTGAGGATCCCATATGGCAGATTCCAAATAAGTTGCACTGATGAGACATGAGCCTGCTGTTTCAACGATTTCTTATGAAAAGTTGTGAAATTAATGATTCTGGCCGATGACAGTGACCGGGCCTGAAATGTATCTAGGAAGATTTATATTTGTCTGCCTGCTGGAAGATGGTGTTTGTTATCTCAAGTCCATGTTTAGCACATGGAGAGATGCGATGACACCCAGTGACTTGGATGATGCTCCTACATGTGCACGGAAGTCCCTGAAGATGAGCACATTATCACTTTTTGGTGTGCTACCTATTGTGCAGTCAAGTTCCCATACAAGACATCTTTAGTTTAATTGACAGCATCAAGTGTAGGTGCATGCACACTGATGCAGTGGAGGAAGGATTTTTGGTCAAAGGAACTCTTATTGTCATTCATTTTTCCTTGACCCCAAGAAGGATTTGGGATGCTGAGGAAAAAGGTATTCTTCCCTGCAGTGCCGACACCATAGATCACCAGTAGAACAACTCTTTTAAAAAGAACTTGTAGCCCCTGACCTCAGTAAGTGACCCTTCATCCGGAAAATTTGTCACGGTCATGGGCAAGATGTCCAGGTTGTACCACTTACGATAATGTGTTTCTGTTTATTACTCTTTATAAACGAAGTATTATATACCCCTAGCATCTTATTATTTGTGGTCTTGGTGCATATGTGGATGGTGTTTTGTGACCACTATAGAAAAATCTGATTGTGTACAAATTAGATTTATGCATAATGTAGTATGTTAATCACACAAAGATACCAGTCTTACTTAAATGCTACTTTCTGTTGGTGCAGGTTGCCCAGATAATTTCTATCGTATTGGAGACATATGCCTGAGCCTGTTGAATACGGATGACCAGACATTTGCTGGTGCTGAAACAAAATGCAGGACTCTCAATTCAAAGGCTACGCTTGCTATTGTGAAAGACTATCGCACACAAGGTGAGACCACAATGTCTTCTGAAGTGCTAGTTTTGTTAAAGTTCATTAACAAATATTGTGAATCCGCAATAAAATTTCTGCAGCTTGTGCTTATAATTATGTTTGATATATTAGCTCCAAAATGTCAGATAGCACCATCACCATTGAACTCTAAGCATGTATATAGTGGGAGCAAGCCATACTTACCATTGCCTAGGTTGACAGTGTTTTTTGGTTATTTATTGCAGCTCAAATTGTTTCATTTATGATGTCCTTGGACAACACCCAGGATGTATACATTGGACTCAAAGCTACCCCTACTAACCCCTTCTATACTTGGAGCGATGGGACGGCATTAGATGTGTCGTTTACTCGATGGGGCGTTGGGCAGCCAGATGGATATGCGTTCTTGGTAATGTAGCAAATGGTTGAAGGAAAAGGCAAACTTCAACGTGACAATTCATCCAATATGTCATTTTTTTTTTCTTAAATTGATGGGCACTAAAACTTATCTGGGGTGAGGTCTCTCTGGATTTTTCCGGATTTTGGTCAAACGTCTGCTGGATTCCGAATTTCCAGCTTTTTCTGTTTCTGCCCAAAAACTTCATCACCCCTTCAGAAGGTTTAATATATCTCTAAAATTAAAAGAAAAGTGGACCTTTTGAAAGATACCACCATCTTTGTAATCTAATGGGACATTTCAAGAGATAATGACATGACCATGAGATAATCACATTGTTTGAGCATTTAACCATATTTGTCAGAAACAGAGTACGATAGACAAGGTCAGATAGTCAGATTTGTGCTGTAAGATAATGCTGTGTTAGTAAAGGAATGTCATATTCTGGAGGTTACAACTCAAATTGGTTTTGTCTGAGTGGCTTATGTGTCTAAGGTCACTGTTTGCATAGCCCTTTTAGCTTAGCTATGTTTAGCGGCTTACTGTACACTACTATTGACAAATGCCTTAACCAGGGTTACTTTTTGCTCTAATATATGAACCTGGTATGTGAGGCATAACGTGGCTGTTTATTTCATGCAAGTAATGCATCTACCATTTTTGATTGGCATATTTTCTGGAAAATTTCACAGACCGAAAAAGAGTATTGTGTTGTACTGGATAACAGCAACGCGAAGCAGCCTGGCTATTGGTATGATGTGCCCTGCACTGAGCAGCATAAATACATCTGCAGCATGGAAGTAGGTAAGTTCATCATGTTTTCTACCAGTACTGTCACATTTTCACATTTTCCTTGTTTTAGGTTGCACTTTGGGGTCGTTTCTTTTGAGAGAAAATCCTACAAAGTGAATAATATTTCTTAACATCTTGTGTACGGGTTTTAAATGCCCGGCTTACATGCATGACTGCACAGCAGCCTTTATCAGCAGAAAGCGTTTTTATTTTGCAGCTATACCCACTCCCCGGTGCCAAGTGGTTAAAGATCAAGTATAACATTCAAGTTTACTGACGTACAATGTCTTCAATTGATATACAGTGGAATCTCCATAAGTCAAACCTCAGGGGAATGGGCTCAAATTTTGAGTTACGCAGAGTTTTCAGATATGCAATGGATTTTCTATTCAACGACAATTGACAGGAATAAGTTTTTACTTTGAGTTAGAAGTTTTTTTTAGATTTTTAGAACAGGTTTTGACTGATTAGATTTCACTGTGTTAGCATTATTGGATGACAGTTGAACCACAGATGTACAGTAAATTTAATTTTGTTTTTCTTTCCTTTGCTGTTTTCTTCCCCTGTGTTTGCTCAGATGACACAATAACTACTGGCAAACCGATACCCGCCCGCCGATGTGATGGCAATTTCATCGCCTTAGGCACTGCATGTTTTTACTTGTACAATAGTGCACCCAAAAAATATGATGATGCACAAGCTGCATGCCAGGCCATAAGTCCAGGGGGCAAATACGAAGTGAATCTTGCTACCGTACTGAATGGCTACGAGTCGGCACTTGTGGAGACTTTGTTATACTCATATGATGTACCCTATGCTTGGATTGGATTGAAATCAGATAACGTGAGTTTCTCCTTGGACAAGCAGTTTTTTGACTCTCTCAAATTGACTGCCTTAAATATACTAGATGGTGTTAACCAGTCTTATTTTAAGCCTGTCTCTTGGCATTTTAAGCCAATATTATCTCTAGTAGACACTATTTCAATATATGAAAGCTATGTACTGGCATCAAAATGTTTTTCATCATTATGTATCTATAGGCCTTACTACACATGGAAGAGACAGAGAAATGGCATAGTTAGCAGTATTGTCCAACCTACATGTAAATAACAAGCCTGGTGGTACCACCACGCTTTGGGTAACTGTCACCAAGATTAAAAGCTGCTCACAACTTCAAGTCGCCATATTTCAAATTTCTAGAATCTGTCTTAACCAAAACATATGAAGGTTTTCTATTATCTGAAAGTGTAGACAGAATAACCTTGCAGCAGTCAAGCAAGCGATGAAAATAAAAGAGGTGTCAGTCGGTATGCATGCACATTCCAGTCAAGCAAGTGACGAATGTAAAAGAGGTGGCAGTGGATATACATTTACATTACTTGTTGCCGTCAAGTGTGCAATGAATATGAAAGAGGTTGCAGTGAGTATGTGTTGACATTACTTGCTGCAGTCAAGCAAGCGACGAATGTAAAAGAGGTGGCAGCCGGTATGCATGCGCATTTCTTGCAGCAGTCAAGCAAGCATCGAATGTAAAAGAGTTGGCAGTCGGTATGCATGCATTAGTTAATATAGTGTGAATGATTTTAGGATTTTATTGGCGCTCCCCAAAGTGTCAGGGAAAAATAACCGGTCTACATTTCAGCATGCCTCCCTGAAAAAATTCTGGATCCACTGTGCTGGCCCCCCCCAAAAAAAATATTTGTTCTAGAACCGCTCCTGGTGGCAGTCGGTATGCATGCACATTACTTGCAGCAGTCAAGCAAGCGATGAGTGTAAAAGAGGTGGCAGTCGGTATGCATGCACATTACTTGCTGCAGTCAAGGAAGCGATGAGTGTAAAAGAGGTGGCAGTCGGTATGCATGCACATTACTTGCAGCAGTCAAGCAAGCGATGAATGTAAAAGAGGTGGCAGTCGGTATGCATGCACATTACTTGCTGCTTTCAAGCAAGCGATGAATGTAAAAGTGGTGGCAGTCGGTATGCATACACATGACTTGCAGCAGTCAAGCAAGTGATGAATATGAAAGAGGTGGCAGTCAATGTGTATGCACATTACTTGCTGCAGTCAAGCAAGTGATGAATATGAAAGAGGTGGCAGTCAATGTGTATGCACATTACTTGCTGCAGTCAAGCAAGTGATGAATATGAAAGAGGTGGCAGTCAATGTGTATGCTTATTACTTGCTGCAGTCAGGTAAGCAATGAACATATGAAAGAGGTGGCAGTCATGACTCGGCTTGACTACACACTGTGACTCGACTCAACTCGACTCAAACTTCTTGACCTAATGACTCGACTCAACTTGAGTCATTTCTTTAAAATGACTCGACTTAAGTCACAAAAATCAGTGACTCATTACAACTGACCTTATACATTGGAAGGGTTCATTTTTAAGCATGTTAAGTGTTTAAATTAAAGGACCATTTCAAAGTGGGACGATAACTTCCACAGCCATTCATTGTATTTGTCACTGCAAAAATCTGGAGGGGGGGGGGTTGATCCAATAGCCCATCAACTGGTTAAAAAAGGTCGGGGGATATATCCTCCCCATACTCTCATCAGAAACGTGGACTAATTAGCTACTGATTGGCCAATTTGGCTGCCATATTTTTATAACAAGTTCCGAAAGACCCGATAGAAGGAGGGTAACTACATGAACTAGGAAGGTTACAATCAAAATGCATTGAGTGGTTGCTGTAATTATGTATATATGATGGATATATGATAAGTGTTTACCTTTCTTTGTCCAGAATGAATTTAGGTGGGAATTTGACTACCCTATAGTCTATACTAATTGGGGGAAGGATGAACCCAGCGGTCAAGCTGGTGAAGGATGTGTGCGTGCCAGGATCGATGGGGACAATTGGGACGACACAACGTGTGCTGACACAGCAGCATACATTTGCCGTTTTGATTCACCAGGTAAGAACAAGAACAGAAAATAACAAAGTTGGTGCTTGTAATAATAAAAATAATAATACATTCTTATATAGCGCATTTCAGGACCGTCGGAGCTCGCAATGCGCTTTACAATAAACAATTCAATATATGACTAAGGAAAACAATTTTCAAATAAATGTGTTAAAGCTATAGTCCATCATTTGTAATTAGTGCATTTTGTTCATTTGAAGCAACAAAAGTGTTCAAAATCTAATGAAGGATACTGAGCAACTAACCTGATGAAGTTTCAGCTAAGCTTCAGCTGTACATTCCGTTAAAAGCAGCATTCTAAGATCTCAATTTCAAATCAAAAGTTACTGAATCATGTTTTGAATTGTTTTGAATTGCAGCTATACGCGGTGTCGCGCACTGATCCGACGAATTATAACAACCGCGCCTTCTTTGCCTTCTTTCGTTGATTACTTCAAAATGACAGTTTCCCAGAAAGAATAATTTCACAGGGAGTTTAGTTCCCTTACTATTTTTCAACCAAGTTTGTTTTTCAACAGTAATTACGCCAGTTACTTTTTGGATGGCTGCAAATGATGGACTATAGCTTTAATAAAGGCTGGTCTTAAACGATGCCAGGTCACTTACTGATCGCAGTGACAGTGGGAGAGAATTCCAAAGTCTAGGGCCCCACATGCAAATGCTCTTTCACAATTGTTCTTCATTTTTCCGGGTTTTATGGTGAGAAGATGCTAGGCCTTGATGGATTGTAGAATGTTTGTGACTTGATCTGGCACAAAAAGTTATAATGACGCACAAAAATCATGTGAGTTGAACACCACCAAGTAACGTATGTTTTGCTTTTGCCGTAAGGAAAACAGCTTATTAACTTCGTAGTCCTCATTCCACTGTCTAAGCCCCATCCAACCCCACCCCAGTCCTCATTCCACTGTCTAAACCCCATCCAACGCCCACCCCAGTCCTCATTCCACTGTCCAAGCCCCACCCAACCCCCACCCCAGTCCCCATTCCTCTGTCTAAGCTCCATCCAACCCTCGCCCCAGTCCCCATTCCACTGTATAAACCCCATCCAACGCCCACCTGAGTCCTCATTCCTCTGTCTAAGCCCCACCCAACCCCCACCTCAGTCCCCATTCCATTGCCTAAGCCCCACCCAACCCCCACCCCAGTCCTCATTCCACTGTCTAAGCCCCATCCAACCCCCACCTCAGTCCTCATTCCACTGTCTAAGCCCCACCCAACCCCTACCCCAGTCCTCATTCCACTGTCTAAGCCCCATCCAACACCACCCATCCAACGTCCACCCCAGTCCTCATTCCACTGTCTAAGCCCCACCCAACCCCACCCCAGTCATTCCACTGTCTAATCCCCATCCAATCCCACCCCAGTCCCCATTCCTCTGTCTAAGCCCCATCCAACCCTCACCCCAGTCCCCATTCCACTGTCTAAGCCCCATCCAACCCCCACCCCAGTCCCCATTCCACTGTATAAACCCCATCCAACGCCCACCCGAGTCCTCATTCCTCTGTCTAAGCCCCACCCAACCCCCACCTCAGTCCCCATTCCATTGTCTAAGCCCCACCCAACCCCCACCCCAGTCATTCCACTGGCAACTCTGACACTCGGCAATTCTCTGTCATTCTCTCAGCATTGACCTACCCAACTCCTGACCCGGATTTGGTGAAGTTACCCTGCCCCGATGATGACTGGATCTCCCAAGGTGAAAACTGCTACTACTTCTCTAACAGAAAGACAGACTGGGGAGAGGCCAATTACAGGTGAGGCCAGGGGAGGAACAGTGACACAGAAATACAAAGACCCCTTTGATTTGATTTGATAAACATTTAGACAAGATTGATTCGTGATTGACCTATGATTGCATTCCATGGCATGGACTATAAGTAACGGACAATGGTAACCAATGATGACTTGGGATTAAGCGGTGATAGCTGTGATGATGACGTGCTGACACTGAATGATGGCAAGGCCTGAACTTGCCAATTTTGAGCTGGAATGTTACCGTCATTTTGAACTACCTATTGTGGAAAATTCCCATCCAAGACACTGTGAACATCGACTCGGTAAAAAAATCCATATCTCGACTAAAAACAGTTAACAACATATCACCACGTTTTAATCCCATTTTAACCGTGTACACCGAGCCTTGTAAATGGTTCGTGTTTTAACCTTGTTTCACCCAGACCCCTTCATTGTTGTTCAGTACTAATCCTCTCCCCCTCCGTGCCCTGGCCAAACAAAGGGTCACCCGTTTTCACCTTGTGTATATTAAATGCCGCAAAACTGACCGTAGAAAGTGGCTCCGAAAACGACCCCCATTTTAACCGAGGAGCAGGCTTGGCCCTGGGGGAGTAAATATCGCAAAACTGACCGCAGAGTTAATGAGCAAACCTCAACTGAGTTTCTGAAAATGACCCCCATCATTTAATCGCTTGTTTTTGGTCCCATAATTTAATTGTGAATCAAGACGGTTAAATTGTGAGAATAATGGTACCTGTATGTACCCAGATTTAACTGTAAAACAGAGTTTATTAACTGAGCTGTGAGTTATTAGTGAGATTTGCAGTCCAAATAATTACTAGATGGGCTGGAAGATAAAATCAATGTATGCACAACCACACAGACTGCGCAAACTATAAATAGTTCATTGCAGCCAATTAGGGTTTATATTTCTTGTTCATACAAAGATGCATGCGGATGTATGAGGGTGCCATGCTTGCAAGCATCACTTCATCAGCTGACAACCAATTCATTTATGAAAGGGCCAAAGCCAAATACCCAGCAGAACAATTTGTTTGGATTGGACTGACACGTGTACAGACTGGCAGTGATAATTGGGGTAAGTGGCTTTGTTCATATGTAGCATGGACTGCTGTCTGTGGAGATAAAACTAAATCAATTTGGAGTCAGTTACGGTATGTAATCCTTGAGCAATTAAATCCTAAATGCTTTGAACACATAAGACAATTATGTGTTGTATTGTGCTCATGGCAACAATAGGCATACCATCATGATTGATAATTCACGTGTATGCAGTGTGTCCTGCATATAGATGTCATCAGTGATCACAAAGTTCCCGTTCTCTTGGAATGGGGTCATTTGAACTTAGGTAATCCAATTAAACAGAATTGTCAGGTTTGAAAATGCTAACATATTCTAAACTGCTGTTATTACACTGACGTATTTGGTTAAACTCATACTATTATTGACTGAAGCGTGCCATTTCGATCGGCGAAACTGTTTAGCATCCTACCTTTTTTAACTAAGTGGGAGGCCTTTTTTTACAATTTTTGTTCTTCCAAAAAGGCCGCCCGACCGGGCTATTTATCAAGATGGCCGCCATTGGACTCAGGAAATGACATAAAAGCTTTATATGGGCTAGATGCAACAGATAAAGAGGCGAAAATGATGTCACTGTTGAAAATTTATCATTTTTTGGGTTAAAAAAATGAAGAAAAGGAGGCGACCTCCAAAAAGGAAGCGGGCTCGGACGCTGAACATGTTTTTTATTTTTTTAATTTCGCCTTATAACACAAATTTATAAATGGTACCCATTCCCGATGAGACAAGTAGTGTGCTAACATGTAGAATCATGTCCACAGTTGGAAAACTCTTTTACACAAATAATTGTGAGTACACCTTTGCACTCAATCAAATGATGCAAAAATTGCAGAATTGCCCATTATGCACGTGCAACTTAGGAAAGCAGTCTCTGAACATTGTGCATCGTCTGTCTTTTTCTCAGGCACATTTGAGTGGATTGATCAGGAACAGTTGAATTATGCCCTGTGGAGTGCAGCCGAGCCTGACGGAAATGATCCAAATGCAGCTCTGTTGGAGTCTTGTGTTGCCATGTCCATTACCTCTGCAGGTGCAGGGGCCTGGCTGGACGAAATTTGCCAGTTCAGTGCCCTCAACTCTGTTTGCAAACTGCCCAAACGTGAGTACATGTATACCACAGTTAATATTCTGAACTTCGACCAACATGAAACCATTTACATTTTCTCTCTGCATTGCTTTAACTCAAATTTTAGATTTAAAATTTTAAATTTACAAATCATATACTCCTTTACGGCAACAGTAAATAAAATATAAGTGTGACAAGTGGTATATGCTCTGATAGAGGTGGTAAAAGAATGCTGTTTTCCAAATACCTCACTGACCACCATGACCACTGGATGAAATTAGGACAATGGTAAATTCCGGCATTCCTCATTTCCACAAATGTTCCATGCAACAATTTCAGGAGCGGGTCCTGATTTTGCAGCCACCCATTTTCAGGTCTTTAAATTTCTGAGATAATTTGTTTGACGATCTTAAAATATTTGTGAAACGTTCATATTCACATCAAATCAATTTCCACTCTAGCTGCTCAATTATTTTAATTATTGGATATGGTGTTTTTTTGTGTTTCAGAGAGTTCTTATCAGCAACGGAGTAAGTCACATTGATTTTTATATTTCTATAATGTACTTGTATAGATCTATTTTTTTCCATGTGGAACATTTTTGTTGACATGTTGAGACCTTTAAATGTGTAGAACAATTGTGACTGGTTATTTCTGATAACTGAATTGATATGTATGTTAATGCTTGTAGTTATTCATGTACTTGCTTTAGATCAGTCAGATGTTATTTATACATGATAAAAGAAAAAGTGGTCGCAAACTTACCATTTTACTAAGTTTTTTTAATGGTATATCGGACAACAATATTTGAGCCAGTTTTTCCTCCAAAGAATAGCTGAGATTATACACATAAACAATCCATTGATGCAAGCTCTCATTTTCAAAAATTTAAAGTAAAGTCTTGAAACTATTCCAAGAAATCTGCTGAATTTCACGAGATACGGCTAAACCTTTATGAAGGTGTGCTGAAAAAGACAGGTGCATGATGATGAATGGGAAAAAATAGAGGAATCTCTGGACTCGTATTGTTGGTGACTGGGTTTTAAACTTTGCCTATATTGGAATAATTAAATTCAGTTTGTGGCGGGAATGTTGAAGAGTTGAAAGTTGGAGATCAGTGCTACTTTCCAAGTACTATTTTGGGACCTACACAGTCTGACAAAACCTGGACTGAAGCAGAGAATAAATGTCGCGAATATGGTGGCCACCTGACAACTGCCAAGGATCTGGATGAGCAAAACTTGGTGCGGACATTGGTAAGTAATCCATCAGATATTATTCTATGCTGATTGTATGGAACTACTTTACAATCATGGGCATCCAACTGAAAGATACATATAGTGCCACACCTCAGAACACTTTGTGGGGGTGCCTAGTTATTTCTACCATTGTGTAACAGGTTATGACCACATAATTTGATATTATTATGCACCGGATAATGCAAACTTTTACTTTTACTGTTGGGACTCAAGTCTTGTTAGCCTTCGCTCGAGTCGAGTCTTCTGGTGAGGGACTCGAGTCAAGTCGAGTCATTTGCTCTCAGTGACTCGAGTCGAGTCAAGTCATTTACCCATAGGGACTCGAGTCGAGTCACCAATATTGTGACTCAAGTCAGACTTGAATCAAGTCATTACAGGTCTGGTCATGTAGACTACCAATACGTGTAAATGAAATCAAGTGATTTTTTTCTAATCAGTGACTTAATACAATCAATCTGTAAACTCCTTAGTGATAGGTTTAAGGGTGCATGGGGATTTAGACACATTTTTAGACATATCAATATTTTTAAATTTAAAAAATCTGATTTAACTAAAAAAAAATCGAGTTTAAATTAGATAAATCTGATATTTAATTTTTGTTTTTAAATAAAAAAATCGCCAACCCTGCCGTTTGACCATTTCTTCATATATGACCGTAGGTTAAAGGTTAGGTTAAGTTTTGAAAACAGATGTATAACTTGTACACACATGCTTTCATGGATTTGATGAAACTTAGATACAGTGACCCTTGGGTGGGACGTCACAATTCTTCATCGGAATACTGAGGTTAAAGGTCATGTAGGGGTCATTATAGGTCATTGTTCAAATATGCTTCAAATTATTTCTTGTTTACAGAATTTCATGGGTTTTAATGTAACTTGGATAGAGTGATCCTTGGGAACAACTCTTCCAAAATTGGAGGTCAAAGGTTATCTAGGGTTCAATTGTGGTCGTTGAAAAATTGAAATTTGACTTTCTTAAGATCACAAAACATATAGGGATTGACCTCAAAAAAGGCAACACATGCGATCTGCGGATCACTTGTTTTAAAAAATAACCAACATGCATTATACAAAACAATAGCTTTAGTCTGCCTTACATTAAAAAAAAAATCAGGGAACTTTTAAAATGTTATTTAATCCACAGTTTAGTTTATGACAACATTGACAATACGCTCTTTCATTTTTGTACAAGTTTTTCAGAATTGGGTAGTTTGCACGACATCATGCTAATTAAGTATAGGTACATGTAACTTTATATAGTTTGGAGAACATTGAGATTTGCTGTTTCTGCTATGACATGCTGAACAAATGTACCTTAAAAACCTATATATACCTGCATGTTGGCCTTGTGGTTGGTATCACTGATGTATGTGTGTATTCACCATTTGCTCGCGCTGATCGCCCATTTAGCTGATGACAGATGGACAAGCTCTTACAGCTAGTAGCAGATGACTCACCCACAAAATGAGTGAGAGGTGGGTACCTGCTAAGTGATCAGGAGGGTGCATGCCTAGCTATGCAAGCGACTTGCCTGCTATGTTGGCGACAGGTGGACGTTTGCCCGCAAAGTGGCTGCTTCCCCCACAAAGCAGACAAGAGGTTGTGAAGCCGCCTCCCCTGAGAAACTGGCAAGACACATTCTTTGTTATTCAAGAAATATTTGTGAACCCAACTCTGTTGATAAATCCAACAGACATTTTGTTCATGTTTTGGTAAAATGATTTTATGCTTGTTACTGTTTATAGTCATTCGGTTTTGCAAGGAGTTACTGGCTTGGTTTGCGGGATGAAGGCGCAGCTTTTCGGTGAGTTATATGTATTTACATTAAGAACAGCAGCAGCTACAGGACGTTCTAAAATAGAACAAACCCTGCGTACAATTTCTGGCATGAAACTCTTTCAAAAATATTTCCCCTTTTCACCTGTCAGTCACAAGTCAGTTTACTACTTTACATTGTGGGATGCATCTTCATTTTATTTTATATGAAAATGATACATTCATCTTATGAATATAAATTGTGATTCCCGCTGCTACATGTATATCAGATTTGAACCAGCCAACCGATCCGCAAGCTCGGTGGTCGAGGGGTAAGACGTCTGAACTAGAGAGCAGGAGTTCATGGGTTTGAGTCCAACCCAAGTGAATTTTCGTCTGAACTGTGTCAAAAGCATTCATTGATCCTTACTCCTAAATATAAGTGCCCTCACCACTCAAGCAGAGAACACGTACATGTCAGTTTTACGGGCTGACATGATCTTTAATTTCAATAAAACTTAGCCTAGAGTTTTGACATTTCAGGAAACTTGGGCCCTGGCCCTGGTGAGTTGTAGCAAAACAATGTCTAATTGGGGCATGGCATTACATTTTTATTTCTAACATTGTTCTGTTTTTTTTTACTTCACAAAGCTGGAGTGACGGCACTGCGTTTAACATCAATACCGACTACTCGGAATTCCCTGGTGGTCAACTTCCTGAGAACCTGGCTGGTGAAGAAGATTGTACAGAACTGCGTATATGGCAGAGTAAGCATAGACCTTTTGCTCTGTGCCCCCTCACTGAGGGCGATGTTTGCTATTTATATTCAGTGACAATGAATTTACAAGTTGTTTACTCGTGTGTATTACAGAGGAATATAGGTCTGCCTCGCATGTGGCATCAAATGCGAGGGTTCTATTGATTTCTATCAGTTTATTGTTCAATGCAAGAGATTCAACACAGCCAAAAATGAATTTTTTTTTTTTAAGAAAAAAGATAAAACAAGTTTTTCTTGCTAGGGAGTGACACAAGAAAACCTTTCTAGTCACAATTTTGTGGTTAAAGAAAACCTAAATCAAATGTTTTTCTTTATTTCTTAAATCAAGAGTTTCTAAGTGTTCATATTAAGAAATATAAGACTTTTTTCTTGTGTTTAAAAATGTTGTCATTATAGATTTTTATTTCTTATAAAATTTCTAATAAGTAAAAAAGCTAGAAATATTTTGTAGTGAAATTTTCTAGAGAGTGACACAAGAAAATACCTTAAACAGTTCTTAAATAAGGGAAAAAAATTAAAACTGTTTAAGAATATCAGTTGTGATTTGGTAATTATATTAAGTAATATTTTCTTGGATGTAAACAATTTTTTCTTCAAACAAAAAATTTTCTGACACCTTTCAGTCAGCTAGAGTGCTGATCAATTCCTTCTGTAATGCACTTCAATAGAATGAAATCAAGCAAAATTCCTGAGAATACGATCAAATTAACTCTTAAAGTTGTGGGACACACAAACTGTAGTACGCATGCAACAATGTTTCTCAAACAAATTTCCTAAAAGTTTTCAAAGGCTCCCCCCTCTTCATTTGCAAATCAACAGACTGTATAGAGCCTCCTACTATCAAGGAACAATCAGCATGAAATTCAAAATAATCAGAGTGTCCTCCCCATGAATCTGAGTCACCTCACCAAACAATGTGCATGGATGGCATGGTCAAAAATGTAAAAGTACTTTGAACTTCTAACCTTACTTTTGAGTCTACGGTAATCTCCAAACTTTTCTTCTCTTGAGCCTAATCTCTAAACTCAGATTTACTTGTGACCAGGTGACAAACCTGAAATCTATGCGTATCAGTGACTTCCACTTCATATGCAACTTTCCACAAAATAAAAGGAATTGCTGTGTCATTCATGCGTAGTGGCTTATGTGTGCAGTATTTGATACATGTATACATACGCACAACTTTGAAACAATAGATCTGAAACGTACACAACTTCAATCTTTTTCATCCTTAAACGCCTTCAACAATAAAGTTCAAACAAATAGCCATCCTTGTGAGAACAATAAATAGAATAAACATGTGCTTGGTCGGTTTTAATCACTCTGTTTAAGACCGCTTAGAGTATGGGTGCTGATAATTACCCGAACCGAAGACGAGGGTAATTATCAGCACCCAGACTTTAAGCAGTCTTAAACAGAGTCTTTCAAGCTTGGTCTTAATACCGACCAAACACATATTTATTCCCATTCATAAATACCTTTTTGGTCAAAAAAATCAAATCATTTCGGTAAAAAAAAAACCCTGATTTTGTTCAACAAGTTCACTTCATGTTTTTTAAAACACCCCTCTAGCTAAATAGTGGAGTGTCCAGCTCTTGAATAAGATGTAAACGCTCCTTTTTTTGATATTGGCATGCACGTCTATGTTAGCAGAATGCACCTGGGGCATTGCATTGTGAATAGGACTATAGAATACTGACTCGCTGGTAGTACAACATGTATTGCGCATGCCTACTTTTTTTTGCTTACTTGACTTTATTTCCATCCAAGATAGGTACATATATACAATAATTAGCTACTTTATTATTATTATACAAAACTATGACAAAGTAAACCAATTTTGTTGGTGTTAAGAAATATAAAGCAGGGATGGATGGGACCCGCAAGAAGCAAGGCTTGTCGAGTGCAAGTCCCCTGTAAAACATTAAGAAATATCTTACTGGATTGTTAGGGAATGACAGTCTAAAGCATCCTGTAAATTGTGGCTCCTGGTGTGCTGACATTTTCAAGTAAAATTGTAGTTTTCCAGTGCTGGTTGGCCAACCAGCGTTGGAGAAAACTGGCTTTTTTTCAAAAACTGCTCCTAATTTTTCATTTTAGTTATTCCTCATTTTCTTTGTAATCGATCACACACCTGTGAAATGGTACAAGCCTGCTAGACTGATTCTCTTACCTTACAATTCCCCAAAGTCTATAAGCTGCTCCGTTTAATCTTAAGTGGGGTCAGGAAACCAGACTACAAGAATATGGTTGGTTTCTTGGATTTTCCAGCATCTCCCAACCCAAAACATGAACCAAGTCAGTTTAACAATATTTGCTATAGCAAACTAATCCTTCAAATCCATTTATATCTGAAAATTGCATCAAAAGAAAATGTTGTGCATTCCATTTAAGGATATTCTTCTTTCCAAAACAAGGGTTTCTTATGAAAGAAAGAAAGAATCATTTTTTTATTCAAAAATATTGTTCTTGCTTAAGAAATTTATTTTTGGCTGTGAAGAGATTTGCAGTGCAATATAACGCTACTTCACCATTGGAGTCAAAAATAAATCTGCTTTACCAGCGGGGTAACCTGGGAGAGAAGTCAATATCTCATTCCTGATATACATACATATCCAATCAAGGCATGTTTATGATTTTGTGGATATTTTTGAGGGTTTTTTTTTAACTATAGTGTGCAGTTATAGTCTGCTTGAACTGGTCAATATAGTATTTCCGTATTTCGCAACCCTGAATTGCTTCTAGTGGTAAATGCCATTGACTGCTGTTGATCGCAATCAACACATGCTTTGGGGTTTGTCTTGTTTACAGACGGAGAGTGGGGAAGGAGTGCTTGTGGAAATTCACTCAAATTTGTCTGCAAACGAGAGGAGACCTCAACTACACCACTTCAGCCTTTACCAGGCTATTCAGACACTGGCGAGTGCCCCCAGAATTACTTCAGACTGGACAACATGTGCTTCAACTTGAGAGAAACTAAAAAGGGCTGGATCGATGCTAGAGATGATTGTAAGACGGCTTCAGTTGCAGGGACAACCCTTGCCACAGTTAGCAACCCAGGACAGCAAGGTGAGGTCCACATGCACACACAAAAATATAAATTAAAACTAGACTTATGTTTGTGGACAAACACAGGGCTGTTTCGGAAGCTTTTTGTGACATGTGACATGTGTTCCATCAACCAAGGATGTGTAGTTCTGTTTATAATAAATGGCATATAATATGTGATTCCATTCTCATAGGGCTTTGAATTATGACGTCACATGTCACGTGATGACGTCATAATGACGTCACATAAAGTTTCATCTATTACTATAATATTATGGTAAAGAACAACTTAGCCAGAGCATACCTCGTTGAAAGCAAGTTCACATCTTTCACCAACTTTAAATTACAATTACAAGCACTTTTAGTATGACGTCACATGTCACGTGATTTAAACCCAATTAGACCTGTAGTTCTGTAGATATTGGCCTTCAAAATATGCAATTTTGAATATGATGTCACATGCCACGTGACGACGTCACATGTCACGTGATGACGTCATCGTAACGTCACTTAAATTTTCATCTATAAAACATCCCGGTTTAGGTACATACCAAGTTTCAACCCAATCGGACCTGTAGTCATGGAGATATAGGCCTTCAAAATATGCACTCATATTGTGACGTCACATGTCACATGATGACGTCATCGTGACGTCACTTAAATTTTCATCTATAACACATCCCGGTTTAGGTACATACCAAGTTCCAACCCAATCGGACCTGTAGTCATGGAGATATAGGCCTTCAAAGTATGCACCTATATTGTGACGTCACATGTCATGTGATGACGTCATCGTGACGTAACTTAAATTTTCATCTATAACACATTCCGGTTTAGGTCCATACCAACTTTCAACCTAATCGGACCGGTAGTTCTGGAGATATAGCCCAATCTGTCAGATCTAGCCGAATTCTGCTAGAAAATGGTCACTACAGAAAAATCGCATATAATGTCACGTCACGTGACTCATGATGACGTCACGGTGACGTCAATGTTCGGCACACAACTTCAGGTGCTGGTCCAAGTGTGTGCCCAGTATAAAGGCAATCAGATTGATTTTAGTGCCCAAAGTGCCGGGGACAAATAAACGTGCACAAATGCTATGGGCAAAATTGACTGAAAAAGAAAAAAAATTAAGTAAAAAAAAAAAATCTTAACGAAAACAAAGGCTGTTTCGGCAAAAGTGCCGAAACAGCCAAAAAGAGTGTTGACTGAGTATTTATTTCACCAGAGTTTATAAATTTGAAACTCTTAGGGATTCGCCTCTATACTTTAAAGCACAAAAGATGTGTGTGCATGTGTTCACAAGTTGTTCATGAGTTCTTTGGTGAGTGGATTGTCCTACAAAGTTTGAATTGGTTGGCCTCTGAAGCAGGACTTTTCTCACCCTCAAAGCGAACATTTGCACGCGAAATAATCAAGGCAACAAAGCAGCTCCTACTTCATGAAGTGATAAATGTGATGCCTGTTAGGTCAGAATGCTTTGTTTGTCTTATGTTGGTTAACTTTTCTTTTGTATTTGTATTCTTTGTCAAAAAAGTCACTGTTTTGTGTACCACAAATAGTAACTAACTCAATTTAACCAAAACGTTTTCATTTCATTTCATTTTTATATCGCCAATTGATAAAAACAACACAAAATATATAACAACAGTAAAAAAAAAAAAAAAAAATACAGTACAATAAAAAAATTATAAAAAAAGAACTTGGAAGGGACCCAGATAGTACAAGAAAGACAAAAATAACAGGACAAATTAAACCTAAGCCTGCATGGGCAAGGGCTGTCAAAAACAAAGAAAATCACTATACTTGCCAGCCCTCATGCTGGCAAAGGAGACGTAAAACCTCAAGTTTTGCAGGTCAGCATCACATTTTCATTGGGTTGTTTTTCCCCTTAATTAAGACAGTTCAAAACGCTTTCAGGATTGCTGAACTAAGACCTGTGATGACATCGTCGTTCAATTTATTTCGTTGTCAACATTACCCTCTAGGGTATTCTAGCTAAAAACCCTGCTAAAGGTAGCAACATGCAATGCTTGTCAACATGATAATTAGCCTGCATGATCCACCAGGGCAAAATTTCAAGGCTAAAGTGCCTCAGAGTCTGTGTAGCAGGATTGAGCTCTGGCGTTGTGCAATAAGACTACATGTAACTCTGATTGTTTCAGAATTGGCAGTTCTACTTTGCTTGTCTTTCCAAGCCATTAGTAATGCTAAGTTTCCTGTAATTATTGTCTACTTCCTTCTGGATGTCTTTAAGTACTCTAAGGTGATTTTTGGTGCAGTTTGGCAGGAAGATTTAGTGGAGTAGCACTGCTCCCCTGCTGTTGTTATGGCAGTGCGCTTGCTCCACCTTGGCAACTTGCACTTTCCCCAATGCTTCCTCCTCATTCCCTGTCTTGTCAAGCGGAGACGCGCCTGCCCCACCTTGGCAGCTCACTTTCCCCTGTCTTCCACAGCAACCAGTGGAGCTGCATGTGTCTCAACTCGGCAAGTTGCAGTCCCATATTTGACAGCAGAGTTACGCTTGCCCACCTGTATGTAAGGGCGAATTGGGGGGGGGGGCCTTGTGCCCCCCCCCCCATGGTATTATGGTTCACGGCTAATATGGTTTATTTTTTGTTTGTATTTGCATCAGCTCTGTTGACGGCCATAATTAAGGGAGTAAGCGGGGACATGTGGATTGGCTTGAACGGTATAGGCGTCCACGATCAATATCATTGGACTGATGCGACACGATTGGACTATACGAGCTGGGCACCAGACCAACCTGACAATGCTTTGCCAATTACTGATCCGGTAGGCCATACATGCTCTGGACACACCAGTCTAGAATCATTTTTAAACATTTGGCAAAATGAAGCAGCTTCTTAGTGTGATTATGCTGTCACCACTCAATATGCTTGAAAGTCAAAGAAATGTTCCGTTTGTTTTCAACAGTATCAGTATTTTCATTTGTGAACAGTTGGTGTAAAAGGGATGTACATGTACAAGCTTAACTCTAACCACCCCAAAACTCCAAAATTAACTGTTTGGCAGCAATTTGATGAGTTCAGGCCTGTACCACCCAGGTACCATTACCATTGGGACTTTATGTCCAAGATGTTTACTTCAAGTAGTAAGAATGTGTTATTAGTGTCCACCAATGACTTGGAAAGCTTCCTAGCCAAAATACCCAGGAAATTAGAGTCAACAAGCAGAGTGTTTCTCGTTTCTCACAAACCCTTTTGCCTATCCATTGTTGGAACTTTTTTGTTAACCAAGGAATTGACAAGCTATGGATGATCAACCGTGCAAAATAAAGAATGTACATGTAGTTAAGGGTCCATGGGATGCATTTTCTTAGGAACACATTTTTTTACAACTTTCTACTCCTCTTAAATGCATGAAAACTATTTGACATTCTTTTACGTGATGGTTTATTTTATTGAAAAGTGGGCCTCTTTAACGTTTTAAAAATTTTATGCTTTTCCGGACAACTGGGGGCGCTGTTGCTGTGACCTCATTTCAGGAAGACAATGTTCAGTTTAGGGGTTTTCTGTTTAAATTGTGAACTCAAAAATTTGCTCATTGAAAACATTTGTGAGAAAAGTTTACTCATTGGCTTAAGTACTGCCATATACTGACCGTTCAATGAATCAGCAAAGAAAAGAAACGTAATGACAGCAAAATAAGCAAATTACTAGCAACTTTTGGTGCTGATATAGCTGTAACATTGAAGTTTCTGCCTGAAATGACATCACACGTTTGTTCATGAATTTGGAAATTGGCATTAGCACAAAAAACAAAAAGTCACCAAAATACTCTTAAGTGCCAAAACAGACATTGAAAATAAGGTTAAGGTGCATTTTGAGGGATTGCATTACGAAAAATTACATTGCATGGCCCTTTAATGTTTCCAAAACATATTATTGGATTGTTGAAAAATAAAAACTCACCAACAAACATTACCAAAGACTTAATACAAAAATGCCTCTCTCTTACATACGTACTGAGGATGTTGAGAAGCAACTTTGCAAACAAAACTCTGTTGCATGGCTTAAATTTATACCTGTGTGGTAGCTAGCCCATCATAAAATAGCACTCATTGTTTACAGATAAAAGAAAAGTCTATTTTTATTATAATTGACAGAACTCTGCTAGTTGTGTGGCGATGATGAATGATCCCAGTGACCCTGGTCTGTGGAATGATGCCACGTGTACTACCTCACGAGCCTACCTCTGTCAGTCACCATTAGGTAGTAGTAGTTTCTGCTATCTTTTGATATGCCATTTTCCTCTTTCATTCAGAGAAACAAGATTGCTTGCTTACTTTATAGGAGACGCATGTGTTTTACCTCCCAAAATATGGTACCTGTTAACATGTTGCTTCACTTTTGGTGCAATGTTTTCATCATGTCACTCGGAGGTACAACCTAAACTTGACTTGCACCATTCTACCATTGAGTTGATTTCTTCTTTACTTTGTTGTGTACACATGGTCTCCCAATCAACTACTTGTCATGTGTTTACATTGTTCTCTGTCATGTCACATCTCTCAGTTTTTGTCATGCACACCTTTTGTTTTACTTTCAATCTTTTTAGTGTCATCTGGTGGTGATCCTCCTCCCCTACCAGGAAACCCATGTACAGACAACAAGTACTCCAACTATGACGACACATGTTTCCTTATGGAGGACACTTACAAGCGCTCGTTCGAACAGGCCAGAATAGTATGTACATAAATGATACATCAACAGCTGACATGATCAAATGCACATTCTTTGTTAGGAGTACCGTATGTCTATAATTAACATGGAGGCAAATGCGATGAAATTTGTTTGTGAGCCCAACAGTAGATGTTTCATGTTAGTTAACCCTTTCCATACCACGGGCGACTTATGTCAACAAGGAACTACCCCATGCCTCTTACCATGGGTGAATTTAGTCGACCAGGAAACCACACACAGAACATCACCCTCAACACAGATTTAATCACTGCTTGTCAGCAAGCTGGCATGTCGGTATGTTTAGCCGCCCATACAGGTACATCAACCATATACCAGCTGAAAGAGTGTTTCAGATCATATTCTAATACAGTGAAATCTGGATAAGTTAAACCTTAAGGGAACGGGTTCAAAATTTGACTTAAAGGGGAATGTACGACATTTACTTTTGCTGCAATTTTCAGAAATAAATGGATTTGGAGGATTAGTATGTTATAGCAAATATTGTTACACTGACTTGTTTCATGTTTTGGGTTCGTAGAACCAAGAAAAACCAAGAAGACCAATCATATTCTTGTAGTTTGGTTCCCTGACCCCACTTAAGATGAAACGGAGCAATTTCTTTGGGCAATTGTTAGATCAGAGAATCAGTCTAGTAGTCTTGTAGTCTTCACAGGTGTGTAATCAATTGCAAAGAAAATGCAGACGAACTAAATATGAAAAATTAGGAGCACATTTTGAAAAAAAGCCAATTTTCTTCAACGCTGGTCGGCTGACCAAAAATACAGTTTTTTCTTGATAATGTCAGCACACCAGGAGGCACAACTTAACAGAATGCTTTAGACTGTCCTTCCCTAACAATCCAGTAAGATATTTCGTGATAATTTGATCATTGCGTTTTTTGATGTTTGCAAATGTTGTATCTTCCCTTTAAGCAGAGTTAAGCAGGGATGTATATCATTGTTATATTACTGAAGGGAATGGATTCTTTGTTTGACTTAACAGTTGTTTTGCATTATCAGAGTTTGATTTTAGAACTTACAGCAGGACTGTTCTAAACAGAACAAAAACTACTTAGCAAGTTGATAATAAGCAGGACAAGTTCTTCTCAGAACTTATATCTTCTAAGCAGTAGTTATTACCACATGGTGTTACCGCAAAACCGAAACGATACCGATACCCCACCATGCAAAGCCTCAAATCTTATAGAGTTTGATTTATCGAGATTTCACTGTAGTACAGTTTATTCATGTGTTACCATTACAAACATTTAGGAAAAGTGCTTGAGAAGTATATCCATGCACAATTTGAAGTATGGAGTGCTATTTGGTCATGTGGTAATTATGGCTTGCAGTTTTGTAAATGGGACAGATACAAAAAATAGCATAAGTTTTTTATTTTTTGCACATATGGCCTTGGTTTTACATCACATAAAAGAGTAAAGTGGAAGTATCAAACTTAACACTCAACACTCTTGATTTAATCACTCCTTGGCAGTGACAATGGGTTGAGTAAGTTTTCAACTTGTGGTCCAGTTTTCATGCGCTAGTGAATTCTGCATGAGTGAGTAAATAGTTTGGTTCTGTGGATAGCCAAGTCAATAAACACTGTGTGGGTTAAGCTGCAAATCCTACCAAATTTGCTGTGCACTAAAATTTGCCATAAATACAGAATGTTCAGATCAGATGTGACACTTAGGCTAAGCCAGGGTTCTCCCCACGTACAAACGTGAGTATCGGCCCGATACGCTGGAATTGCAGCCCGCTACGCCGACAAAAATGCCGATCACATTTTTCAGCCACCGATACGCACAATATAATTATTATACAAGCCATTGAAATGCACAACATAATCGTTTCATATGCCATTATTTCATCTTGACATGCAAAATCTTGACAAAAATCCCGTATTTCTGATGCATGTGTGATCAAAATGCACACGATGAAGGGTCTTTTGCGTCGACCGCCCACACCCAGCTATATATTAGCGCGCATACGGCATGGTACACTGGTTCCCTTCGCGTGCTAACAGTATTAATGCTATGATGAAGGACCGAAACCAGTGACTACTGCCTCGTGCGTGCATACATGATGATGACGTCTGCCGAAGTTGGATCGTAAAAACACCAAACAAACATCGATGGAGAAAGAGAATTTCTGCAAATTAATTCACAGAACGTGATCTTTATTTTCTGTGTATGTATTTTTCATTAAAATGACGAGATTGCAAAGCTCGAACTTGTGGCGAAACATCGTAGCGTGCATCTTAGAAGCAGTACTGCAAAATTTTCGGCCACGTGGGATGGGCCGTACATACACAGTGCAGTAATGCACACTGATACTGCGCCGTGTGTGCACAGCGCGATGTATGGCCGGCCAGACTGAATGTTGACGGCGCCAGGGGCGTTAAGCATATAGTGTAAACAACCACCTCAAATATATTTTTAATTAGGTGAGGCAAGTTTAAATCACTTTTGATGGTCAGTCTTGATAATGTTCGTGGTGCAAAGGAAAACAATCCAGGCACAAAACTACATGATTCCTTGTTCAATATGCTTCTTTCAATCGTGTGTTTTTATTCCTCCATGATTCAATCAGCAGCCGAAAAATTGGCGAAATAATTTTTCTGAACTACTGACGCTTTTTTGAAAGGCATGTAATTGGAAGCAAAAGTGATTATTTTTTGTCTTCACCTTAATTTCTAAATTTGAAACTTGCTTGTAAATATAATCCATACTTTCTAGATCAGGAAGTTTTAACACAGGTTTTGAAATGTTGAATTTTTTTTAAGTTAAAAATTTTGATATTATTTTCTTTAATAATACAAAAAAACAAGCTCTCCTCTAAATTTTAAGGAAAACTTTTCCTTAAAGACTCCCCAGATTTGCTCTAAAATGCACCAGAGAGCCTCTTAAGTCTAAAATTTTTCGGGGCCATTAAGCGGGCCCCGAACCCCTCGCCATGGCTTCGCAGGTTGGTGTATCATAACAAACTTCCCCCACAAGTTTGAAAAAATCCTGAGGAGAACCCTGCTAAGCCCTGTCTTAACACATTATATGTTATAGACTAAACACATGCTCAGCCTTAATAGCACGTATTTCAACCTGCATAAAGTAAACAGACGCCTAAGCTTGACAATATTATTGGATGTGCTTGCGGAGAGTATAGACAGTAACAACGCTGACCTTTGTCAGGTTGTGGGCTTGCGTCCAGCGTGTTGGCTGTGGGTGCTCATTTAAATAGTCAAGGTTTCTCATGAACATGAATTAAGAAGATTATTGAACTATTTTCATTTTCACTACCTGATAGGGTTGGTTTTGCTGAGATATCATTTGACCCCCAAAATTTTTTGTCTTGAATAGAATTGCGAGAGTAGGGATGGTAGCTTGCTGTCAGTGAATGACCGATACGCGGGGGCGCTATTCACGTACCTCCTGTACCAAGCTGGTACTGATGATGAAGCCTGGTTGGGATTGAGGCGTAATTCTGTAAGTACACATTGATTTATGTAAGTGGAACAGCAGATTAAAGTAAAAAGGTTTATGTACGATACTTGCTGCAGGGGCTATCATGCACTATGCATGTATATCATGAGACATATGACAACGCTTTCCGGGTGACTGGCCTGATATCCCTGAGCGAGCGAAGGGAACAACTTTGTATCAAGTTCGCGAAATCCCTGTTCAAGAATTTCAGACATTGGTTATACCCAAGTCACAGAGCTCAATTCATCAGCTTCGACACAGTGGACGACTGAGAGACTTTAGGTGCAGAACATGGTTAGAGACTGCGGAGCAGTGCCCTGCTCAATCTAGTCAGACTCATTAATCGACACCTAATGAAAAGCAAAAATTATTGTTAAGTCTAGATGCTATACCAGAACATAGCCATTCCAGTATTGTGTTCTCTACGCTAATCTTTTTATCTTCTCGTTCGTGAAGATCATGGTTTCTTGTTTTTCTTAAGGTCCGTGCAATATGTAGTTTATATGTTTGTTGATAATATGAAAATGTTAAAATTTTGATGTTATAAATGCCCATTTCGGTATCATTTTCTCATCACGTCAACCTTCCTATTTTCTTGATTATGATTCTAAACAATTCCAAATATTTCCATAAAAGCTTATATTTTATATGTTTTATTTTTGTTGTTATTACTTATTGAATTAATTGAACGAACTACATTGGATTTTTTTTTTCTTGCTTTTTAACGGTTTCTCTTCTTTTTAGTTAGTCTGGTTTAGAACATTTCAATTTTTAATGTACCTGTACCCGCAGTATAATAGTCTTTTTAAAATGACTTCTGTCATATCGTAAACCATTGCAATTCAGTCCTTGGACTATGAGAATGGTATGAACAATAGAACCCTTAATTCATTCAATTAAATTCAATCATCAGGAAATCTGATGATGATATTGCATGATGTATATTCCATGCAGCAAGTTCCCTGCATTTATTTCAAATTCTCCTGGAAGGTTTCAATTCGGGGATATTACTGAAGATCCTAACACAACTTCATGATCAGTAGTGCAAATCCTTGACCCTATCACTAGACATGTTGAACGCTATGCTAAATATTGACAGGTCTGTCTAGAGACTTTATCTTGAGTCCACTAATTTATAGGATTTTTTTTATATTCTTTGATTCTTTATTTTAAATTGTTAGGATACTGGAGTATTTGAATGGATTGATGAGTGGCCGCTGCAGTTCACCAAATGGGGTCCCAATGAACCAAACAACAACAATGGAGATTGTGTGGCACTAACTCGTGCCGGCAACTGGGCTGTCCGCCCATGCAGCGCTAACAAGTTCTACTTCTGCAAATACCCCTGTAAGTTGAACTACAGAGCAAACATCAAATATTTAATCCTTTACTCTCAACAAAGACAAGCTCTAGCTGAAGATTGGGCGTGTGAGTTTGGAAGACTAATTGGTAGGAAAGTATTAATTCCTTATGCAATCACATGATTTTAGGTAATTGTTTCGGATTTTAATTGTGGTTAACTGAGCACCAATGTGTGTTTATTTGTGAACCTTCAAATTTCCTGCAAACATGTAAAAAATCAACATACATCCCTGGGAATGGCAAAAAATGACCAAAAGCTGATGAGCATTGTGACAAACCAACTTCTCTGTTTATCCCCTTGGCTTTTAAGCCAGAAAGGGGGATATGGTGCTAGCTGTGTGTACATCCTATAAGGACTTGGGACAATGGGGTGTGTGTGATAACAATGGACCTGATGCTGCCCGAGGACACACACATGCAAAATCATCAATAAAATGAGGACAGGAACCAAATCGAGGACGTCCTCGATTAAAGAATGTGTACAAAACCAATGAAAGCTGTTCCAAAACATTACGAGTATAAACCAAGGAAAAGGGTAGAGGAGCAATAGAAAATCCTTGATTGACTGCATAAACAAACCTTAGAGTTTCTTTATGCATTCAATCATGGATCCTCTACACAAGGATAAACAACTCATCTGAGAAATTCAACTGCAGTCGTGTGCCGACTTTAGTCTCGCGCACGCGCATTGTATGTTCTATACGCGTACAGGCCGTTATCAATTCTCGAACCAGAAATTTGGAAGTCGTTTATCCTTGTGTAGAGGATCCGTGATTCAATAGGGGATGTTGAACAATAGAGGACAATAGGGTCCCCAATTCTCAAAGGACCCCAACGCTTGATCATGTACAAAACATATGGGAGGTCTTCCTAAGAAGTTAGAGTACAAACAAAAGAGGGACAATGGGGGTCCCCGATTGCAGGCAAATACACATTTGTCTGCGTTTATTTATGGTGTAAATCGAGGACACACACGCACAACATCATCGCTGAATCGAGGACAGGAACCGTGTACAAAACCAATGAGAGCTGTTGCGAAAAAGTTCGTACAAACAAAGGAAAAGGGAAGAGGAACAAAAGAAAATCCTTGATTTACACTGTACACCATAAACAAATGTGTGTGCATGTGTCTGTGTGTGACATTTTGGTTAGGTTAAATGTGTAGTGCTGTCGTATGAAAAATCAGACTTCAATTTCTATCAAACTTGGTGACAATAATCTTTGGGTACAGGGAACTTCAGATGCCTTGAAAAAAATGAGGTCAAAGGTCAACTAGGGATCAAATGAAGTCATTGTTGATTTTGGTAACAGAAAAGTGCTGTCATATGAAAAGTCAGATCTCAACCAAACTTGGTGACAATTGCTTTGGGTAGGGGGACTTAAGATGACTTCAGACATTTCAGGTCAAACATCATCTAGGGGTCAAATGAGTTCATTGTTGATTTTGGTTAGGTAAACTGAAAATGTGCTTACTAACTGACTGTATAAGTACTGCTAGCATGCCAGGGGGATCGCGCAAGTTTAACTTGCAGTACTTTTAATTTCTTCAATCAGCTACTCCGCCAGATGTTCCAGGGCTGAAGGGAGGGATCTGTCCTCCTGACTACGTAGAATTCCCAGGATCAGATGACTGCTACCTGTTTGATACAACGGCCACAACGATAAAACAAGAAGCTGGAGATCTAACATGTGCCACTAGCCACAACGGAGGCAGATTGCCCAGCATTCACAGCAAAGCAGAGGAAGAATTTGTCAAGGCTGAAGCCAAAAAAGTCTTTGGGGAAAACGCCCAAATTTGGCTGGGTGTAACTCGCAATGCAGGTGAGTGTATGCTGGGGTCGTAGACTGAGCCTATTTGAATATTTGATTAAAATTTGAATATTGAAATTTCCATGTGATTGAATGTTCAGATATTTGATGCTGTAATTATAAGATTCAGTGCTCACAGTGCGTGCACAATACTCCAGCACTTCAAGCACAGGTTAATATGATCCACATGTTGGAGTAAAGAATTCTGAGAGAGGAAAGAAGTCATCTGCATTACTAATACTAAAAAGAAAACCTTAATGCTAAGCACAGACAGTTAAACAGTTAGTATGGAAATTTACTCTTTTTCTTCTTTCAGATGAATTCAATACCTGGTTTGATCAGAGTCTGATGGACTACGTGAACTGGGATGTCAATGAACCTACTGATGATAACGATGCAAACAACAATGGCGTCCTGATGGATGTGAATGGCAGATGGAGTGATGTCGCCTCTACTGAGAGACACAACTACATCTGCAAATCTCCCAAATGTAGGAATCACTTGCCCTCTGCCAGTTCAATTTGTATAATACCCAATGTGTAACTTAATCTAAAAATACACAGCTGCTTTATCAAATGAATCGGGGTCAGCATTATACTTGCATCATTATCGCCATGTTTAATCATGTTGCATGGTAAGGCCACTTTCCACTTGAGGGTGAACAAACCAGTGTTACCATTGCATAACTTTATAGGGACATCAAGCCCCATGTAAGGTAACTTTGAGAACCACAGTCTATGATTACTAGTTCAGATGTCCTAACCACTGGACGACTCAGCTTGCTGGGGTCAGCTGCTAGTTTCACTGCAGAAAATAACGTGAATCTTTATGTGTCATTTGGTCCTCTTCCAGTTCCAGCCCCTCCCACCCCCAAACCAACCAGTTCAGCCATTAAACCAGGTAGGTTGGTTCAGTTTTTTAATTGTTTACCTATTTGTTTTGTTTTTACTATGTGGTGTTTAAAGGGAATGTACATCATTGGCTTTTGTTGTAATTTTCAGAAATGAACTTATTTGAGGGGTTAGTATAATAGATCAAATATTGTTTAGCTGACATGATTGAAGTTTTGTGTTCGAAAATGCTTGAAAAACCAAGAAAAACTAAAATGTTTAAGTAGTCTGGTTCCCTGACTCCACTAAAGATAAAATGGATCAATTTATAGATGTCCGAAAAATTGAAGGTAAGAGAACCAGTCTAGCTGGCCTGCACCCGTTCATGAACATGTAACCAATAGCAAACAAAATTTGGACTGAAAAAAAATTGTAAATTTGGAGCAGTAGTTGAAAAATAGTTAGGTTTTTCCAACGGTGGTCGGCCGACCACTGTTGGAAATATATACAAAAATACCATTTTCTTGAAAATGACTTGACACCAGGTGCCATAATTTTACAGGATGCTTTAGACTGTCATTTACCAACATCCTAGTAAGGTATTTCGTAAAAACTTGGTAGTTTTATTCTTCGATGTTTGTAAATGTTGTATATTCCCTTTAATGGTTTGTGGTGTAATTTTTTTTTTGGGGGGGGGGGTTGTGCCTTTGTTCCAGATTACATAGCCTTTCAACTTATAATTATGGATTTGTGTACTAAAATAAGAGGGACAGGCATGAAGGAAATATGATATACATTTTTCTTCAATGGTTTGTTTCAGATTGATCAATTTCACAAAATGTCTGTTTATGATTATATGATTTGTATGCAGTACATGAAAACAAGTGTGTGGCCCAATATGAAGTTATCAGAATAAGTTTTACTCATTGGTTTTCATTGATCTTTAATGTCAGTTATTAAACTTTTGTTCTTTATTGTATTTATTGCCCTGATGTGTTGCCTTAGTATTGAGTATTTTTACAATATCACTTTCCCCTCCCAACAAGGCTATTCCACAATTGGAAAGTATTTTATCTTTAACAGTCACAGTTCTATACCTAACTATTGTTATGGACTTTGTACATGAACAGTTGATGGTGCTTGATGAGGACTCATAAGAGCACCCTGTGCATGACTCAGGTTGTGTGCACCAGTTGATTTAAGCCCAGAGCAAGGAACAAAATGAATGTGCATAATCATGCATCATGTTTATGTGATGAATGTTAGGTGTACATGGGCAATGCATTTCAATCCCACAAACCTCTCTCTTTGTAACTGCCCAGGAGTACTCCTGCATTCATCAGATGAGTCCATATATGTAGCAGTAGCAGCAGCCGTCAGTGAACTTATGCATATTTTATTTCTTTTGTGCAGTTGCTGGATGGTTGTCTATCCTCTTGACTGGAGCTGCCATCGTGTTTGCCAGACGTTAAAGAAGTTTCTAGTCTTCACAGTGCCTTGCGTCAGTAGGAACAGCATCTGGGCACCCGTCTGATAACCCAATTCCTATGATGATAGCCTTTATTAGTGTCTTTATGAAATGCAGTTGCATTGATGGTTGGACACAACGATTGACAATGAGCGTAAACAATACATGACTCAAATACACAAATATGTTTGAATTGTACAGATATTCAATCAAACCATTTTGAGTGAGATTTTCAGATTGCTTGTCATGATTTCATTTAGTTTGCAGATTAAAAAAATTCCAGCATTTGAAGACTCATGTGTGGCCATTATAAATGTCCTTTTTTATTTCCTAGCCCGAGTATATTAACATGATAACCAAATATATTCGAATTATGCAAAATAGCAACAGTATTTAGTTCTGCTATTTGTAATGGAACTGTTTAACAGTGATAAGTCATTCACTAGGAGAATCTACAATGTAAATTGACAAGAGTGAGACTTGAACCTTAGACCTGATGATTACCATTCTGCTGTGTCCCCCCAATTTGACTGTAAAGCCAATTCAACACTTATTCCCTGAGGCATTTTGGATCGGCGTATTCCTAATTCCTCCAAAGTCCACTTTGAAAAAAACAGCGGCACTGTCTTGATATGTAACTTTCACAGGGCATCAGAATTAATTTAAAGTAAGAAAGGCTGGGCTCTTTATCTGCTTCATTTTTTAAAATTCTTCAAAACCCCTTGGGAGATATTGAATGACAAAAATGAGACACAACTAGTCAGTTTAGTTGATGCAGCACCTGTATGGCATTCTTGAGGTTGGAGGTTCACATCCCATTGAAAAGTTTTATTTCTTCGCCCACTCTAAACATTGCATCATCTGTAACCAGTTAATTCGTATTACTTTGTGGACTATTTGATCGACTCTTAACAATGTTTACTTGTACATTTCTAATTTCTTTTTTTTTTTACCATATGTGGCAGATAATTAAACCAATCAATCCAAACAAGTATTATATAAGTATTTTTGTTTGTTAAATAAAAGAGCTGCTGTTTCTGTAAAGAAATGTCTAAAGGAAAACATTGTATGTTACAAATATTTCATAATTGTTAAAGTAGCTGTCTTAGGTTAGCTCTTGAATAGATGGATCGATTGATTCTCAAGATGAATAATTCTTATGCTTTGTTGCTGATATTCTTTTATTGCATAAGCTTGTCAATTTTAAAAAGGTTGCCTTTTTGCTTTGTATTTGCTTGAAGTGAATATGTAGTAAATATCAAATATAAGTTAATCTTGGATAAATCTTGGATGTCTTGTACCATTTCTTTTCATTAATGAAATTAATTGGCTTCGGTAATTGCCGAAAGAGCCCTTGTTTTCATTAAGAATGTTATTTTTGCTGTTTCGACAATTTGCAGAAAGAGCCTTTTGTTTATGGTTAGACATTTTTCTTTCTCTTTCGGCTTTTTCTCTAATCTGCCTAATTGTTTTTGTTACGATATATTTTTTGTCATTCGCATTCGTACACATTTGCTTTCTTACAGGCACTTGGGGCATTTTTACCAATACAATTGCCTCTAAACTTGTTTGTTTTTGGTACCACTGTCAATTGCCACTAAAGCAGATCTTAGATCGAATAATAACACCATCTTATCCAATCCAGTCAGTAAGCACTTTTATCTTGCCAACACATTATGCTAAATTCAAATTATTTTTTTTGTCATAGACTATAGGCCATAGACATTTGCACAAAATCTGTCGTTTTTTTTTCGGGTTTTTTTTTACACATAAGGGAAGGTCCCATGGTTATGACACTTGGTGGGTCGTTACATAATCACGTTATAGCAAAATCCGAAGTTACGTTATGATGTCATCATTCATTTATTTTATAATGAATTTTAAAGCTTTTATACAACACATATTAAACATACATGTAGTGTATTATAGTTGTATAAAAGCTTTGAAATTCATTGAAAAAAATTACTTTAGGCCCCCTATCCCTAAAAGGGCCGGGGGCGGAATCCGCCCCCCCCCCCCTCAACTTTTTCCACAATAGCTTTGGGAAAAAAATTCCGCGACCCGAGCTGTTATGACGTTTTAGCCTCGGAGCCTTGCGCATCTTTTGATACCAAAAACATCCGGCGCTACGCGCCGTGAAAACGTAATTTTCCCATATACGTCGTGTACGCAGAGCACAAGTACCATTCCTACATATGAATAATTAATTAGCCATAATTCCAAAACCCTTTGACCTATAGTCATGAAATTTCTTGGGTATGTTTATGATGAGTTGCTCTATGCATGAACCAAGTTTCAAAGTGTTTCGTCACTCGATGGCCGATATCTTGGGGGACCCCCCCCCCCCCCCCCCCCCCGGCTGAGAGATGGTCAAAATAATTTTAAAATTTTGGTTTTGAAAATTCTTCTCAGTATATGTAGCAAACGAAACATGAGTAAGATTTAAAACTTTGCATTGCGGTTGTGAAAACATGGTTAATTCAAACTCTTTTTGTAATATCACCCCGACGCACATTCCTCTTATGAATACTTTTTGTAACAGTTTTCAAAGTTATACACTCGTGGAAAGGACTTGAAAAATAAGTGACACCATCAAAATGTGACTTAAAAAAACATTTACGATATCATCTGATTTGTATATTGCGGAATTATTTTGGCTACTCAAGACATCATCAGTTGATTTTGTTTTCAGTTGTTCACGGTGTTGATTTTTTCAGAAATTTCACAAGACAGTTAGCCAGGATTGTCACCATAGGGGGGCTAGTTTCTTTTTTTTGGGGGGGGGACGTTATAACCATGGTCGCTTATTAAATGATTCAAACATTTCCAGTGGGAGGCGTGCCCCCCCCCCAACAGCCTTGGTGAATACAACCAATCATTCGATTAGCCTCAATTTGTGGTTTCCTCGAGTGTAAACAGCAGTGTGGTTGCGAAGGGAGATTTATAAAGGTTACGTAACACTTTATTTTGAATAAAACTACATGCACACAGACATGTTCACACAGGTGGGCGAAATCTTTGAAAATTAATTTCTTCCGTTTGGAAGACTGTAGCTTCATGCAACTTTCAGGGTTTATTTCCCTTATAATGATCCAAGTATCAAAAATCGATATCTTCATTACTTTTCGTTGAAATTGGAAAAATAGGCCTGGCTATGCGTGCATTTCTGAAAGTTGTAACACTGGCGTTTGCAAATATATCTGTCAATCTTTTCAAGCCTCACGATTAATACTGTTCCTATCCATTATGGTGTGCAGTAAAGATTTGCAGAAACGCCTCCTTCACGAGATTTTCTATGAAAATCCGACTCCAATGAAAATCGGACCCCTTTTTCCCTATTATTGGTTAATCCCTCGCACGTGACAGGTCACTCTCCCGTATGTGATCCTAAAAGTAGCATATTCTCGTACTTACGCATGCGCAATACTACCAATGAGTCCACATTTCATGGAATCGGATATTCACGCTACACCGGCTTCCATTGGTCGATACCGAGACCCACGCCAAGTCACGCCGAGTGACGCTAATGAATATGCTAATATGCCCGTCGTCATTGTATTGCTGGGCCGAAATCGGTCAACCGTAAACGCCCACGGCGCTTTGCTGAACAATGCATGTGGGTTGGGTTGGAAAAAAATCCTTGTCGAAATTTTCCATGGAGATGTTCAAGGTGTAACACTAGCGTTTGCAACAACAGATTTAGCTGAAACTCGGAAGATACTTAGATGATATAAGTGTTCAACTTCTCGTGAAATAACAACTTGAAGAAATTCCTAGAAATTGATATAACTGCATAGATTTCGGGAAGTTTTCTAACGATTTCTTCCAGACTTGAAGGTCAGCTTTACCAGTAATTAACCAGTATTGACGTTCCGGCATCCATGACGGCGATTTTTTTTTCACTGACATGAAGTTTAGAATTTCTTTTCCCGTCATAATTTAACATTTCAATCGTACTGAGCATAATCTGAGAAACACAACGTTCCAAAGGCCATGTTTTTGGGGGGATTCACGAATTTCACTGCTCCGTTAGTTACGGCGTCCCTACGTAATCGGACTATTTGCTTGACAACCGGCAAGCTTTCGCCTTCGCAACCATATGGCTGGCGCCGTTAATACAGGGGAAGCTAAACACACGATATTGACAACCCGAGCACGTGATCACCGTACGCACACGAGGCCCCCTTCAATGGCGAAATCATTGTGGAAGATATTGTGCAAAACATGTGCAAAGCTAGCTACTGCCCCATGACGGATTTTTTTTTAACAGTGTAGCTAGCACAATGCATTCGCCATGCCTTTGAGATATATTAACAGGTTGCCTGGATTAGTATATTTATCCATGTCTAGGGGCCTTTCAATGACTTCGAACAATAAGAACCGATAACGGAAAAACAAACATGGTACAACGATCAACATGGCACCGAATACATATGATGTTTCACAATCGACAGTAATTGGCTGTTAAGAAGATAAGGGTAAATTTAGAAAAGTTGATACCTTGTCCCTAGTATGATAGTGATTTGAAATGGTAGTAATTTGTCATTAAGTAAACAAACAGCAGATATCATTCAAGTATAAAATTATGGACTTCATTTTGAATTTGACGTAGGGGACAACATCACTGCAGTACAAAGGGTTCTTTGTCCATTATTATACCCTTGATTTCAGAACCTCTTCCATTATTTGCCCTTCACAGAGAACTTCTCAAAACTCAACACATAAATCGAAACCCATCCGGACATAGTATACGCATGCACAAAATTAATGAAATTCAAAGTGAAGTGTTGTTCCCGATGAGCATCAAGGCGTCAAAATAAAGCCAGTCTTTCCTTCGCCTTTGTACTTTCATATATATTCATCCAAATTTGGAAGCATTCTTGTAGTACAACGCAAATTGAACTGACTTCCTCTGTGCTCCGCCCAAAAAGGAGCAAAGAGACAAGCTTACATCTAACAGAACTGTCGCGGAGAACAGATATCAAAATTAATTTCAAGGTCATTGGAGTGGTCAACCTAGCCTAAAGTCAGAGTTGTAATGACTTGAGTCAGTGACTCGACTCGAGTCCGACTCGAGCCACAATTTTTGGTGACTCGACTCGAGTCCCTAAGGGCAAACGACTCGAACCGACTCGACTCGACTACACACTGTGACTCGACTCGACTCGACTTTCTTGACCTAATGACTCGACTCGAGTCACTTCTTTAAAGTGACTCGACTCGACCCGAGTCTCAAAATCAGTGACTCGTTGCAACTCTGGCCTGAGTAATTTGTCGGTAAGGGTTTTCTCCTTGAGTATAAAAATGCCATGTTCAATATTACACCCTTGAAGAACAACAGGAAAAAAAACAGGCTAGGCCTATTATACGAATTTGTTCCTTGTATTTTTTTTTCTACCTTCCCAGATACATGTATAAAAACGCAAACGGAGAGGTGGAAACAAAATATATGGACTACACGGAAATGAAAACAAGGCGTTTTATGTTTTTTCTTCCAAAGTCCAACCATCTTTTGCTCCTAATGTATTTGCAATAACAATTAATTTCAAGTTTCAGGCGTATCTTTGGAACCAGTTAGTTGTGATGGCCCCCTTTGATAAAGTACTAGATCAGAACTATATATATCGCGTGAACTAGCAGCTGGCGTTGCCAGCTCAACAGACGACTACAGGCAGCTACCAAAAGTTCTGAACTTGATGAAGATCGCCATGGCTGGCTTGCGTGTTTTGGGACTTCTTGTGTTAGCAGTGGCCGGTGAGTATTCCGTATGATCTCAGTTATGATGGCGGAGGGGCATACGTCACGTTTTCACCCTGCACGAGGTGAAAGCGGCCCCCCTTTTCCATCCGGGCCCTTTGTGCCAAACCTTAAAAGCTTCTTTTTTTCTGGCACACGTTCGAAGCCAATTTTGCAGGAAATCGGACCTAAATGACATCCCGACCTGTAAATTTCAAAATTTAATTTCCAACACAGGCACGTATTTATATCTAAGTTTTAGGTCCGGTGCGAAATGGGTTATTTTCTTAAGAAGAAAAGTCGCCTTTTGTGGGTAACCCGTGCATATATTGCTTTACTTGCATGATTATTGCAGTGTCTGCCAAGATCCGACCCTCCGTCCCCAAGCTTATGCAAAAGGATTAAATGAATATTGATAGTGAAGCTTAAGCCTACGTATGAGAAATCCTTGCTCAAAGTAAAGATGGGATGACCTGGTACAAAATTATTCCGCCTGAAATGGTATCAATCGCGGAGGAAAACAAAATCATTGAAAGAAGTTTAAGAAAATGTGCCCGGTGGCACAGGGTTTTTTTCACGTGCGTTTTCAGCAACGGAATCCAGTTACGAGAACCCCAAAATTTTACATTCGTTTGCTCCGTGTTCTCATAATGTATAGCTATACAGCCTTCTAATTATGTTGCTTCAAACGAAAACGAAATGCACAAAAAGCAAATTTTTCTATCAGAACCAAAGATTTGGGGTCTTTTCATCCGTAGCCAGCAGGGGAGGCAAATACTGTGCCCCGTCCATATTTCTGTCTGCTTCCGCCGATTTCCGTAATATTTGGCAGGGGGAAGTTTAATTCTCTTAACAATAACGTCATAATTTTGATTGTGCTGCGGCTACTCAAGTGCTTTCAAATGTTGCATGAAAGATCTCTGGTGAAAAACATTCAAGAAACGTGTGCACGCATCCATAATTCCATATTTAGCACTGGAGGACGATGTACATGTATATACTAATTGGGGCAAGATTATTTTTTTGTTATTTTCCCCGCCCCAAATTTGAATTCTTACAGCAGAAATTTGGAATTGTGCTCCTTTTACAGTCCCGATAAAGTAGAAATAGCTCAATCTATTGATTTATAGCTTAATGTATTGATTAATTTTAATGAATAATTAAAACTTCTTTGAAAGGAGCCTGATATTATTACACCAACTGGGGCGAGATAATTATGTTTGTCACTTTACCCCCCAAAAATCGTTGCCTTCCCTATGCTCTTCAACAAATTCGATTTTTTCTCTCTCTCTCTCTCTCTCTCTTAATAAAAATAATGTTCAACACAGATTCTGCTTGCAAGCAGAGCTGGTTACTGCATGGTCTGTAGGCATATTATGGGCAGGAACAGGGCTATAGTCGTGTTCCCTAACGTGGCGCACTTCGAAGCTTACCCAACTTTCCTCGTGTAGTGTTGCCAAACCTCTTTGTTGATAATCCTCAAATTCATGCAGTGAAATACTGGTACTTATACCTTTTTAATGCTTGCTATTTAACCTCTGTGAACAATTTCGGTTTAATAAAATTTAATCCGAAATGCAAAAACGGTCACGTCCGGAAATTGGGCACAAATTGGCGGAGTGTTCCCTAACGTGGCGCACTTGAAGAAATCTCAGAAAATTCCAAATTAACATTGAAGAATTTCTGTAAACTTGATAAATTCTGATAAAATCATTAATATATTTACTTACAAACCCAGCCAGATGTTTGTCAGAAAATTATTTTCTTATTTTTCGGGGCATTTTCAAAGGGTTCACTTTGCACTTGAAAATAAAATCGGAAAATCACGCCAAATTTTTTTTTTCTTTTAACTTTGTAACGGGTAAATAAACTCACGATTTATGAACGGGAGTGTTTAGAACTTGATGAAATTTCACTTTCTGTGAAATTTCAGTTAAAACTTTTGCTCTAGCTAGGCGCTACAGGCGAAAAATAAAAGTGCGCCACGTTAGGGGCCGCGCCACGTTAGGGTACATCAACAATATACCGCGTGTTGTCGAGCCGCAATTAGTCATTCGACATAATTGTAAAATAACAATTCAGTAACTAAACGTGGGCCGATGTGTTGGTCGATGATCGATTTCTTAGGCCCTATTCGAAGGTGATTAACTTCTGTATTGCTACAACGGCGGATGGGGGGGGGGGGGCAACGGTGGCCATTCCCCCCCCCCAAAAAAAATCAAACCCAACTTGAAAGTTATTTCAAGTAACGTCGCAAAAGGCATCCATTGCTATGGGCGTTGCCAGGATTTTTTCCGGGGGGGGCAAAGCAAACTTTTCCCCAGAATTCCTTAATTGTTTCATTATATTCTCAATTTATATCATTTTTCCGAACATGAGCAGGGGAGCATTTGCCCTACTCCCCATCAAATTAACAACAATATGGCTTCGCCCCTCTTTTTCCTTCCCCTTGCCCCCCCCCCCCCCCCCTCGCGACGCCCATGGCCATTGCGTACACCACCCACAAAACTCAACAAAAGCAATACATTTGCACCCCTCCCCTTGCTTTTCATATTAAACTTAATTTAGGGTGGAACATTTTTGGACCCGCTTTTCGGGATTTTTTTTTCTGGATCCGGCCTTGTATTGATAAATTTATTTTAGGGGATAAGGACATCGCGGGGAATGCTGCAACTGTTGTGAACTTGAAGTTGAACACTGGCGAGCCAACCTGTAGTAGGATGGGTTGCCCTATTATCGCGGTACTTATCACGTTTCTCGTTCGGAATAGAGATTGCCCACTAACCTTCCAGAATTGTCCTGTCTTATGTGTAGTATAACTCTTCCTTTTTAAATTAATATAAAAAAAACTGACGGGTGGTGTGGTTTATTCCGTGTACGATGCCTGTGAAAATAGACATGCGCGGCGTGTGCGAACGGAGGTGGACTCCCTATTATCGCGGTATGCGGGAAGTGGTTTTTATAATGATCCCAACTTTTTTGTTCATAGTTTATGTTTGACCAAAACACCCCCTGAATAAAGTCTGATATTTTCCCTGTAACGTTCAAGGTGATTAAAGACAAAATGTCTGCAGGATGATTTCTTAAGACCCTGCCCTTCCCCCGAAAGGAGAACAAAATCCCGGAGGCAAGTCTACTGATCGGCGATTGAGGGCGCCATTCACTTTACACGGTGTGCCGTTTTATTTTCGCCAACGCGCGGTGCTTATTTTGATCCCGTAAAAGTTGTTACGATTTCGCGCTGCAAATATCGTCGTTCGACTTCATTTACATTTGCAGCTGAAGAATGGGAACCAGACAATGGAACTTTCATGGACAGAGCGCAATTAAAGATTTATGTTAAAATATAAACGGTACCTTTTAGCAGACACGGTGAGGGAAAATTTTGCAAGTTTTGGAAAACGTTAATATTTATTAAAATCGTTAAAAGTCCCGAAAGATACAACATTTTTTAATCGTCCTTTTTATACAACTTGGGTGAAAATCCTTGATGACTGGTGAACTGGATAAAAATCGCCACTTGAAGGAGTTTTGACACTGTAAAAAGAGAAATTTCCCATGCCGCGATAATAGGGATGCCGCGATAATAGGGAGTCCGAGTATACCTGGCGCGACAAACATCTGAACATGCCACTTTTCCCACAACGCCCCTCCCTTCTGATCTTAATCATTCTCCGGGGCCGATCGCAGGGCAGGGGCCACCAACGTCGGCCTTTTTTTTTTTTTATCTATGTTCCAAAGAACACTCACCCGGCCAACTTTTGAGGTTAGTAAGGCGATCAACAGGTAGGCCTACAGTGAAGTCCCGGTGCTTTTTGTTTGCCTGGTCGCTGCCAGCGTAATTATAACAGATCGTATCTTCAAAAGTCAATAACAATGCAACCTGGGGGACTTTTACCTTCCTACTAATCTACCTCCATCCTTCCTATAATGAGGTAAACAGGGAAAATGGCACCGGGGGAGAGGGGATTGTATATAATATAAGAAGGGCCGCCGCACCGTGCCGTATAGAGTAGGGCTATACATGTAGTCCTATATGAATTTCAAATTGGAATTGGGGCACTCTGTGCTATTGTATGACATTGATGAACCTTTTTTTTTTTTTAAATCCCCTCAACAACAACAACAAAACAGCAGCGAGGTTATCGGTTTCATAGTGCTATTTGAAATTCATCAATAAATAGGTCACATCAGTTTTAGTGGTTTTGCATGTGTTTTTATCAGAAGGGGGATTCTGCCGGGATTCTACGAAAGCCCATTAGCACCACTGCAAGTATATGTTTTTACTTAGCAATTCGTTATTACGGATTATGAATTCGTTATTACGATTTATTCAATTCGTTATTGTACGTATTATTTAATTCGTTATTATGGATTTAAGTTAATTCGTTATTATTAAATACGTTATTTACGGATGATTAAATTCGTAAATTATTACGGATCACTAATTCGTTATACGTTCCGGGTTCCGTAGTATTCAGCAAGTATGGTACCAAGACAGTGCGAGCGATACATTCGATGCTAGTATTGCTACTTCCATCTCAGTTTAACTTATAGTCGGGTGGCTATAGACCCATTTTTTTCAGTTTTGACAAGATCGTGACCGAAAGCACCAAACTTGGAAGATAGATTCTTATAGCCCAAGAGAAGACATTTAGAAGGAGTGTAAGACACCTGAAATTCTTTTGGGAAGGATGCCTAATTTGCATAAATCGTTAATACCTGTCGTGTAATATAATTGTTTCCATATTTGCAGGGGCGACTGGATCCAGGAATTTTCACGGGGGGGTGTATCAGCAAAAAAAAATTGTAAAAACGTAGACAGGTTTTGTTCTCGGGATATTTGGTCTCGGGGAGGGGGGGGGGGGTGTTCAAATCCGACGAATATTAGCACTTTTACAGAATAGTGTACAAAAAGAACATAACCAAGCTGGCTCTGACCGTATTTTGGGCACATGCAGGCGGACATTAAAGAGAATATACATCATTTGCTTTTGCTGTAATTTTCAGAAATGGATAGAATTGGGGGGTTGGAAATATAAAGCAAATATAGTTACACTGACTTTTTGGAGGTTTTGGGTTCGAAAATGCTATAAAAACCTAGAAAAACGATCATTTTCCTGTAGTCTGGTTCCCTGACTCCATATAAGAAGAAACAGAGCAGTTTACATACATTGGGGAATTGTAAGGTAAGAGAACCAGTCTAGCTGGCTCGTACCCGTTCATAGGTTTGTAATCGATTGCAAACAAGTGCAATGGTCAATTGGGGCCAGTATTTGAAAAAAAGCCAGTTGTTTCCAACGCTGATCGGCCGATCAGCGTTGGAAATTGATACAATAATACCAATTTTCTTGAAATAACAGTATACCAGGTGCCATAATTTTACAGGATGCTTTAGACTGTCATTTACCAACATCCTATTAAGGTATTTCGCAAAAACTTTGTAGTTTTATTTTTCGATGTTTGCAAATGTTGTATATTCCCTTTAATTACCAGTATAATTTTTTTGGTGTCAGAGGCCTATTTACTGGACTGCCTCCGTAAACATAGGCCACACATCCACATGTACAAAAACGTGTCGATTTTGTCAAATTTTGATTTTCACATTTAGGCTTACTTTGTAGGTTATTTTTACTTTAGAAGCATTCTCACCCTCTATATAGGCTAATCAGAAAGTGCTGCCTTTTTCAGATGTCCATTTTTCGTGAAATTTCCAGATACATTTGCACACGTTTGAGTATCAAAATTTCAACATGAAATTTCACAAAAATTAGACATCTGAAAAAGGCAGCACTTTCTGATTAGCCTATATAGAGGGTGAGAATGCTTCTTAAGCAAAAAAACCCTACAAAGTAAGCCTAAATGTGAAAATCAAAATTTGGCAAAGTCGACACATTTTTGTACATGTGGATGTGTGGCCTATGTTTACGGAGGCAGTCCAGTAAATAGGCCACATTTATGGGGCTAGAGTAACTCCAGATTATAGACTATGCGATAGGCGTTAGATCTGGAGTTACTCAAGCTAGCTCATGACGGAGCTTTTCCTAGCGAATCTCCCCATGTCATGAGCCTGCTCCTGAAATCAGAAGACTTCAGCAGACGGAGGAAGCCTTCTGATTTCAGAAGTATCATTCATGAGCCTAGAAAGCTGGAAATTTTAAGCCAGCCACAGGAATGAATTCCAGTCAATAACAATTCCGAATCAATTGAATCAAACTTGTGCACACTGGGAACAGTTTTAATACGAGGCCTGATTTGTATTGTTAAATTGCTTCTTTTGTTCTTTTTATTTCACAGTACCGCTGGTCTACGGTGTTGGTGAGTTGACTTTTGTATAGGCCCTACTATAAACCTATTGAAAGCATTTTCTAGATACGCATTCTGAATCCTCCAAATTCACCACTGCCTAACTGCAGGAACCCATGGACAAGCTGTTTGTAATTGCATGGTCCGGTTGATGTGGTAGATGTACAGAACTTGAATAAAATAAGTATTTTGTAATGAGGTGGTTTGCAACGCAAAAATGTTTGTTGAAAAATCGGAATGCTCGCAAAACCATTTTTAATGTTAAAGTTTTGTTTAAAACACTTTTAGCTATATTTAAATTATAGAAACCTTTCTTCAAACTGGTTACTGATGATTGTACATGTAAATTGATAGTCTGACATTGTGTTTGTGGGGAAATTACTGCCTCCCAGAAAGGATCTACTTGGATCGAACAAACTTGCACAAAATACACCAAACCAGCCAATAACATGAATGTTTCTAAAATCGGGGCATATATGTCACAAGAAGTGAGCTGCAAGCTAGTTTCTTATTTTGCTTACCTGTGCAGGCTGCCCAACTAACTTCTATCGTATTGGAGACATATGCCTGAGCCTCTTGCAGGAAGATGACCAGACATTCGCTGATGCTGAGGCAAAATGCAAGACTCTCAATTCAGAGGCTACGCTTGCTATTGTGAAAGACTACCGCACACAAGGTGAGACAATTCTTTTGAAGTCCTTTTGAAGTCTGCTTCATTTAAATTATACATAAATGTACCGGTACATATGTGTTGGCCTAAATCGTGTAACCAAATTAAAATTACCCATTCCATGTGCATACAGTCTTGGACTGCTTGAAAAAAACCCTGACATGATCGAACGTCTAAAACAATTGGAACTCAAGGAACCACACCAAAGCAAGCCATACTAGTAATAAGCAGTTTTTTTTGGTTGAAAACCTAGTTTTCGTGTTGTAATTTCTCTTTTAACATGTCAAAAGACTGATTGTGGTTTTTTTTTTTATTGTTTATCACAGCTCAAATTGTTTCATTTATGTCCTTGGACAACACCCAGGATGTATACATTGGACTCAAAGCTACCCCTGCTAACCCCTTCTATACTTGGAGCGATGGGACGGCATTAGATGTGTCGTTTACTCGATGGGGCGTTGGGCAGCCAGATGGATATGCGTTCTTGGTAATGTAGCAAATGGTTACAACTTACATGCAAATGGAACAAACATACAACCTTCCCTTTAGCAACCTGTCCAATACTGATAGATGTTAAATGTTACATGGGTTATTGCTTTTTAAAAGTCAAGGGGATTTTGTTATTTTATTTGTATTTTATTTGTATTTTTATTGGACTCATTGTAAGATGGACTTAATCTCTCAGTTATTAAATTGTTAGAACACCGGTGGCCAGGCCACCCTTTTTTTAAAAATAACAACAAGCAGTGTTAATTGCCCTGTGTCGAAGCCTAAGGGGCATATACTGTTTCCGCCGTGTCCTTCCGTTGGTGGGTGGGTGGGTGGGTGGGTGGGTGTGACGTGTCCGGACAAATTTTGTCAGCGTGATAACTTGAGAAATACTTAACATACGAACTTCAAAGTTGGTTTGTGGATTGTTCTTGGTAATCCTAAGAAGCTTAATTGCATTTGGGGCCGAAAGGTCAAGGGTCAAGGTCACAGTGGCTAAAAAAAAAAAAAAATTGTCAGTGCGATAACTTGAGAAATACTTTACCTGTGAACTTCAAATTTGGTTTGTGGATTGTTCTTGGTAATCCTAAGAAGCCTATTGCATTTGGGGCCGAAATGTCGAGGGTCAAGGTCACAGTGGCTAAAACAATAGAAATCTTGTATTTATTCTGAGATCATAGGGATTGATTCATATAAAACCTACAGAAAACACTAATGATGTCAATGAACGTTTCATGTGACCCAATATACATGTACATGTAAGTTGATGTTAAAAGAGTGGTGTTATGTCATGGGAACAGTCATGGTTGCGGGGCATTTGTGTTTGTAAACACACCTGACTTGTTATCTCAATTTCTACATGTAGGAATCTCCTCAAGTTAATTCACGAGTAGTTGAACACCTATATCATCTAAGTATACTCTGCATTTCAGCTTAATCTGTTGTTGCAAACACTTGTGTTAAACCTCGACTACAATGTATCTCCAAGGCAAATTTAGGAGAGATTTTTTGCCAACCAAACACGTGCATGGTGTTTAGGATGGCCGATTGTGGGGCGACAATGCTGACAAAGTACATAATTAGCATATTCACAAGCGTGACTCAGCGTGACTTTGTGTGGGTGTATCGACCAGTGGAAGCCGGCAAAAAGGGTGATACTTATTAATTCATAACTCATGAAGGAGGCGATATACTACATTTTTAGTACACACCAAAATGGATAGGAACCTCATTATATCATGAGGCTTGAAAAGATTGACAGATATTGTAAACCCCAGTGTTACAGCTTTGAATAATGAACATACCCAAGCCTATTTTTTTCCAGTTTCAACGAAAATTATATAACGATTTTTAGCACATAGTTTAATCATTATAAGGGAAACAAACCCTGAAAGTTGCATGAAGATACAGTCTTCCAAATGGGAGAAACTGATTTTCAAAGATTTCGTGGGCGAACATCCACATGTCTGTGTGCATGTTGTTTCATGCAAAATAAAGTATTACGTAACCTTTAGAAATTGGCCTTCGCAACCACATGGATATGGGCCAGGCACATGTATATTATGGGGTACAAACTGGATGTTAAATTACATTTCATGCAAGTAATGCAGCTACCAATTTTGATTGGTATATTTTCTGGAAAATTTGGCAGACCAATACAGAGTATTGTGTGGTACTGGATAACAGCAACGAGAAGCAGCCTGGCTATTGGTATGATGTGCCCTGCACTGAGCAGCATAGATACATCTGCAGCAGAAAAATGGGTAAAACGTAGTTTGTTTTCCACCATTACTGTCATATTTTTCTTAATTGGCTTAGGTTGCACCATTTTTCTTGTGTACCACCACCAAGGGAAGTACTGTACTGGTATATCTATCAAATGTATAAAAACATTACCATAGGCCATGCAAATGCAGAGAAATCCGCTTTTCTGCATAGTTGCATAGTTTCTTTTAAATGATCTTAACAGTTTTCTACCTATATAATATTTCAGTTGACTCAGACATGATGTCTCAAATTGATATGGCATAATATTGGATGACAATTAATGTGTACGTAAACAACCTTATTTCTGTTTGTCTTTCCTTTTCCTTTTGTATTCTCTGTTTTTGTGCAGATGATAGCGACAATAACAAACCAATACCTGGGACTCGATGCACTAACGATTTCATTCCGCTTGGCAATAGTGCATGTTTTTACTTGTACAATGACGCAGCCAAAAGTTATGATGATGCACAAGCTGCATGTCGGGCCGTCAACCCAGGGCCCCAATACCAAGTGAATCTTGCAACAGTACTGAGTGGCTACGAGTCAGCGCTCGTGGAGACTTTAATGTACTCATTTGATGTACCATCTGCTTGGATTGGATTGAAATCAAATAACGTGAGTTTCTTCTTAAACAAGCAGTTTTTTACTCTTTGACTTTGAAATTCGTAATAATATGAAATATAATATTATAGTAACCAATCACAAGGGGATTAATGGCTTCTCAAAAGTGGGGCGGGGACATACCTTGATCAGAACTAATGCGAGCACGAATTGCACTTGGCCGTTAAGCGGGCCCCAGAAAATTTTAGGTTCTAGACGCTCTTTGATATGATCTGAGTCAATTTCTGACCACTTTAACCAATTTTTGGAGCAAAAGATCATCATCTAAATATCATATTCGAGTTTGGAGTCATTGAATCTGTTTTTCTGTCTGAGCTATAGAATCTAATGTAGGCTGCAGTTCTTATTTGGGTTGAAAAAGTGGAGGGGGAGGGGGGCCAAACAATATGATATCCCCACTTTGAAAGGTTGGGGGGGGGGGGCGGGACATGCCTCCCCCTCTCTCCGTCCCCCACCGATATTTAATATTTTCAATATTTTAGCATTTTCCCCCACTATTTTGTAGATAGACCTAACTACACATGTCAGGGACTAAGGATTGGATTAGTCATCAGTGTTCTCCAACAAAGCCTGCTTTTCTTTGAAAGACCATATATAGGGAGGTAAACTCAAGTTACAAGCAAAGATGCATTGACTGTTTGCTGTTATTAATATGTGATGGATATGATTACACTTACTGTTCTTTGAATGTCCAGAATGAATTTGGATGGGAGATTGACTACCCTATAGTCTATACTAATTGGGGGACGGATGAACCCAGCGGTCAAACTGGTGAAGGATGTGTGCGTGCCAGGATCGATGGGGACAATTGGGATGACACAACGTGTGCTGACACAGCAGCATACATTTGCCGTTTCGATAAACTAGGTAAGAACAAGAACTAATAGAAAATAAAATGTTGATGCGTGTAGAATGTTTGTGACTTTGTCTGGCAAAAAAAAGTGACATGACTGAGATGAATTACTTACAAGTATGGGCTTGTAGCTGCACCAAGCTACTTATATTTTGCTTTTGCCTTTAATAATGAAAACAGCTCATTTGAACTTAAGTGTGTGCTACGGAGGGGCTTATTTGTAACAACAATAATCAGTGTTGTAGGTCTCGAGACCGGTCTCGGTCTGGAGACCACTTTTTGCTGGTTTCGGTCTCGGTCTCACTCTAAGCCCCATCCAATGCCCACCCCATTCCTTATTCCTCTGTGATCTAAGCCCCACCCAACCACACCCCAGTCCCCATTCCACTGTGTAAGCCCCACCCAACCCCTACCCAAGTCCCCATTCCACTGTCTAACCCCCACTCAACCCCCACCCCAGTCCCCATTCCACTTTCTAAGCCCCACCCAACCCCCACCCCAGTCCTCATTCCACTTTCTAAGCCCCACCCGACACCCACCCCAGTCCTCATTCCACTGTCTAAGCCCCATCCAACCCCCACCCCAGTCCCCATTCCACTGTGTAAGCCCCACCCAACGCCCACCCCAGTCCCCATTCCACTGTCTAAGCCCCACCCAACCCCCACCCCAGTCCTCATTCCACTGTCTAAGCCCCATCCAACGCCCACCCCAGTCCTCATTCCACTGTCTAAGCCCCACCCAACCCCCACCCCAGTCCTCATTCCACTGTCTAAGCCCCACCCAACGCCCACCCCAGTCCTCATTCCACTGTCTAAGCCCCACCCAACCCCCACCCCAGTCCTCATTCCACTGTCTAAGCCCCATCCAACCCCCACCCCAGTCCTCATTCCACTGTCTAAGCCCCACCCAACGCCCACCCCAGTCCTCATTCCACTGTCTAAGCCCCACCCAACCCCCACCCCAGTCCTCATTCCACTGTCTAAGCCCCACCCAACCCCCACCCCAGTCCTCATTCCACTGTCTAAGCCCCACCCAACCCCCACCCCAGTCCCCATTCCTCTGTCTAAGCCCCACCCAACCCCACCCCAGTCCTCATTCCACTGTCTAAGCCCCATCCAACGCCCACCCCAGTCCTCATTCCACTGTCTAAGCCCCATCCAATGCCCACCCCAGTCCTCATTCCACTGTCTAAGCCCCATCCAACCCCCACCCCAGTCCTCATTCCACTGTGTAAGCCCCACCCAACGCCCACCCCAGTCCCCATTCCACTGTCTAAGCCCCACCCAACCCCCACCCCAGTCCTCATTCCACTGTCCAAGCCCCACCCAACCCCCACCCCAGTCCTCATTCCACTGTCTAAGCCCAATCCAACCCCCACCCCAGTCCTCATTCCACTGTCTAAGCCCCATCCAATGCCCACCCCAGTCCCCATTCCACTGTCTAAGCCCAATCCAACCCCCACCCCAGTCCTCATTCCACTGTCTAAGCCCCACCCAACCCCCACCCCAGTCCTCATTCCACTGTCTAAGCCCAATCCAACCCCCACCCCAGTCCTCATTCCACTGTCTAAGCCCCATCCAATGCCCACCTCAGTCCTCATTCCACTGTCTAAGCCCCATCCAACCCCCACCCCAGTCCTCATTCCTCTGTCTAAGCCCCATCCAACGCCCACCCCAGTCCCCATTCCACTGTCTAAGCCCCACCCAACCCCCACCCCAGTCCTCATTCCACTGTCCAAGCCCCACCCAACCCCCACCCCAGTCCTCATTCCACTGTCTAAGCCCAATCCAACCCCCACCCCAGTCCTCATTCCACTGTCTAAGCCCCATCCAATGCCCACCCCAGTCCTCATTCCACTGTCTAAGCCCCACCCAACCCCCACCCCAGTCCCCATTCCACTGTCTAAGCCCCACCCAACCCCCACCCCAGTCCCCATTCCACTGTCTAAGCCCCACCCAACCCCCACCTCAGTCCTCATTCCACTGTCTAAGCCCCATCCAACCCCCACCCCAGTCCTCATTCCACTGTGTAAGCCCCACCCAACGCCCACCCCAGTCCCCATTCCACTGTCTAAGCCCCACCCAACCCCCACCCCAGTCCTCATTCCACTGTCCAAGCCCCACCCAACCCCCACCCCAGTCCTCATTCCACTGTCTAAGCCCAATCCAACCCCCACCCCAGTCCCCATTCCTCTGTCTAAGCCCCACCCAACCCCCACCCCAGTCCTCATTCCTCTGTCTAAGCCCCACCCAACCCCACCCCAGTCCTCATTCCACTGTCTAAGCCCCATCCAACCCCCACCCCAGTCCCCATTCCTCTGTCTAAGCCCCACCCAACCCCCACCCCAGTCCTCATTCCTCTGTCTAAGCCCCACCCAACCCCACCCCAGTCCTCATTCCACTGTCTAAGCCCCATCCAACCCCCACCCCAGTCCCCATTCCTCTGTCTAAGCCCCACCCAACCCCCACCCCAGTCCTCATTCCTCTGTCTAAGCCCCACCCAACCCCACCCCAGTCCTCATTCCACTGTCTAAGCCCCATCCAACCCCCACCCCAGTCCCCATTCCTCTGTCTAAGCCCCACCCAACCCAGTCATTCCACTGGCAACTCTGAACTCTGCAATTCTTTGTCATTCTTTCAGCTATGACGTACCCAACTCCTGACCCAGCTACAGTGATTTTACCCTGCCCCAATAACTGGATCTCCCAAGGTGAAAACTGCTACTACTTCTCTGACAGAAAGACAGACTGGGGAGAGGCCAATTACAGGTGAGGCCAGGAGAGGAACAGTGACACAGAAATGCAACGACCCCGTACAGCATTAGGACAGGTCATCTAATTATGTAAATTTAAGGTGCATGGGAGTAGCTCACCTGGATTGACTCGGGGTAAAAGTAGATGAGTTAGCCATGACGGCCAGGCTAGTGGAACGCTAACGGTGGGCCATCATTATCCTCACGAGATGCCCCTGGCTGTAGCCAGTGACAAAATGCCCGTTTCAGACTGGGTCTTAGTTTGAAACTGACTGTTTCTCAGTCAGCTGCAAAACTAAAAAAAAATTGGGTAGGAATTATAGCCTCAAAAGCCGCAATGATCTCAACAAATGATTACCTTTAGACTTTAGACAAATTAAATTAATTTCTCAGTCCACTTGAGGTTTTCATTGTCCAGCCGCCATATCTCTGTGCTTCTAGGAATGAACATGTGTGTGACATATTGCCACCAATTACTCTGCCCCACAAGTAGGGTCTGTGGTGGCTGCCCCAGGTGAGTCCCGAGAATGACGTCAGAGACAATCAAATGGCACGGGGATGACATGTGTGTCGACCTGGGTGAGCTAAACGAACGCACGTACTGTTAAATGACAAAACTTGTCCTCCTCAAGGGTGCACTGTGCAAGGCGTCTATTGTCTATTATTCATTTGAATAGGATGACTCTCCACTTGACAGGCTGACTTGCGATTATCTCAAGCTGACTTGTCATGCGATTTCACTAGCTAAATATATACATCAGGCTTATTTATTCCACATTACATTAATTAATGTAATGTGGTATGGTTTGATTATACAGCGGGCTTCATACAAACATGCCACAGATGTCTGCCCGCTGATACAGCACAGCCTTGCAATCAAGGCTATGTAATCGTGACTTGTTTACAGTGAATTAAGGCAAAGCCCATTTTTGACCCGGAATGTTAAAAAACATTGGCCTTTTCACACTATCTCTGTTTCGAACCATGTTGAAACCAACCCGGATCCAACCCAGTTCAGCCCAAGTTGTTTTCGACACGGATCGGAGAGATGCAACGTTCACACTGTTCTTTATGGGAACGGTGTAACGTTCAATCCGGCTACGGCCCCTGTGTATTCATACTACATATTCTCAACACGGATCGCATTGGGCATGGGGCACTGTGATAATTTTCTCAATCCCATAATGCATTGCAACGCACGCAGCTGCGCGCACGAGGCTTAAGGACAGGCCGGTGTGCAGCGTGAATTTACTACTCTGTGAATACGGACTCATTGGTAATATTGCACATGCGTAAGTATGATAATTAGGAGAAGGACCTGCCACATGAGAGGGCTTGACCAATAAGAGAGTAAAGGAATCCAATTTTCATGGAAGTCCGATTTCCACGTATGACACTAGCGCAGCTGTGTGCAATATTTCCAAAATGGCTCCGGTCATTTCGTTAGATGATTCATTCTATTTAACATTAGAAATGTACTTTTTTGGGGTACATTTTGCAGACCTAATACAAGCCCAGACTTGTTAAAGGATGCTCCATACTCCGATGCAGTATTGGATGATAATTAGGGAGCGATCGTTTCGTGATTGGTGTTTGTGATGGCGATGATGGTGGAGGGAAATATGCACGGCGTGTCAGATTTTCGGTAGAATGTCGGCCTCATCTCAACACGGATCGGCCGCAAGTGACCCAACTCGGAGCGATTCACACTATCATTTTCGACTCAGTTCAGGCCGAAAAATGCAATTTCGATCCGGGTTGAGATTTTCAACCCTGGTCCCTCCCAGGGTTGATTTCGATCCGGCTAGAGCATGCTACCCCGGTCAGAACCGGGTTGAAATTTTAGAAGTGGGAAAAGGGTTGAAAAAAATCTCAAGTTAAAACCGGTTCCAACCCGGAGATTTTGGACAGTGTGAAAAGGCTTTTGAACTATCTGTTTTGGAAAATTCCCATCCCACATTGCAGTGGTAGATGAAAGCAATGTTTACAAACTTATGTCTCATTGCATGCAGCCAACAAGCCAGTTCAGAATTTCAACTGGGCATGTGCACATTGATATGGGTCATGGGCCATTCGGGATAATCAAACAATTCAAATGCACATTACCGCGGGTGCATGACGCTAGCGTGTAAATTACCAGCAGAATGGGCGTGCGCATAATTACATCGATGACATCCTGTCAACGATGTTATCCCAAATGATCTTGGGTAATTGAAATACCAAATTAGCTTAGGATATAATTTTTTCTTCATACAAAGATGCATGCGGATGTATGAAGGTGCCATGCTTGCGAGCATCACTTCATCAGCTGACAACGAATTCATTTATACAACAATGAAAGCCAAACACCCAACAGAACAATTTGTTTGGATTGGACTGACACGTGTACAGACTGGCAATGATAATTGGGGTAAGTGGTAACAAGCTTTGTTCATATTTAGCATTGACTGCTGTCTGTGGAGATAAACTAAATCAACTTGGAGTCAGTTATGACTCTGTACTGCACAATTAACTTTTGTGCAGTTAGAAACTGAGATAGGATCATTGAACACACATTAATAATGTGTGTACCGTATGTAGTGTGTCCGGCCTGCACATGAGCTGTCACCAGTGAAAGTACAATCTTGTTGTTATTACAATCTTTGGTGATGCATGGAATTCATAATATTGGAGCATTCCTGTTCCCTGGTAATAGCGCCATTTGAACTGGGGTACTCCAAGTTAACAGAATTGTTATAATTGAAAAAAAAAGCAAGGCTTCACAGTAGCTAAACCTTAACTCCTTAACATATACCAGTAAAAACTTACAATTTCTTCAAAGGAATTTGGATTGTGGGTTCTACCTGGGCAGACCATTAAAGGCAAATTCTGAAATTTGTTTTAAATTTAAAATAATTTAGACTAAGAGAGTTAATGGCTGAAGTGTGCCATTTCATCAGTCTCTCTTTTCCAGATGAGAAATGTACTGTGCTTATACATACATGTATATATTCTATTTACAGCTGCACTCATATACAATAATAATAATAATAGTAATAAGTATTATCCTGGATGGACATTTGGGAGACATCCCCATAGACTTGTGCACAAAATTTTTCAAACTTAATTGTGCCCTAACCCAATATTCCCTTGTCCTTTGTCCACAAATTTCGGTATGATTGCTAATAAGACCACGAGCAACAAATATAACTGAATTGGGAAAATGAAATTGTGCCTCTAAAGGGGGGCTGTGACATTAGGGAGACATGAAAATGTCTCCCTAAATATTTTTCCTAATGACTGATGTCTTCCATCGTGCAAAGAAATTACGATAACATGTCTCCTTTGTGGTACCTTTACACCTATAATGCAAAATGTGCACTAGCTTTCTATATCATTTCTGGAAGTCATTTTTGATTATTGTGCATTGTCTGTGTTATGGATTGCCTTTAAAGTGCTCCATGCATTTCTCTGTTTTGAGTGAACATGCATTGTATTGTCTGTCTTTTATTCTCAGGTACATTTGAGTGGATTGATCAGAAAGAGTTGAATTACGCCCTCTGGAGTGCAGCCGAGCCTGACGGAAACGATCCAAATGCAGCTCTGTTGGAGTCTTGTGTTGCCATGTCCATTAACACTGCAGGTGCAGGGGCCTGGCTGGACGAAATTTGCCAGTTCAGTCTCCTCTACTCTGTTTGCAAACTGCCCAAACGTGAGCATATCACAGTCAATATTCTGAACTTCGACCAACATGAAACCATTTACATTTTCTCTCTGCATTGCTTTGACTCAAATTTTAGATTTAAAATTTTAAATTTACAAATCATATACTTCTTTACGGCAGCAGTAAATAAAATACAAGTGTGACAAGTGGTATATGCTCTGATAGAGGTGGTAAAAGAATGCTGCTTTCCAAATACCTCACTGACCACCATGACCACTGGATGAAATTAGGACAATGGTAAATTTCAGCATTCCTCATTTCCATGCAACAATTTCAGGAGGGGGTCCTGATTGTGTAGCCACCCATTTTCAGGTCTTTAAATTTCTGAGATAATTTGTTTGACGATCTTAAAATGTTTGTGAAACGTTCATATTCACATCAAATCATTTTCCACTCTAGATGCTCATTTATTCTTTTAATTATTGGATCTGTTTTTGTTTTTGCGTTTCAGAGAACTCTTATCAGGCACGGAGTAAGTCACATAGATTTTTATATTTCTATAATATACATGTATCTATTTTTTCCATATGGAACATTTTTGTTGACATTTTGAGACCTTTATATGTGTAGAACAATTGTGACTGTTTTTTTTTCTGATAACAGAATTGATATTTATTTTAATGCTTGTAGTTATTCATGTACTTGCTTTAGATCAGTCAGATGTTATTTATACATGATAAAAGAAGAAGCGGTTGCAAACTTACCAATTTATTAAGTTTTTATGGTATATGTTAAAACAATATTCGAGCCAGTTTTTCCTCCAAAGAATAGCTGAGATTATACACATAAACGATCCATTGATGCAAGCTCTCATTTTCAAAAATTTAAAGTGAAGTCTTGAAACTATTCCAAGAAATCTGCTGAATTTCACATGATGCGGCTAAACCTTTATGAAGATGTGCTGAAAAAGACAGGTGCATTATGATGAATAGGAAACAAATAGAGGAATCTCTGGACTCGTATTGTTGATGACTGGGTTTAAAACTGTGCCTATATTGGAATAACTGAATACAGTTTGTGGCGGGAATGTTGAAGAGTTAAAAGTTGGAGATCAGTGCTACTTTCCAAGTACTCTTTTGGGACCTACACAGTCTGACAAAACCTGGACTGAAGCAGAGAATAAATGTCGCGAATATGGTGGCCACCTGACAACTGTCAAGGATCTGGATGAGCAAAACTTGGTGCGGACATTGGTAAGTAATCCATGAGATATTATTCTATGCTGATTGTATAGAACTGCTTCACAATCATGGGCACCCAACTGAAAGCTATATAGTGCCAAACCTCAGAACACTTTGTGGGGGTGCCTTGTGATATCTACCGTTGTGTCACAAGTGTGGGTTGATTTGCTCTCAAAGTCGGCATGCTCTAATGCATTGTTTACTACTAACTCTTTGTGCAATTCATTGATGCTCTAGACTCTTGTGCTTCGCAATACAAGGAAGTTGGCATGCATTGACCACATAACTTGATATTATTTTGCACCTAATAATCAGACAAAACAAATCAAAGAAAGTGGTAAGGTGTGACTGTTGCACTTGGACAAAGACATTTTCTCTTTTTTGCTGCGGACTTATACAATCTTTTTTTTTTTAATTCATTTTTGTTACGATCATTGCAGGTAATAGCCGATGTTGTCTTATAAGGTCCCAATTCCATAGCTTTACCAAGCATATGTTTTTCACTTGTGCTCATAATTCTGTGTTAAATCCATAGACAAAGCATGTTTGCATGTGTAAAGCCCACATTATGTTCAAAATATATTTAGTGAAGATTATTGGCTAGTTGGTAATTCCAGCATCATGTACATTATAAATCAGGCACTTGTTTGTGTACTTTATGAGCTTTTTGAATGAATCTTAACGTGTACTTTTCAAATCTTAAATTGTCATGAAGATTACACACTCAGATACTTGGCTCATTATTTAGATTTCATGGTTAAAAGGCTCTTACATGGACATTTTATTACTAGTGAGATGAATGTCCATACAGTGCTCAGATGTTGCAGGGTGCTGGCCTCAGAGCAAACAAATTAAACCTTTAACACCTAAACAACCTTTAGTCCAACTTGGGAGCCTGGTGTTTATGTTGCAAACTTTTGGGGAACATATGTCTGCAATATTCCGGGCTAATTCATAATTATTCAATGAATTTCTATTTACAACTTAACACACATTGCCTCGGTATTATAATCTCGTTAATGTAATGTTTGTGGCATCAAACTGGCTAAGAAAAGAACTCTTCTTATTTTGCAATGACCACCAGATACGTCATAACTTGCAACGTGTCTGTAGAGGTTGTTAAAGAACTTAAGTTACAGTGTGTTCAACTCATCGCATGTTTCGTGAAATAGATTGTAGGACGCGTTGTGAGTTGCGACGTGTTACAAATCGTAACTCGAGTTGCGACGCGTAAATCAGGTGCAGAGCTACTTGTGGGGCACTCGTACAAAGAAAGTTTTAGAAAAATGGTGCCCTGCAAGTGAAATCTTTAGAAAAAGGGATACAAGGACAACAATGCTCCTGCCAACTCCTCTCTGCTGGAATAGAGTGCGATAGTGATAGTTAAAGTTTGCGTTAAGTTTTAAAAAGAGTAACTTGAACTTATGTTGATGAAACTTGGATACAGTGACCCTTGGGTGGGAAGACACAATTCTTCATTGGGTTACTGAGGTCATGTAGGGGTTATTAGAGGTCATTGTTCAAATTCAAATGAGTCGTTGTCACAGAATTTCATGGATTTTAATGTGACTTGGATGGAGTGATCCTTGGGTGGGGGGTTATCACAACTCTTCCAAAATTGGAGGTCAAAGGTCATCTACCGGTGACTTAAGGTCATTTTAAAAAAATGCACACATTTGATCTTTTTTAAATCCAACAGATATTTTGTTCATGATTTGGTAATATGATTTTGTGCTTTTTACTGTTTATAGTCTTTCGGTTTTGCAAGGAGTTACTGGCTTGGTTTGCGGGATGAAGGCGCAGGCTTTGGGTGAGTGATATGTATTGACATAAAGAACAGCAGCAGCTACAGGACATTCTAAAAATGTTCTCAACGAACAAATCCTGTGTACAATCCCTGGCATGAAACTCTTTTGCTACTTTACATTGTGGGATGCATCTTCATTTTATTTTATATGAAAATGACACATTCATCTTATGAATATAAATTACGGTACCCACTGCTACATGTACATCAGATTTGAACCAGCCAACCGATCCTGCAAGCTTGGTGGTCGAGTGGTGAGACGTCTGCACTAGAAAGAAGCAGGTCGTGGATTCAAGTCCCACCTGAGTGTTTTTTCCAACTTTCACACTGAGGTAACACACCGAGTGTACAGTGTTCATACATCAGTGAAGGGCAAAACCTAATATTGAAAATGACACAACTATTAATAATGACACAGCAATGGAAAAACACTTAAATGACAAAATATATCAATATGAACAGCTGTACAAATGGGTTCTATTGGTAAAATATGCATAACTTCTGATAGCATAGATTAATGTCAGTAATTATTTTTTCTCACAAGAGTGGAAGAAAATGCTAAAGGGCTTCATAGGTACCAAATTGAATTGCTTTTGAGGAGAAATAGTCATTGATCCAGGTCACTTTCTCTTTGACTCACCCCTGTATATTACCTCCAGACGAACCACTCATCCTCTTTCCAATTCCTGGAGAATAAACTTGTAACCAGCCCTTGATCCTAAGTGCTAAACCTTGCCTTTGTGATAGCAGTCAAGAGTCTATGACCCTGTTCCCACTAGATCCACCAATTGGGGGATCTGATCCACCTTTTGCCAAATTGCCGGATCAGATCCCCCAATTGGTGGATCAGATCCGGCAATTGTGTGCAGTGGGAACGCTAACCGTTATAAGATGGATCAGGATCAGATCCACCTTCCTGATCCACCTCTGGACCAGGATACAGATCCCCCGAATGGTTATCACTTAGATCCGGCAATTGGCGGATCACGATCAAATAAAATTTGACCTGTCAACATCCGCCTGCTGCATGAGTGGCGTGAAAATGTTGCGGTCTTATGAATGAAGAAACACGTTTTTAGGCATGTACCGGTAGCTCATGTGAAAATTTCCAACATGCACAACATGAACAATAAACAACCACTGAACTATGGGCTAGCACCGCGAATGCACGATGCATGCATGCATGCAGCGCAAGTGGTATATCCTAAAACTACGCTAGGCCTTTTACAATTTTCGTTGCGTATTGGTCCATGTCTAAACCTTTTTCATTCGTGAAATTTTACTTATGTTTCCATCCGTAAATAACTCTGTGTTAGTGTAAAGCCCGCATTCACCAAAACACTTCACTTTGGCACAGAATCATGGAAAAGCTTATGAGTATGCGATGAGAATATAGCCAATTAACGCGGTACAAACTGAGGTGACAAAACTGTATTATTGATCATAGAAAATTGGAAAATGACGTCGTAGTACATCATGTGACCATTTTTAACCAATGAGAAGCTTCAGAACCAGGGAATCCCTTATTGATGCATTGATTTCTGCCGTGCGAATGTGACGTCACACAATGAGCGGTGCTATTCAATTTCACCAGTTAATTAATGCACAGATCCTTTATACGGATTCGTGATTTATGTCGGTCAATTTGCGTAATTTTGATGTCCTAGCATGAAACACTCGTACTCCTACAGAGCGCGTGCTCAGCAAGCTAAATACCGAACTCAGTGACCTTTCGGACTCGACATTTCCGTTCAAAAAGGCGGATCAAGCATAAGTGGGAACGGGACTTTCAGTTTCGTTGCAGTAAGATAGCGATCACACCAAAGTGCCGGATCTTGATCCACCTTTTGTGAACGTGGTGTATCTGACTCTCCCATTGTCACTGTTGAGTGGGCACTTCTGCTCGTAGTCCATTCAAACAGATGTACATGTGTATCCAATCAGCTGTGTCAAAAGTGTTCATCAATCCTTACTCCTAAATATAAGCGTCCTCACCACTCAAGCATGGAACACATACCTGTCAGTGTTTTAGGACCGGATCTGATCTTTAATTTCAATAAAACTTAGCCAAGAATTTTAATATTTCTGGAAACTTGTGACAAAAACAATGTCTAATTGGGGCATGGCATTACATTTTTATTTCCAACATTGTTCTATTTTTTTTTTTTACTTCACAAAGCTGGAGTGACGGCACTGCGTTTGACATCAGTACCGACTACTCGGCATTCCCTAGTGGTCAACTTCCAGACAACCTGGCCGGTGAAGAAGATTGTACAGAACTGCGTATATGGCAGAGTAAGCATAGACCCTTTGCTCTGTGCCCCCTCACTGAGGGCGATGTTTGCTATTTATATTCAGTGACAACTGATGAATTTACAAATTGTTTACTCGTGTAGATTACAGAGGAATGTCGGTCTGCCTCGCATGTGGTGTCAGATGCTAGGGGTCTATTAATCAATTCAAGAGATTTGCAGTGCAATATAACGCTATTGTGTCATTGGAGACACAAATCCTGCTTTACTAGCAGGGTGACATGGGAGAGAGGTCAGCATCTCATCCCTGACATACAGTGGAACGCCGCCGCTATAACGAACATCGTGGGATGCACAGAAAGTGTTCGTAATAACGATCGTTTGGTAAAGCGATTTTCAACCGGCAGGCCCCTTTTCAGCAATAGTGAACTAGCATTCCCACATCCCGCGGCCGCACGAGCAGTCGTCATGAAAATTTAGCAACAGGTGGTTTTCCCTTTTATTCCTTGGGGAAATAATAGCCATCTATCGCTGTTCAACATTCAAACACGATGTAACTATTGGTCGTTTGATGTTCGGGAATTAAAAGTGGACCAAATAGCATTTAATACAACCGGTAGATTTTGTGTAAATCTGTTGACTCTTTTCAACAATAATGTTCTGTACGTTTTGTACATCAACACCGGGAGCCAAGGAGGATGTTCGGTATAGCCCAATGTTCAGTATAGCGGTGTTCGGTATAGCGGCGTTCAACTGTACATGTATCCAAACAGTTTTGCATGAGCCACTAAGGCATATTAATGATTTGGTGTTTCGGGGATGTTTATGTTTTTTTTTTATTATTTCTTATCATTTTAATTATTATTTATGTACCCGCTGGTGCATGTATATATACATGTGGTGTATGTATACGATGAAAATAAGTTCAAGCAGTGCTCACAGAGAATTTTTTAGCTGAATTTTTGGCCATACTAGGCTCCAATGAAGGCCAGGTAAGGCCGAAAATTCAGCTACAAAATTCCCGGTGAGCACTGCTTAAACTTATTTTCATCATATATACTTACCTACAGTGCTACGCAGTTCTGCTTCGTGTGGTGTGTGTATTTTTTGATATACATGATTTTGCTTGGATTTTCTGTTAAGGATAAAAACACGAGGAGCGCGCCGTTCATGGGTAAGAATGGCCCAAGGACGATTCATCACCTACGAACAGCGTGCTACCGAGTGTATTAATCTACTTGACACCCTCCACGAGGAGCGCTGTTCGTGGGTGAGATTGGCCCAAGGACGATTCATCACCTACCAACGGCGCGCTACCGAGTGTATTAACCTACTTAACACCATCTACGAGGAGCGCTGTTCGTGGGTGAGAATGGCTCAAGGACGATTCATCACCTACGAACAGCGCGCTACCGAGTGTATTAATCTACTTGACACCCTCCACGAGGAGCGCGCCGTTCGTGGGTGAGAATGGCCCAAGGACGATTCATCACCTACGAACAGCGCGCTACCGAGTGTATTAATCTACTTGACACCCTCCACGAGGAGCGCGCCGTTCGTGGGTGAGAATGGCCCAAGGACGATTCATCACCTACGAACAGCGCACTACCGAGTGTATTAATCTACTTGACACCCTCCACGAGGAGCGCGCCGTTCGTGGGTGAGAATGGCCCAAGGGAGATTCATCACCTACGAACAGCGCGCTACCGAGTGTATTAATCTACTTGACACCCTCCACGAGGAGCGCGCCGTTCGTGGGTGAGAATGGCCCAAGGAAGATTCATCACCCACGAACAGCGCGCTACCGAGTGTATTAATCTACTTGACACCCTCCACGAGGAGCGCGCCGTTCGTGGGTGAGAATGGCCCAAGGACGATTCATCACCTACCAACAGCGCGCTACCGAGTGTATTAATCTACTTGACACCCTCCACGAGGAGCGCGCCGTTCGTGGGTGAGAATGGCCCAAGGACGATTCATCACCTACGAACAGCGCGCTACCGAGTGTATTAATCTACTTGACACCCTCCACGAGGAGCGCGCCGTTCGTGGGTGAGATTGGCCCAAGGACGATTCATCACCTACCAACAGCGCACTACCCAGTGTATTAACCTACTTAACACTCTCCAAGAATTCTTCATTATTGCTTGAAAGGCCTTTGTACATCTTTATTATTGAATTTGTCAAAATGGTAAAATCAGTTTTGTTTATTTATGAAAAAAGAACAATGATGTGTCATCACTGTTATTATTTAGTGAATATCATTTAAAACATTTAAAAGAATGGCAGTCGTCAACCTGCCACAGTAGCCTAATGGTTAACGAGATGAGCTATGGATGGAGTGGTCCCTGGTTCTAATCCTGCTATGTCCATTTTTCCAGCGACAGTTTATTTAACTGAGGGAAAGAAAGGGAACGAAAACATAAGTGGCTTGCTGTGATTCTGTGAAATTACACAAAAGTGGCTACGCCATTCGTTGGATGCTGAATGGTGCACGCGTGCCCATTCGTGCTAAATAATGGCGAGAAAAAACAATAGTGTGACGTCACAGGAGAGTGTTAATTAATATCAAAATACACAGTTTTAGTGGCCTGGCATCTGGATGTAATTATGTTTGTGTTTTATGAGACGGTAGCTGATGGGTACTCACACAAAAGAGAACAAAAGGGAACAATAGAGAACATTACCCCACAAACATATGAATGTGTTTGGCACTGCATGTAAACAGTGAAAATCATCATCAACTGCAGGACAATTGCTTTCAGGAACATGAACTGTACGTAGTTTAATATCAAACCAATAAATCTGACTATTTTTGAGATTGCATCATCCAAATTTAGGTCCAGTACTTTGTGTCAATCTAGGAGTATACCGGTATTCTACTGTTTTTGTATGTGAGCAGTGCAACAACAATGCCCACCTCTTTTTCTGTGTGCATCCGATGGGATATCATTTGGAAACACTGCAGACCATTATTCCAAACACACAATCACTGTACATGCACAGAGGCCCCTTCCAATGGCAACAGCATTGTGCAAGCTATTGTACAAAGCAACTACCCCATGCCGGATTATCTGAGCAATAGCTGGCACAATGCTTTTACAATCGAAGGGGGTCATGAGTGTGCAGTTATATTCAGCTTGCACTGGTCTATGTAGTCTTTCCATGGTTCGCAACCCTCAACACATGCTTTGGGGTTTGTCTTGTTTTACAGACGGAGAGTGGGGAAGAAGTGCTTGTGGGAATTTACTCAAATTTGTCTGCAAACGAGAGGAGTCCTCAACTACACCACTTTCGCCTTTACCAGGCTATCCAGACTCTGGCGAGTGCCCCAAGGATTACTTCAGACTGGACAACATGTGCTTCAACTTGAGAGGCACAGATGAAAGTCAACGTTTGGGCTGGATCGATGCTAGAGATGCTTGTAAGACGCCTTCAGTTGCAGGGACAACCCTTGCCACAGTTAGCAACCCTGGACAGCAAGGTAAGGTCCACTTAAACAAAACAAAAACACACAAGAAAAACCCATCAAGTTTTGACTGAGTATTTATTAACCAGTTCACGTTGGATGACGTGCATACACGCAAAGGTTTTGCAGTATTCGGAACGCATGACGGAAATAACTGTCAGCGACCAGCTCGCAGCGAGCGAGGCCAGAAATATCAGGGTGTGCTAACCCCAGATGATGGCCTGAATCCATCTGGCATTTAGGTTCATGAAAAAAAATCCGTGGGTGCGGTCAATGTTCAAATAATCCAGACGCGAACTAGTTAAGTGTTTACTTGAAATTCACTTTAGTTGACATTAGCGTGGAACTTTGCTGGAATGACCTCTATGAAGGTGTGTTTGTTCACGTGTTTATGTTTATGACTTAATCGTCCCAGAAAGTGGTTGGCTCGCAAAGCAGTTCTGAGTTTAACACCTGCAAGTGGTCCAGGCAACAAAAGCAGCCTACCTCAGGAAGTGTGCGAGGTGAAGCCTCATAGTTCAATGCCTCCTTTCGTACATTTGCTTGTGCGTTGCATTTGCACCAGCATGTATGAGAGTTCAAAATCTTCCAGGACTGTTGAGTCCAGTGATGAAACCATCGGTCTATTAATTTTTTTTATTATACGATGTGATGCGATGTGATGCGAGGGTGCAGCCTAACCTACACCAACTCGGGACTTGGTCGCCGCCCTCCACTGTTCCCTATCCAGCATTAGGGTCCTCAGCTCCCTGATGTCACTGCGACCAACGTCCCGCCGCAGCGTGTCGATGTATGTGGCTCGTCTCTGCCCCCTCCTGGCAGTTCCATGAGTCGGCTCCCACAGGATGGTGTTGTGGGCTGCTAGCCCCGGGCGCGGATGCAATGGCCTGCCAGAGCCATCCTTCTCTTCCTGATCTTGTCTGAGATATGTGGAATGTCTTCCTAAAGGTCGATGTTGCTGATGTGGTCTGTCCATCTCAAGGCTAGAGTGCTGCAGATCTAGTCTGTGGTCAATATTATCTGTAGCAGGATACAAGCTCTCATTATTGTCTCAGAATTGGCCGTTTATGCATTGGTGTTGGTGGCTCAGTGCACCAAGGTCCCACAGACGTTTACGCCTGATGCACTGTTGTGTCTGGCAGGGTTAATCGTAATTAACTACACCAGTTATTCCTTATTTAGTCCAAATTTATGATATCTTTTGTCAATTTTGCATTCAATCTTGGCCTATTGCATGTGTTTCTTGTTTCTTTCTTTGCTTTGGAGCAGCCACCTTAAGTGACTCTTTGTTGTGAAAATTCCCCCCAAAACAACCCATACAAATCCAATTCACACTATATGCTGTTTACTTTTTGTTTTGTATTTGCATCAGCTCTGTTGACGGCCATAATTCAGGGAGTAGGTGCAGACATGTGGATTGGCTTGAACGGTATAGGCATCCACGATCAATATCATTGGACTGATACAACACGATTGGACTATACGAGCTGGGCACCAGACCAACCTGACAATGCTTTGCCAATTACTGATCCGGTAGGTCATACACATACTTGGCACACTAGCACATTCGGCAAAATTTAGCAACTTCTTTAGTTTAATTAGGCCATTATCACTTACTACACTTGGAGCACATAGAAATAATCATTTCATAATCAACTATTCAATAGTTGCCATTTGTAGACAGGAGGAGTTAACAAGCTTAACTCTAACCACTCCAAAATTAGCTGTTTTGTTTGGCAGCAATTTGATGAGTTCAGGCCCGTGCATCCCAGGTACAATAACCATTGGGACTTGATGTCCGAGACGTTTTCTTCAGGAGTAAGAAAGTGTTATTAGATTCCAATTAATTAATCTGGCATACAATATGTGGACTTCAAACATGTACTTATATAAACAAGTGCCCTGCGCAGAGTTGGAAAGAACTAGAAAAAAACTGTAATGTTAAGGGCATGTATTAAAGTTGAATTTAATAGCCTGTAGCTGTGTTTTCGAAGTAACAAATGCAGAATGCACTGGTCCTGTCAATTGAATCTTGTGATTGTGGCTGCTGTACTTGTCGTTGCTGGTTGACGAAGAACATTGGCATGGCACTTTCACACTGTGGGTACCAATTGCAAAATACACGTTCTCTTCTTAAAACAAGCCGTGGCTGTTTAGGTGATCGTAACTAAATGTAATTTTCATCAGACTTTATGGATGATCATGGTTGACAGTATTTTCTCCCCTGATATCACAGGAATGTTTATAGGCAGAGGAAGAAACAAGTGTCAAATTTATATTTTTTTTAGCTCAGTGTAGGCTTTGGCAGCTGCGCAGGCTTATTACCATATACATTATTTTAATGACATACATGTGATAGCTTGCCTATAAAAGTACCCGGTATTTTATCACAGTATACCGTTGAGTTTTTAAATTGCGAAGTTATATACATGAATCTTTTGTTTTTCCATGTAGCCTGGTTTTCATTTTGAAAATTCTCCACAAATGACATTCAACACCTGTTTTTTTCATTGTCTGAGAAGTTACTGAGTAATATATAAAGTTGGTTACAGGTACTCGATTCTATAATCTGGACTCAGTTCCTAACAAAAGCGGTCGGATACTCAAGTACCCAGTTCCCATGCAAAGCCCATGTAAAGTTGTTATAAAAGATAGATGAAAAAAGGTTTATTAAAGTGAATGTACTCTTATCATTGACAGAACTCTGCTAGTTGTGTGGCGATGATGAATGACCCCGACGACCCTGGTCTGTGGAATGATGCCATGTGTACTACCCCACGAGCCTACCTCTGTCAGTCACCATTAGGTAGTAGTAGTTTCTGTTCTCTTTTGTCCCTCATGTTCTCATGTGTCCCTCATGTCACTTAAAGTTACTCCCTGAACTTGCCTTACACCATTCCACCATTGAGTATATTTGTTTCTGTTCTATGTTGTGTACACACGGTCTCTCAATTGCCTGCATGTGTAGGGGAGGGGGGGGGGGGGTGTTGAATGACAAATCAAGTCCATTTTTTTTCATGCAGACCCTTTGTTTTACTTTCAATCTTTTTAGTGTCATCTGGTGGTGATCCTCCTCCCCTACCAGGAAACCCATGTACAGACATCAAGTACTCCAACTACTTTGACACATGTTTCCTTATGGAGAGCGCTAAGAAGAACTCATTTGATTTGGCCAAAACGGTTTGTACACAATGAAACATCAACAACTGATCAAATTGTTATTAACTTTGAGGTAAATGCAATATAATATGTTTGTGAGGTCATCGGTAGTAGTTTCACGTGACTTAAGCTGCAAACCCAAACAAATCTGCTGTTCTCTAAAATTTGCCATCAATTACAAACTGGGCTGAGCATATAGTTCAAAATGCATAAAGCAAACAAGGGTATTAGATGTGCATGCGGAGAGTAGACAGTAACAGCACTGGATTAATCTGAATAATCCTGCAGTTTGTGGTCTTGAGTCCTGCTTGTCCAGCTTGAGTCCACCTCCTGTCCTTTTAAATCGCACGGTCAGAGGGATGTCCAGTTTGTTATGAGTCCGGCAAAATGAATGTTTAATCGTCAAATTTTCATATTCAAGATTGGTTAAATGTTGACACAGCCTTACCAGATAGGGTTTGTTTTGATTTGATATCATTTGACTTCAAGAATGTTTTGTCTTGAATAGGATTGCGAGAGTAGGGATGGTAGCTTGCTGTCACTGAATAACCAATATGCGGGGGCGCTATTCACGTACCTCCTGTACCAAGCTGGTACTGATGCAACAGATGATGAAGCCTGGTTGGGATTGAGGCGTAATGCTGTAAGTACACATGAGTGGGACAGTGGATTAAAGTAAAAAGCCTTATACTTGCTGCAGGGAATATACACTGTGCTATATATTTATCATCAGGATATCTGAGGCGATCAAGTTGTGTGTTTGAAGTTACCTATTTTAAATTTTTGCCCCAGAAGACGAGTAAATACATGTACTCGTGGTAACATGTTGGCAGGTTTCTGTTATTGTTGAAGATCCTGACACAACTTCTTGATCAGTAGTGCAAATCCTTGACCCAAATATGTATGTACAATGTATGTCAACTCCAATTCAATATTTGTGTGAAATCATTCTAGTAAAGTCGATACACATGTTGAAACCTAGCATTTGATAAGAAACAAAGTACACTCTAAGCTACATATTGACAGGACTGTCATTCTCTGTATTAAATTGTTAGGATACTGGAGTATTTGAGTGGGTTGACAAGTGGCCGCTGCAGTTTACCAGATGGGGTCCCAATGAACCAAACAACAACAATGGAGATTGTGTGGCACTAACTCGTGATGGCTTCTGGGCTGTCCGCCAGTGCTACGATAACAACTACTACTTCTGCAAATACCCCTGTAAGTTGGATGACAGAGCAACCATCAACTAATTAATCTTGACTTGCAGCAAAGACCAGCTTTGAAGTTTTAGGTCTGTGAGCTTGGTAGAGTAATTGGTTGGAAAGTGTTAATTTATTATGCAGTCATCATTCCAGTTTTGTACATCCCTTGGAATGGCAAAACAAATACCAAAATCTGACAGGCATCTTGACATACCAACTTCTCTGTTTTCATTTGTGCAATCAGCTACTCCGCCAGAAGTTCCAGGGCTGAAGGGAGGGATCTGTCCTCCTGACTATGTGGAATTCCCAGAATCAGATGACTGCTACCTGTTTGGTACATCGGCCACAACGATAAAACACGAAGCTGGAGATCTAACATGTGCCACTAACCACAACGGGGGCCGATTGCCCAGCATTCACAGCAAAGCAGAGGAAGATTTCATTAAGGCCCAAACCAAAGAAGCCTTAGGAGAAAACGCCAAGATTTGGCTGGGCGTAACTCGCAATGCAGGTAAGTATATGTGGTCTTTGACTGGCCCCATTTGAATTTGGTTATTTGAATATCTCCATGTGATTGGATAATTGAATATTTGCTGCTGCCCGCAGTGCTATTGCACAATATCCAGTGCTTGTAAGCACAGACTACTGATCTATATGTCAGAGTAAAGCATTATGATGGATAAAAGAAGTGCCCTGTGGGGTTAGTAAGCAGACAACCTTGCTAAGCATAGACAAAATGTTCTTATATAAAACAGGTTTAACACCCAAAATGTCTTGCAGTATGTGTCACATGTTAGGCCCCCCAAAAAAGTCTCCGGTTTCTGGTATGGAGCTTGCCCAAAAAGTGGTGCGGCGACGCTGCCTTTTTTTTTTTTACCTGATTTTTTTGCTTCAAATGTCGGCTGATGACTGCATATGGTGCCCGACTAAACTTAGTGCAAATATATGGGAGTCCGGAGAGGCCACATAAAGCTTATTCTCGACCATAACCCACTCTAAAAACACGTTAAAATTGTGCAGCAGCAGGTTTCCAGTCAAACCAGTGAGTTTGGCGGTTTTTAAACATCATCTTTCATTTAAAAAAAAACTTTTTCATTTGCCAACGCGCATGGCTACGGCGATGCGCGCGCATACCAGAAACCAGAGACTTTTTTTTTTGGCTTTACCATCTTTCGACTATTGTTTGAGGTTGTAAACTACTGATTAGTGTATTATGTTTTCTGCTATCAGCTCAATGATATTGAACCAAATAATCACTGTAACTTAATCACTTACTGGCACAGTTACTCGATAAAAACTTCATGGAAAATCATGTGAACAATGATAACATTGTGATATTTAGCCCAGAAAACAAAAACAGGGAAAAACAAGGTGTCCGTATATTGGGCTAAAAGTAGGTGAGGGGTTGCCTAACGAGGGGACTTAAACAAGTTCAAGGAAACACCCAAAATTATTGGTGAGAAAACGCTTGGACGTAGACATCATTATTTTAAAAAACGATAACTAATAGTTTGGGGATTCGTCCTTGAACTTGATCAAGTCCCCATGTTTGGCTAGCCTTCGCCTAATTTTTAGCCCATTTACGGACACCTCATTTCCCCCTCTTTTTTTTTGTTTTTGTGGGCTAAATATCAAGATGATACAATTTTTCATGTGATTTCCCATTTATTTTGGTAAGGGTAACTCTGCCAGTAAGTAACTTTGTGAATTTGAAGCTCATCAATACTGAGGTTTGGCAAGACTACTTGATGATATCTGAAGAAAAAGGAAATGCGTGCAATTTAAGGGTATAATGGTAGCCATTTTGGATCTTTATTATGTTCTCATAATCTTGTCCTAATTTGTCACCATGTCTTGCTAAGAGAGGACGAGAAGGCGCAGCCATATCTGGTGACCACATGCATCTAGGCATTGGGCTTCAGCTGCACTTACCGTCCACGTATGGCTAGGATATCTTGTAAGGCTTCTGTCGTGAGTGCCATCAACACCAGAATGTCCACTTATCTTTGCTCACTGGGTGCAACTCTTTGTGCTGTTCGTGTTGTCCAGTCATGTGTAAATTGATCAGTTAGTATTGAAGCTTACTCTTTTCTTCCTTCAGATGACTTCAATACCTGGTTTGATCAGAGTCTGATGGACTACGTGAACTGGGATGCCGGTGAACCTACTGATGATAACAATGCAAACAACAATGGCGTCCTGTTGGATGTGAATGGCGGATGGAGTGACGTCGCCTCTACTGAGAGACACAACTACATCTGCAAATCTCCCAAATGTAGGAATCACTTGCCCTCGGCCAGTTCAATCTGAATGCACATTTTCAATTTAAACATTTTCAATCTTAACATTCACAGCATTCACAGCTGTTATATGACATGAATCAGTGTTGGCATTATATTTGCATCATTCAAATCATGTTGCCTGATAAGGCCGCTTTCCACTTGAGGGTGCACATACCAACTTTCAAGCCCCATTTAAAGTAACTTGGGCTGGGGTCTGCTTGCTGAATTCTGCAATATCCTCCAAATAGATTTCACTTTACCAAGCGCAGTGATTTCAGGCTTCTCATTTTAACGCTAACGATGTACATGTACCAATTTTCTATTTTCCATAGTATTGGGTTTTGCCTCAACCAACATATTTTTCTTAGCACTATATTATTCAGGGCTTGCAATGAAAAGGTTACAAGCTTGCTCAGTACGGACTAGAACCCACAGCCAATCATTTAAAAGTTCAGATGTCTCAACCCACCTTCCACTGGACGACTCAGCTTGCTGGGGTCAGCTGCTAGTTTGACTGTAGAAAGTAACATGAATCTTTATGTGTCATTTGGTCCTCTTCCAGTTCCAGCCCCTCCCACCCCCAAACCAACCAGTTCAGCCATTAAACCAGGTAGGTTGGTTCAGTTTTATCTTGGTTTAATTGCTGTTTACCTTTTGTTTTAAATAATGGAAGGTTTGCGGAAACACCATGTGTGAATAATTTCTCAACTAAGAGAATGGTTCTGAAAAGAACCAGAGGTACATGTATAAACTCGACGTTCCGGTCAGTATGCTCTGACCGTCTTCACTCTCCTGAAGACGGTCAGAGCATACTGACCGGTACGTCGAGTTTATACCTCTGGTTCTTTTCAGAACCATTCTCTTAGTTGAGAAATTATTCACACATGGTGTTTCCGCAAACCTTCCATTATTTAGTATCTCCACCATGCAAAGCTTCAAATCTTACTTACCTTTTGTTTTGTTTTAACTATGTAGTGGTAAACTGGGGTTTTTTTGGGGGGGGGGGGGCGGGGGGGGGGGGGGGGGGGCGGGGGGGGGGGGGCGGGGGGGGGGGGCGGGGGGGGGGGGGCGGGGGGGGGGGCGGGGGGGGGGGGGGGGCGGGGGGGGGGAGGTTGTACCTATGTCAGATTACATGGCCTTTCAACTTATAATTATGGATTTGTGTTCTAAAATTAGAGGGACAGGTATGAAGGAAATTATATACATTTTTGTTCAATGTTTGTTTCAAATTGATTCATTTCTCCAAATGTCTGTGTTTATGATTTCATGATTTGTATACAGTACAACAATAAAAGTGTGTGACCGAATGTGTATTTATATATATTATATTTAACCCCTTACAATTTTAGAATTTTCATAAAAATGTAAGGTTAACCCCTTAATTTAAACATTAAATTTTGCCCAATTTTACTCAAAAAAGCAAGGTTAACCCCTTACTTCTGGAATTGTTCAGAAACATCTGATTTTGCCAAATTTTGCTAAAATGTGCACCCACTTAACAAGGTTAACCCCTTCTGTGATTTTCCAGAAACATCTGATTTTGCCCAATTTTGCTAAAAATGCAAGGTTTACCCCTTACAATTTTAGATGTCTCATTAAAATCTGATTTAGCCCAATTTTGCTTAAATTGCAAGGTTAACCCCTTACAATTTGAAATTTTTATAAACATTTAATTGTGTCCAATTTTACTCAAAAAGCAAGGTTAACCCCTTACATCTGGAATTTTCTAGAAACATGTGAAACCCCTTACAATTGTAAATTTTTCAGAAACATCTGATTTTGCCAAATTTTGCTAAAATGTGCACCCATTTAACAAGGTTAACCCCTTACTTCTGGAATTTTCCAGAAGCATCTGATTCTGCCCAATTGTGCTAAAAATGCAAGGTTAACCCCCTACAATTTTAGATTTCTCATAAAAATCTGATTCTGCCCAATTTTGCTAAAAATGCAAGGTTAACCCCTTACAATTTGAAATCTTCATCAACATTTAATTGTGCCCAATTTTACTCAATAAGCAAGGTTAACCCCTTACATCTGGAATTTTCCAGAAACATGTGAAACCCCTTACAATTGTACATTTTTCAGAAACATCTGATTTTGCCAAATTTTGCTAAAATGTGCACCCACTTAACAAGGTTAACCCCTTACTTCTGTGACTTTCCAGAAACATCTGATTTTGCCCAATTTTGCTCAAAATGCAAGGTTAACCCCTCACAATCTGAAATGTTTCATAAAAATCTGATTTTGCCCAATTTTGCTAAAAATGCAAGGTTAACCCCTTACAATTTTAGATTTCTCATAAAAAAATCTGATTTTGCCCAATTTTGCTAAAACTGCAAGGTTAACCCCTTACGATTTGAAATTTTTATAAAACATTTAATTGTACCAAATTTTACTCAAAAAGCAAGGTTAACCCCTTACATCTGGAATTTTTCATAAACATGTGATTTTGCCCAATTTTGCTAAAATATGCAAGGTTAACCCCTTACAATTTTAGATTTCTCATAAAAATCTGATTCTGTCCAATTTTGCTAAAACTGCAAGGTTAACCCCTTACAATCTGAAATTTTCCAGAAACATGTGATTTTGCCCTATTTTGCTAATAAATGCAAGGTTAACCCCTTACAATTGTAAGTTTTTCAGAAACATCTGATTTTGCCAAATTTTGCTTAAATATGCAAGGTTAACCCCTTACAATTTAAAATTTTTCATGAATTCTGATTTTGCCGAATTTTGCTGAAAACGCAAGATTAACCCCTTACAATCTGAAATTTTCCAGAAACATCTGATTGTGCCGTATTTTGCAAAAAAATGCAAGGTTAACCCCTTACAATTTGAAATTTTCATAAACATTTAATTTTGCCCAATTTAACTCAAAAAAGCAAGGTTAACCCCTTACAATTTGGAATTTTTCATAAACATCTGATTTTGCCCAATTTTGCTAAAATATGCAAGGTTAACCCCTTACAATTTTCGATTTCTCATAAAAATCTGATTTTGCCCAATTTTGCTAAAAATGCAAAGTTAACCCTTTACAATTTTAGATTTCTCATAAAAATCTGATTCTGCCCAATTTTGCTAAAAACGCAAGGTTAACCCCTTACAATCTGAAATTTTCCAGAAACATCTGATTTTGCTGTATTTTGCAAAAAATGCAAGGTTAACCCCTTACAATTTGAAATTTTCATAAACATTTAATTTTGCCCAATTTAACTCAAAAAAGCAATTTGAAATTTTTCATAAACATCTGATTTTGCCCAATTTTGCAAAAATATGCAAGGTTAACCCCTTACAATTTTAGATTTCTCATAAAAATCTGATTCTGTCCAATTTGGCTAAAACTGCAAGGTTAACCCCTTACAATTTGAAATTTTTATTAACATTTAATTGTGCCCAATTTTACTCAAAAAGCAAGGTTATCCCCTTACAATTTTAGATTTCTCATAAAAATCTGATTCTGCCTAATTTGCTAAAAATGCAAGGTTACCCCTTACAACCTTAGATTTTTCAAAAAATCTGATTTTGCCCAATTTTGCTAAAAATGTAAGGTTAAGCACTTACAATTTGAAATTTCCAATAAACATTCAATTTTGCCAAATTTTACTCAAAAAGCAAGGTTTACCCCTTACAACTTGAATTTTTCAGAAAAATCTGATTTTGCCCAATTTTGCTAAAATATGCAAGGTTAACCCCCTTACAATTTTCGATTTCTCATAAAAATCTGATTTTGCCCAATTTTGCTAAAAATGCAAAGTTAACCCTTTACAATTTTAGATTTCTCATAAAAATCTGATTCTGCCCAATTTTGCTAAAAACGCAAGGTTAACCACTTACAATCTGAAATTTTCCAGAAACATCTGATTTTGCTGTATTTTGCAAAAAATGCAAGGTTAACCCCTTACAATTTGAAATTTTCATAAACATTTAATTTTGCCCAATTTAACTCAAAAAAGCAAGGTTAACCCTTACAATTTGAAATTTTTCATAAACATCTGATTTTGCCCAATTTTGCAAAAATATGCAAGGTTAACCCCTTACAATTTTAGATTTCTCATAAAAATCTGATTCTGCCCAATTTTGCTTAAAACGCAAGGTTAACCCCTTACAATCTGAAATTTTCCAGAAACATCTGATTTTGCTGTATTTTGCAAAAAATGCAAGGTTAACCCCTTACAATTTGAAATTTTCATAAACATTTAATTTTGCCCAATTTAACTCAAAAAAGCAAGGTTAACCCTTACAATTTGAAATTTTTCATAAACATCTGATTTTGCCCAATTTTGCAAAAATATGCAAGGTTAACCCCTTACAATTTGAAATTTTTATTAACATTTAATTGTGCCCAATTTTACTCAAAAAGCAAGGTTATCCCCTTACAATTTTAGATTTCTCATAAAAATCTGATTCTGCTTAATTTGCTAAAAATGCAAGGTTACCCCTTACAACCTTAGATTTTTCAAAAAAAATCTGATTTTGCCCAATTTTGCTAAAAATGTAAGGTTAAGCACTTACAATTTGAAATTTCCAATAAACATTCAATTTTGCCAAATTTTACTCAAAAAGCAAGGTTTACCCCTTACAACTTGAATTTTTCAGAAAAATCTGATTTTGCCCAATTTTGCAGAAAATGCAAGGTTTAACCCCTAACAATTTTAAATTTTTCATAAACATCCGATTTTCCCCAATTTTGCTAAAAATGCAAGGTTAACCCCTAACAATTTGAAATTTTTCACAAACATCTGATTTTTCCCATTTTTGACAAAAACGCAAAGTTAACCCCTTACAATCTGAAATTGTTCATAAAAACCTGATTTTGCCCAATTTTGCAAAAAATGCAAGGTTAACAAACCCCTTACAATTTGAAGTTTTTCTGATAAAAATGCATTTCAATCCCACAAAACTCTCTCTTTGTGTTAAACCGTCAAGGGAGTACTCCTGCATTCATCAGATGAGTCCATATACGTAGCAGTAGCAGCAGCCGTCAGTGAACTTATGCATATGTTATTTCTTTTTGTGCAGTTGCTGGATGGTTGTCTATCCTCTTGACTGGAGCTGTCATCTTGTTTGCCAGACGTTAAAGAAGTTTCTAGTCTTCACAGTGCCTTGCGTCAGTAGGAACAGCATCTGGGCACCCGTCTGATCACCCAATTCCTATGATGATATCCTTAGTGTCTTTATGAAATGCAGTTGCATTGATAGCTGGACACAAGGATTGACAATGAGCATAAACAAAAACAAACATGACTCAAATACACAAATATGTTTGAATTGTACAAATATTCAATCAATCCATATTAAATCAAATTTTCAGGATTCTTGTGATTTCAGATTTCATTTAGTTTGCAAATTAAACTACATTGTATTTCTACAATTTGAAGACTCATGTGGCCATTATAAATGTCACTTTTTAAGATATCCTTGCCTGGGGAGTTAAGATAACCAAAAAAAATTGAATGATGCAAAACAGTAACAATACTTAGTTCTGCAATTTGTAATGAAACTGTTTAACAGTAACAAGTCATTCAGAAGGAGAATCTACAAAGTAAATTGACAAGAGTAAGACTTGATACACATCTGATTTCGCCCATTTCGCTAAAAATACAAAGTTAAACCTAACAATTTGAAATTTTTCATAAAAATCCAACAATTTGAAATTGTTCATAAACATCTGATTTTGCCCATTTTTGGCAAAAATACAAAGTTAACCCCTTACAATTTGAAATTGTTCATAAAAACCTGATTTTGCCCAATTTTGCTCAAAATGCATGGTTAAGCCCTTACAATCTGAAATGTTTCATAAAAATCAGATTTTGCCCAATTTTGCCACAAATGCAAGGTTAACCCCTTACTATTAAAAATGTTTCATAAACGCCTGATTTTGCCCAATTTTGCTTTAAATGCAAGGTTAACCCCTTACAATTTGAGGTTTTTGATAACCATCTGACTTTGTCAAATTTCGGGATAAAAATTCAAGGTTAACCCCTTACAATTGTAACTTGTTCGTGAACATCTGATTTTGCCCAATTTTGCTACAAATTCAAGGTTAACCCCTTACAATTTGAAATTTTTCATAAATATCTGATTTTGCCCAATTTCGCTAAAAATACAAACTTGCATTTTTAGCAAAATTTTGGCAAAATCAGGTTTATATGAACAATTTCAGATTAGGGGTTAACTCTGCATTTTTGTTAAAAATTGGCAAAATCAGATGTTTATGAAAAATTTCAGATTGTAAGGGGTTAACTTTGTATTTTTAGCGAAATACAGTACCTGTATGGCATTCTTGAGGTTGGAGGTTCACATCCCATTATTTTTATTTAATTTCTTTTCAACGCTTAACCTTATCATGTAACCAGCAAATATTTTGTAAATTCTGTAATTATGTTTACCATATGTTGCAGATAATTAAACCAATCAATCCAAACAAGCATTATATAAGATTTTTTTTAACTAAAAGAGCTGCTGTCTCTGTAAAGAAATTTCTAAAGGAAAACATTGTCTATTAGAAATATATTCTAATTGTTAAAGTAGCTGTCTTAGGTTAGCTCTTAAATAGATGGATCGATTGATTCTCAAGATGAATAATTCTTGTGCTTTGTTGCAGATATTCTTTTATTGCATAAGCTTGTCAATTTTAAAAAGGTTGACTTTTTGGTTTGTATTTGCTTGAAGTGAATGTGTAGTAAATATCAAATATAAGCTTATAGTAACGTTTGATGAACAACATTCTTTTCAAGTTTACATTAATAACATTAATTCTTTATTCTCTCTGTATGAGACTAAATTGTATAAACTATAGATTAGAGATGAAATAGCTATACCTGTACTTTCATTCTTGTATTCGCATTTTAAATTTCAAATGCATGCTATTATACCGTTTCATCATGCTGTTATATTACTTTTTGTGGATCGAATAAAGTGAGCAATAAGTCGTCCATCATTTTTGCGTTGAGTGTTTTAATTTGATGTGTTTCTTGTGGATCTTCATCTAATGGAGCGATGTTCTTCAGTTGATTACTTAATTTTAGTATAATATTTGTTGCTTTTCTATGGGAAAAAAATGTACTTTGTAGTATCTGACGATTGATGTGGACACCAGCCTCGTGTTCCAAGTTAATCCTAGATGCCCGAAAATTCATCCCTATGCGTCACAGTAATTTAGTATACATGTATGTGTAGCTGTATGGTCACAACCCACATTTTATGTTAGTGACGTCACATCTCGCGGAACAATAAAGACGCAATGATTGGATCATAGATGTTATGAAAAGTATTGTGAAGTCATTGGCTGTCGTTGCGTGAAACGCGTACGTTGTGTCCGAGTACCAAAGTGAATACGTCACGCGCACAAAATGCGTGTGAAAGATATTGGCGCGTGATTCAGCAACGCGCGCGTACTCCATTCGTTTGCACTACACTTTCTGGTTCTAAATGACGTCACACTTCGATACTATACACAAATTTGAACATGTTTCATTTTGCTCTCCCAAATCTCGCCTGTTAAATTTGCAACTGGAAGCCAACGATTACCGCTTCAATTAATGATCTAGATCTACTACGGCTACAGCTGTTAAAAATGGCATTCATTGGAAAACCTGTAAGGCAACAAGCAGTGGGAGAAGCGGTATGTTTTCATTTGGTTTTTAATTGTAGCTTTCGGTTATGGAGAAGGCCTAATAAGTTTCTCTCCTTTCGGACACGGGGCTATCTTCTTAACTGTGACGTCATCATCTTGTACTGTGACGTGGCCTGCGCCCCATGTTGGGCGCTTGCATTTCATTGTTACACTGTTTGTTTCAAACATAAACTTGGAAGAACAAACTTATGATTCAACTTTGTTTCGAATTGGGTGAGAAATCAGGCCCTGTGAATTTCAGACAGAGCATCGAAGTTTATTCCGAAAGAGATAATTTTCATTAATGACGATCACAGAAGACAGTATGAGGGTTGCTGAAGGTCCGGGATCTTCGACAAAAGGAGATAAAGTGGGTGCATTTCCAGCATTTCTACTTTTTCTAACTATTTTACCTCGCTCCTACTTTTCCTGCTTGTACTTTTTTTTTTAAATTCCTACTTTTCCTATTTCTTCCTACTGTTTGTTCCACAACTCCGAAAAATGAAATGTCATGGAATATGTTACTGTCATGTACTATACAATGAACGGCGTGGGTGTAGGAGTTCTGCAACTGTACTTCCAAGAGCTTAGTTGAGGATGGAGTACAACAATATTTTAATTGTGTTGTGAGTACAGAACGTGCCAAAATGAGGCTTAGGATACTGTGGACATGGGCGAGTACAACGTAAGCTACTCATATAGCCCGCAAAATAAGTCCTTTCTTGTGTCTCATTGTTTAACAAAATTATTGTGAACCAACTTTTCTCCTTTTTTCATCTGGGTCTGCTTGAAAGCCTGATATCGTTTCGCTGTTTCGTTGATACATTCTTACGTGTCTTCAATAACTTTTCACAGGTTCACAGGCCTGTGGCTATATTAGACAGAAGTTTTCTCATAAAAGATTCTTACTTTAATTTCCTTAAAACACTTTCACATGCCGCACCAACCAGGCGCGGTTCTACGGGGGGGGGGGGGGCTAAGGGGGGCTGTAGCCCCCCAAAAATTTTGTCTAACCCCCCAAAATAAATTCCATAAAAAAAATTGCATTAGCAAAAAGAAGGATTGTGATGTACATGTGAACGGTCTCCCCTTAAAGAAGAAATAGCTGTGACAAGGGTGCATTAGTTAATATAGTGCAAGGGTGGATCCAGGAGGGGGGGGGGGCTAAGGGGGGCTGTAGCCCCCCAAAATTTTGTCTAACCCCCCAAAATAAATTCCATAAAAAAAATTGCATTAGCAAAAAGAAGGATTGTGATGTACATGTGAACGGTCTCCCCTTAAAGAAGAAATAGCTGTGACAAGGGTGCATTAGTTAATATAGTGCAAGGGTGGATCCAGGAGGGGGGGGGGGGGGGGGGGGGGGGGGGGCAAAGGGGGCCATCGCCCCCCCCCCAAAAAAAACGAAACCAATTTTTAATTTTTTTTTATGTGACATCGCAATAAAGGCAGGCAATGAGTACACCACCATCTCTTCCTCAAAAACAATTGGTTAAAGTGGTCAGAAATTGCCACAGATCGCACCACAGAGCATCTAGAATCCAAAAATTGTTCAGGGCCCTTAAGCGGGCCCCGAACCCCACGCCGTAATTTTTTGGACCCACTTTTTTGGGGGACCAAAATTTTTTTTGGCCCCTGCTATAGTGTGAATGATTTTAGGATTTTATTGGCGCTCCCCGTTGAAAATATGAGCCCCCCCCCCCCCCCCCCACCACCACCACCACCACCTATTGGTTTTCGGAGGCCTAAGTGTCTGGAAAAAAATAACCGGTCAACATTTCAGCACGCCTCCCTGAAAAAAAATTCTGGATCCACCGTGCTAGCCCCCCCCCCCCCCCCCAAAAAAAAATATTGGTTCTAGAACCGCACCTGGCACCAACGGAATTACTAGTTTAATAATCAACACATTTCAATGCCAACGAAATCCATGGTTGCTGTTTACTTTGTAGGCGCAGTCGAAATTCAAGCAGGATCTTTCCCGCTTTGAGCAAAGTGTGAAAGGTAGGCTATAAATTCGTCACCTTGTAACTACCATGATCCTCCTTACTTAGGCCCATACGAGGCCGGCATCAAGCTTAATGATCTGATACATGTACATAAAGGCATCATTGACGGCTGGATGCACACACAGCAGTTCTTGATAACGATCTGTTGGTGACTTGGAAGATCAGAGGAATAAAATTTCGCATTAAAAAATATGTTATGTCGATAAATATGGCATCACATTTTGATATGGTTTGTGCAGTATTCTTCCTGCCTTACATCTCATGCACATGCGAAGGTGCTGATCAGGTTTTGCCGCTCTACTTTCCTTAACATAAAAAAAACTACAGGAAAACACTCTCGAAGCTTGAATAACCTTTGAATTTTATACCGCGAATTTTCTTTCATATAAACGATTTATTCTGAAGAGATGCAAACCTGCCTGAAAGCGCTGAATGAAACAGTGGCTGAGCAGTACAGTGAATCTCTCCCACGAGCGAATGAATTCCAACGCGCTCTCCAGGTATAGTTCTTTAAAATTATAGTGCTTTAGAAATTATTAACCTATTTCTGTGACAACACACTATTGTACTATTGTTAAAAGTGTAGATTATTTGTACGAATGTACAGTTTACTGAAGATAATTTTAGGAATCTACACTTTACTGTAGATTATTTTTAAGAATCTACAGTTTTTGTTGTGAATAACCTCTGCAAACAATTCCATGTATAAACGGGACTCAGGGGCCTACGAGATTTTTGAAAGTCACAGTCCACTTTAAAATAAAAAGAAATCGAAGTTTCATTGGAACTCAAAAATGTACGAATTCCGAAAGAGTTTAATCGAAAGAATTTGACATGTAGCCGATTTAAAAATGTTCTCTTTGGATTGTTTAATTTGCCGCGCTGAAATGTTTAAGTTAATTTACAGTGGCGATTATAAATTTTAACTTAAAATCCAGTGTAAAATATTCTATTGAATATATTTTCAATTCTCTTTATTATTTTTTAATCTTATTTTTATATTTAAAAAAAAAATATTATCTATTTTTATGTTTAAAGTTTCAATGATTTTTTTAATCGTTTGTCTTTAAACTCGCATTATAAAAAAAAATCAATCAGTGGATATCCCTTGGTTAAAGTTTATGTTCACATATTTAATTTCAGTTTTATCATTATTTCTCTGTCTATTTATTACTGGCTTGTGAAACAAAGACCATTAACGAAAGGACAATCCTGAAGAGAATGGACGAATAACTAAAGAAATCAAATGGCACTTACCGAATCAATACTTCTCAGAATATATTCCGAAGTAATGTATTTTCCGAAGTAATGTATTTTCCAAACAAAGTTATTTCCTCTGATGAGTGAGATGGTGATATTCCGATGTGTACTCCATAATAAATATCAAGGTACACAATGTGGTTCTCCATTGAATGGCAATGACATGTGGTTCCACAAATCAAGAGTTCTGTGCACATAATGAGTTGCTTGCCAAACGTCTTCTTGTGGTTGGTGTTAAAACTCCTCATAGCAGATAAAAGATAACGTCAAAAGCATGTAGTAGTTTCAGAATCCAGTATAATCCCGTAGCTGTAACATATACCATGTATACTATCCATTTGGCTTTGGGAGTAAGGAAGACAGTGTGTTTGCACTAAACACCAGTAATTGTGAATGTGTGTGTCACTAGGACAAATGCACTGTGCATGTGATGAATGGAACAGAACTGATGTGCACCCATTCGAAGGGTTAACAATAGGATCATGATGAAAGCACTAGGGCCAGGCAAAGTTGATTAAGGAGAATGGACGAGGAACTGTAGTTTCGTGCCAAGTGTGGACGAGGCGAAGCCGAGTCTATTCTGGCACGAATCTGCAGTTCCCTGTCTATTCTCCGACTTAATAATATGCAAATAAGGCCCCTGGTTTTCCACAATATCCACATTTGTGAATAAGTGTAGATTCGTACAATTTAACTATTGGTCATCAGCCAGAATTCAGCCGGATTTGTTCAGGCTTCAAAGCATACTTGCCCGCAGGCTTCTGCACAATCATCAGAATTCCTGATACAAGAACTAATAAACCGAAAATGTAGCTGTCTCTTTTCTTTTCAACTCTAAACAATAAATGATTCGTTTGCGTGTATTTCTGACGAGAACTTCATCACTACGAGGTTTTCCTTGTGTTTTGCGTAGGATGAAAACACTCTGGTTGAAAACTTTATCAAGGATACAGACGATGTTCAGGATCAGTTACGTCAATACCTCCATGATTACGGTAATGGAGAGGCAGACTCTTCTGATGTATCAAGGTACGCAGAAATTTATAGACGCATCTAAAAAACTAAAACAAAAATAAAAGGCCGAAACATACGAGTTTGACATAATATCTATGGCAATGCACATTATCCAGTCCAAGGCGTTTCATTAGGGCTTTTTATTTTGGAAGAGAGGGGGAACATAGACATCTGGATAGCGTATGGCCTTTCCACCTTTTTTTTAAAGGTTCCCTTTTAGTAGCTTGAAGAGTTTTCCCCTTCATAATTTAGCTTTGTCGCGGCCAAACGAATCTTTATGCACATTTAGAAAATCTGGTAATCCTATAATTAAGAAATTCATGAGAAGCAAACCCACTGATTTCCCACGGACTCAAGATATTATGATACAAATTTGTTTCTATTGTAAGGGAATAATCCTGATTTTTTTTCTCTATTCAGCGCAAACAGATCGAGTGAATTCAACACTTCGGTACTGGGGGCAATGTTCAGGGGACAAAACGTATTTTTTTCGGAAAGTTTCAAGGTATGATTTTCTTACTTGTTCTTCACTTTTTAATAAAACCGTGTTTCTGTTGATGACACCGGAATAACACCGGAATAATCACGACCTAAAGCAAAACAACAGTTCAAAATAAATGCAGTATTCTTTCATGAACTCGGAGCAAAGATCAACCAGGTTTAATTTTGTCTCGGCCAAAAAAAGGTATCGCAGGTACTTATGGACATCGTATCGCAGACCAAACACACGCCCACCTCACGTGAGATCAAACTGACTCGCGAACTGCAAGAAAAACTGGAAGTGAAGGAACCGGTACGAGGGCCGCCGGCTGCTAGTATGGCCGTGTCTCCCTTCGCTGCAGGGCTAGGGCACCGTGGACCTGGCTCATTGATCGGTGGCGCATACAGCAGCCAACCTCCTCGTAAGTGTTTGGCACAAATTAGGAAAAGTATTCTGGGATCGCTAAATCCAGCTATTTAATAACAAAAAACAAACCAGATTAATAAAAGTCCATAACATCCAAACCGAATGGATATTGATATCAAGAAGGAAAACGTGACATTAATTACGAGGAGCTCCTTAATGAACATAAAAATCAGAAGTCTTCTGTGTAGCAATTTCAAAGCTTTGCTTAATGATGGTGCTCAAGAAATGTAAGGAAAAATGGTAGTTGATCAGTATTCACAGTAAAAAGTTCCCCCTAACAGAACTTCTTTATCTGTCGTCTATTTTTCTCTAATTTTAAATCGATTACAAATCTGTGTCCGTTGTTCGTGCAGAATCCAAAGGCCCTTCGATCCAAGTCAAGCCAGCTTCTCGCTTCAGCACACCGCCCTCAACGGTCACTGGCAGTAAAAGAATCTACATCTAAAACCTACATGTTTACTGACTTAATACCCCAACCCATATGTGCTTGCCCTAAAAATATTCGGTTGCCAATTCAACAACTGTTATTTTCGACAAGGATATGTATTTCTTTCTGCAAATGTAATGAATAGCGTACTTTTAAGCACTTTTCATGGGACAAAAAAATCGAAAGCAAGACAAATTGACCAAAGAAAAACCCAGAAACCGGGAGCAAAAATTGTGCTTGTATAATCCATGTCACATAAAAATTGTGATGGATACATTGAAGCTTCTTTATTCTGATTTTTGTATATCAAATAAATTGAATATTGTTAAATATTATTTTGCACTACTTCAGGGTAGTTCTGTTTTATCTGTACAAATGAAATAGAGACTTCAAGTTAATGACAGATCTACACAAGTTTAACTGATACAGGAATTGACAGGATGCGTTTACCACAGACACTAAGGTATGCTTACATTTTAAATTTCCATTCAAATAAAAAAAAATCATCAGTACATTCAAAGTTTGCCTAAGAATTATGGGTGTTCGGGGAAGGAAATAAACAAGGAGAAGCAAAAGCAGACAAGTGTACTATCTCCTATTTCTGAGGATTATGATGTCATGAAAATGGTCTGTAGTGTCAGACGGGCTTTAGGATTACTTAATATTTTTTCTTGGTGATGTGGTCGGTTGCTTTGCTTTTAAGTATGCTCTGGTTACCATGGTTACCAGCCCAAGTGACATTTACACATAGACATTGGAGGCACTGAGCTTTTTTATTATTCAGGATTGTAAAAATGGGGGGGGGGGCTGGGAGGTGCAGACATCTGCTGGGGGTGGCATGTGCCCCTCCCCCCCCCCCTAATAATACGTCACTGCTGATTGTTTCTTAGAGCAATTTTGTTGTAATTTCATCTGCTTTGCAGCTCTCTCTCTCTCTCTCTCTTAAAAAAAAGGATGTTAATGGTTTTCAGGGAGAGATTAATAGGGAGAGATACAGATAATTCATATCCTTGGTTTTACTTAAGGGAAACAACCCACTATTTGACCACAAATCATCAAGGCTCTAGGACATTCTACATTACAGGTTGTCTACAGTAGAAGTTACATGCAATTCTACACAGTAATACACTTATTGTCCAGTTAAGTTTTGTCTCAGCTCTAGAAGTACAAGTCATAAAAAAATAGAACTGGTGCAAATTAAAAAAGAAAAGAGACTATCCAGGACAACCAAAAGTTCAGGGTTCCAGCTACCATAGCATAAATCAGTTCAAGTCAATCTATCAGCTGATTACAAGAATTTCAGAATCATACAGCAGTACCATACACAGCACACAAGAATAAAAAGAACAAGAAAAGTACTAGCAGAGGGGTAAAAAATAAAGGCACTTGTTTACATTAAGTGCATTATGGACAATCTACATCACACAACTGATATTGCTTTACACATAAATACACAAGTTCAATAAACAAAAACACAGTTGCTTTATAACAGCCATGAAGTCAATATCGTGGCAGTACATTCTTCTGATTTCATTACATCTACATGTACAGTTTATATGGCTTTACTCAATGCACAATTCAAATTTTTTAAAAAGGAAAACAAAAAAAAATAAAAAAAATCACCCCCCAAAAATTGTATGAAACTTACCATTGCTATAAATTCTCTAAAACCAGGAGTTTCAAGGTAAAATCCACACCATATAATTACACATACTGCAGGAAATCTTTAGCAAATTTACATGTTATAACAGTAATCCCGTCCTCAAATATAAAAATGTAAGCAGTTGTTTGTGTGGCGTTATACAAAAAAATAAACCTATAACCAATCTTAGGTCAACCATGTGCATTGTTCCTTGTGTTTGGCAGTAATAAAGTGCATTCATAAGTCTTCTTGCTTCATGATGAACATTTATCCCCCCCCCCCCCAAAAAATAATAAGAATAACAATAATAATAAAAATCATCCTCGGCATTTAAATATCAGCATGAATGACAGCAGGTTGGTACTTCCAACCAATTTTGGGTTATGGACTCCCTGCCCAAGTACCCCCTCAATGGTAGAAAGGGAGAGTTGGGGGGGGGGGGGGACTACTGGGAGAAAGATTCATGCAAAGATGCTACAGCCACAAGGACAATGCCCGTGCACATTTAGGACAATGCCCGTGCACATTCAGGACAATGCCCGTGCACATTTAGGACAATGCCCGTGCACATTCAGGACAATGCCCGTGCACATTCAGGACAATGCCCGTGCACATTCAGGACAATGCCCGTGCACATTCAGGACAAGCAACTATGTGTGCTTTGTGCTATATGCGCACAAACCAGCAGTGTATGCACAGAGAGTGTGTCTCCCCTTGAAGCACTTGAAAGTGGTCACAGAGAGCATCTACTATTCATGCATGCAATAGCAGTCCATTGCATTGCATGCTTCAAATGACAGAAAGACCACCGCATATTGGTCCTCTCTGAAAGCGGGGTCTACCTGATGTTCCCCAATACCGATGTTCCCAGAAATCCTTAGGATTAGGGTTAAGGTAAGGATTTCGGGGAACATCGGTACTGGTGAACATAGGGGAACAGAGATATGCACCCCTGAAAACAATGTAGGCCCTGATATAAAGTGCAATAAAGTGTTGAAATCCACAATACGTTTGTAATGCCCGAAAATGATGTAAGCATAAATTGTTATTATCTACCAGCTAAATTTATACTGACAAGCGAGACATGGTGAAATATATCAAAAAGCATTAAAATATTAAAAAAAAAGTTATGTACAAAATCTACATATGTGATGTGATCAAGCTACATGAGTTGTTTGTCGACCCTGGTCAATTTTTTTATTTTTTATTACAAATTTAAAAAGCGCACAATGTCATCATTACTGCTGTGAAAACCGCATGCTGATACCATCTTTAGTAAAAAACTATTGTGATGAAGTGCTGTGATGAGGTGGCCCTATTTTAGCCTGAATCTCCAAATAAAAATTCCCAACAAACGACTCGTTTAGCTTGATCGCATCACATACCGTATATGCAATAAGACACTCTGAAACTCTTGAGGGCAGCAAACAAATGTCAGTGCATTTCACAGCAAGTTGGATCACAAAAGTTCTCATTTATTAGGTGAATAAGCTTAATGACTGCCTCCGAATTACTTGGTTCCGGGTCAAGGGTGACATTAACCCCTTAGGCAATGTAGCGCCCCAAATCGCCCTGCCTATAACTCTCTGTTGCGCCTGAAACTGCCCAAGCAATGGCTTTATTGATTCTTCAGTGAATAAATACAATGTAATACAATGTAGTAAATTAACCCTAACCTCCACAACTCCATCAAACATGTCAAAATCCACCCCCCCCCCACCCCAGTTTGGTGGATTTCGTCCTGCAGGCCTGGTTTGACTAAATATTGATGGAGTGTGAAGACCTTGGGCTTGGAGGCCTAAAGCAAAGCATGCATTGGATTGATGGGTTTTTACGGACTTGGTCCTGAACTTAGTAGAAGACAGTAGGGAGTTAGGGTTAATGGGTTAACACATACGCCTATGGACTCACGTGTTAGTACTGGCATAGCCAAGCAATATGTACGTGTATGCCATTATGGTCCTGGCTCCCTGCTACTGTAATACACAGATAGCAACAAGCTACTGATTACCAGCAATGAAACCAAACTCCACAGACAAGTCCCAGAAAGTTCACAAGTCGTGTCCAACCATCGCTTACTACAATGCATTCTATGCAAGTCAAGTCCAGTTGCGATACATAACTGATTTATCATTGATCTGGATATAATTTGCTCTCTCAGTACACACAGAGCCCACAAACTGGCAATTCACAGTGCTTTCCCAATGCATGCAACTGGTAAGAAACATAATCCGGCGTTTTGATACAAGGAATCACTAACTCTCCGCCATAGTTTTAGCTGTTTAGAGTTTTAAAAAGTGGACCTTTCCAGGACTAACAAATTATTACTATAACCTCACAGACAAAATCCTGAAAATCACATCCAGTCAGATCTTTTACTCCATTCATTGAAGGATTTTTGTTTACATTCCAAGGTGGAACTGTGTCAGCAAACTTCTTCACTCACAATTGGAAACCAAGTTAGTCAAGTTTGGACTCATCTTTCCTTAAATTACTCACAAGCCAAGAAGTCTCTTCAGAAAATCAAAAAACTCTAGCCATGATTTTTCCTTATTGCAGGAACCCTGGAGTAATGATTTTTACACCCCATAAAAAATCACCAAAACCTGTGCAAATGCATTGGTCAAATTGCAGCAATCAAAGAGTTAAATACGTTCCTTGTCCTAATACACAAACTAATTTTTGTAATTATTACTATAACAGTACTTTTGGATAAGCATACACATTGTCTGTTGCATTTCTTGTGTTAGCTAAATTACACCCACCAGGCAGCATTCATAAAACAAGAGGGGATATTCTTTTATATCGTGACCAGAAACCAAAACTTCACGAGCAGAAACGTGCACTCTTACAATGGTCTACAACTACAACAAACCCCTAATCAGAATTGCATGTTCTCTGCTGTTTACTGGTAGGAAATTGCTTTCTTTAGAAACAGACTCATATTGATGATAAGAAAGTACATGAAAGTTGGACTGCCACCAAATATAATGCATATTTATCAAGTAGCTTCATGGAAGTATTTAAATCTAGGTTACCATACAAAAATTATGTTTCTGTTTGTCAAAATCATTCAATATCATTCATTTAGTGATTGTCATGGTCAGAAAAAAAAAACATATAATACTTCCTGGGAAATTCTTGAGGGGAACTATAAAGTGATCACGTTCTTCAAGGTTTTTATGACAGAAAAGAAATATTGATGAAGTGTTTAACTTGATCAATATTTCATTTTTTTACATTTTCAAGATGGATCACAAGATTAGAATTAAGGGCCAGTTTACTGAACATGTTTACACTTCCTATACAGACAATCAACTGTTAATACTTCAGCCCCACTACCCCTCGCATAAATGCTGAGACAATACCCCCCCCCCCCCCCTGTTCCTAACAGGGTTGTGGAGCATGATAGTCCATTAGAAACAAACAGTATGAATTGCATGGCTTTCTCAATTTCAATCCCAATATTACTCTGGGCAAAAACTTTCTGATTTAAGAAGCGCATATGTACTAACCCTGTTCTGGAGACCCCCTTGTAGCTTATTCCTCTGAGCTTGTATGCTTACTATGGTGAAACATGTATCTCTGGCCCATGTTTTAGGGGGACACAATTTGCAGCTTGGCTCAGAAGCGCACTGTGAAGTTGTCAGGGAAGACACCTTTAGATCCATCAGTTGTCTTTATTCCAAGTGACCATCCATCATCCTGTCAAGAAGATCAAGTTAATCAAAACACTTGTAAGGATTTACATTCCCTCCACTTTACCACAGAATAATATTAAGCTTACACATCATTTTGGGAGATTTAACTATATCACTCAGAGCAGTCGATATTTGTATATTAACCCCCAGCTCTGACTGAAGGGAAGCCTCTCTTTACTGTTGTTGTTTACCTGATCATCTGGATCATCGAACTGCAGTACATCTATAGTGTCTCCTTTATCAAAAGTCAATTCGTCAGAGTCCCTCCTCACGTAGTTATGTGTGGCTCTCACCTATTAATGTCCAAAAACCAGTGAAAGAGAACACGGCGTCAGAGAAGGGGAATCTTGGGTGAAGTTTGAATTGCACTTCAGAGTAAACCACGTAAAGACTCATACCATGAAAATCATTTTAGTTTCACAAAAGGTCAAACTAACAACTCATTTTAAACTTTTCGAAGCAACTTACCTACTTCTGAATTTGGACATAATGTGTTCAATTTGGAATTCAAAGGGAAGAGTCCATTTCACATTTTTGATGCTATGTGCCTCATATTTAATAATCACATTGTTCCAACCAGTGTGGCAATGTGTATCCACTTCAATAACTACCCATCAAAGTACAGTTCTGAGTGACTGATACTCACTCTGTAAACAACGCCAGGCGGTAGTTCACTGTTGGATTTATTAGGTGATACAGTCTCCGGGGATGCAAGGGGCGGGGCTGCCCGTGCTTCCTCCCCATTCTGTGACGTCCCCCTCATCTGAGAAAAGATAAGAAGGAATAAAATAAACCATGAAAGCAATCAAGTTACTGATAAATAGAGCATTCTGTGTGCTGACTTGTTTATGTTTGTTCATAAGTTACTTTGCTGTTGTGACTAGACAGAGGTTACAGGATGTTTTATATTGGAGTTGCTCTTCACCAATGCAGATTTCTCCTCAGCACTTTACACTCCGTGCTTATCTAAAAGACTGGATAGTATGCAGTATAGAGAACCACAGAAAAACAAAACAATTTGAAGCCATTTTGGGGAGACCGGCTGGTGGTGTATAAAGGACAAGTTGCTGTTTTAGGCAATTGTGATCCACTTTTGAAACAATGTGGCTCACTTTTTGAATGCTGCAGTTCACTTTTCGTGACGTTTGGAAATATAATCACGACGGAAACTTGTCCTTTATATCTGCATCTGTAGAATACTGTGCAAACTCCTTGATAGGATATCCTGCACACATGTACATGACCAAAATGCGCGTCAATTCTTGATACAGTGCGCGCTGTATGTGCGTAGAACATTTGTATATCGGCGGCCATGTTTGGAAGATCGGGTGTATGGGCATCTGCTATCCAGTCTTTATATAGAGATCAGTGATCTAAGTAAAACAAGTAAACGTGAATGGATGCTGGTTCTGCTGGTCTAGGGGCTGATACTAAACCTGAATGGGTGTTGGTTCTGTTGGTCTAGGGACCTGATACTTACTTCAAGGGGTGTTGGTTCTGTCGGTCTAGGGACCTGATACTAACCTCAAGGGGTGTTGGTTCTGTCGGTCTACGGACCTGATACTTACTTCAAGGGGTGTTGGTTCTGTTGGTCTAGGGACCTGATACTAACCTGAATGGGTGTTGGTACTGTTGGTCTGGGGACCTGATACTAACCTCAATGGGTGTTGGTACTGTTGGTCTAGGGACCTGATACTTACTTCAAGGGGTGTTGGTTCTGTCGGTCTAGGGACCTGATACTAACCTCAATGGGTGTTGGTTCTGTTGGTCTAGGGACCTGATACTTACTTCAAGGGGTGTTGGTTCTGCTGGTCTAGGGGCTGAAACTAAACCTCAAGGGGTGTTGGTTCTGCTGGTCTACGGACCTGATACTTACTTCAAGGGGTGTTGGTTCTGTTGGTCTGGGGACCTGATACTAACCTCAATGGGTGTTGGTTCTGTTGGTCTAGGGACCTGATACTTACTTCAAGGGGTGTTGGTTCTGCTGGTCTAGGGGCTGAAACTAAACCTCAAGGGGTGTTGGTTCTGCTGGTCTACGGACCTGATACTTACTTCAAGGGGTGTTGGTTCTGCTGGTCTAGGGGCTGAAACTAAACCTCAATGGGTGTTGGTTCTGTCGGTCTACGGACCTGATACTTACTTCAAGGGGTGTTGGTTCTGCTGGTCTAGGGGCTGAAACTAAACCTCAAGGGGTGTTGGTACTGTTGGTCTAGGGACCTGATACTAACCTCAATGGGTGTTGGTTCTGTCGGTCTAGGGACCTGATACTAAACCTCAATGGGTGTTGGTTCTGTCGGTCTACGGACCTGATACTTACTTCAAGGGGTGTTGGTACTGTCGGTCTAGGGAGCTGATACTTAACCTCAATGGGTGTTGGTTCTGTCGGTCTAGGGACCTGATACTAACCTCAATGGGTGTTGGTTCTGTCGGTCTAGGGACCTGATACTAAACCTCAATGGGTGTTGGTTCTGTCGGTCTACGGACCTGATACTTACTTCAAGGGGTGTTGGTTCTGTCGGTCTAGGGAGCTGATACTTAACCTCAATGGGTGTTGGTTCTGTCGGTCTAGGGACCTGATACTAAACCTCAATGGGTGTTGGTTCTGTCGGTCTACGGACCTGATACTTACTTCAAGGGGTGTTGGTACTGTCGGTCTAGGGAGCTGATACTAAACCTCAATGGGTGTTGGTTCTGTCGGTCTAGGGAGCTGATACTAAACCTCAATGGGTGTTGGTTCTGTCGGTCTACGGACCTGATACTTACTTCAAGGGGAGTTGGTTCTGTTGGTCTAGGGACCTGATACTAACCTCAATGGGTGCTGCTTCTGCTGGTCTAGGGACCTGATATTCAAAGGCATCGTCTTCATCGTCCTCCTCATTCCTAGCTGCTGCTGCTGCTGCTGGTGTTGTTGCTTCCTGTTGTTGCTGTGGTTGTTGCTGGGCTTCAGGCCGTGGGGCCACCTCCCTCTCATTGTAATGCTCAGGAATCTGGACCTCATAGATTGAGTTGTCGGGGGTAGAGACCCCGGGTGGATGGGCGTTGCCAACAACATCTGGAGATCTACCGACATACAAACAGAATGAAAACACGGAGTTGATATTGGACTTTACATTTCACTAACTTCATTTTATAAGAAGTGTATTCTCAGTGCTATCTGAGAGATTTTGAAATTAAAGACCAGAAGCTTGCTGGGTGGGACTTGCATGTCAAACCTCCTGCTTACCAATAGCCTGAGAAAATCGTGGATTTAACTACAAACTAAAAAGCAATTATGTCAATTTTCTTTGTACTTAGGTTTTTAAGGGGTATCAAGCCTCACCTAGTGGCTGGCCCTGATCCTCAGTACTTCAAAATCCTCCAAATTTTACCAGTGAATGGTGAATGAACTTGGAGGGTTAGCATTTCAACTATTACATGTAAATGTGGAATGGCCCACAGATGTTAGCATTTCAACTTTTATGTGGCATGTCCCATAAAAGTCGGCAATAGATCGCTTGCTTGCTTGCTTACCCGATGGTTGATAGTCTCTTGATGTCAAAGGTTCCCTTGGATGTCTCCTCGTAGAGCTCTTCCATGATATTACTGAGCTCTAGCGTCATCTTACCAAGCTCTTCATGCAGTGTGGCCTCAGCACCATAGAAGAGCTGGAACGTTGTAGCGTAGAATGGAATGCGACTGGAATCAAACAAACATGTAAAATAAAACTGTCAATCAAAATAAATATGATGTTGGTAATGATTGCGAGGATATAAATATGACGGTAGTGATGTTGATGATGATGTGGTGGTGCTGGTGGTGTTAGTGATATTGCAGAAAGAGATGGTGATACTGTCATGTTATTTCTTGACAACAGTGATATTGGTGGAAAAGATGGTGATTGCGACAATACCGTTTAGTGTTGGCGAAGTGTGGTTTTGGTGATAGTGGTGATATAGGGTAAGTTGACACTGGTGATGATACAATAATAATGAAACTTGTAATAATTACTAGATGAAGATGACAATGATGCCACCACTGATGACAATCACGATGAGTTGATAACACTGATTACAAGTGATGATGAGGAGGATATGAAAAGATAAGGGTTATGGCAAATTCTAAAGCAAATATAAAATAAAGACTTCACTACAGACAAAAAGATGCACCATGATCTTTCATTCTTCTAACCAATTATCCTGGAGACTGCTTTTGGACTTGTCCAACAAAGATGAACAGCCTAACTGTCAAACAGCAGCAGTACTTAAAAGTTAGAGTCTTAAACAAAAAGGCCAAACAGACCGGTGCCTTTAACCCACTTTATCATGGCCACGGTTGTGTTCATTTAGTACTGAGCAATGATACATTCTGTTACTTTGTAAGTAGCTGTATCTGGCACTGACTGTGATGGTCAATTCTAGGTTTACCTGTCATACAGTGCAGGAAGCTCCTCTAGCATTTCATTGTTGATGTCTTCATACATTTTCTTGGCCTCATTGTAGGTTTCTTGCGCCTGTTTAGAAAGGAAAGAGGAAAGTGTATTACTACAATGAACATATTCACAAAACAGTTTACTATTCGGCCCCGCCTCTCAAGACAGGTTCCCACCCCTCCATAATTACTCAGGTCAGAAAAGAACTACTCTACCTACCTCTCTATGTACATCTTAACTGAACAGTTAACATGAACCAGTGAGAAGAACTGTTGATTCTATGGGATACTGTTGCTACATGTAAGTCCACACAGTTATCCTCCAGTTAACAGGTCAAGCCCTTTATTTGATACAAACTGACAGAGCTAGAGATAATTCCAACACCCATGTTTTATTTCTAGTATTCCATCATGCCAGAATATCATCAGAGGCAATACCTTGGTGGCTTTGAGATCATCTTTCTTCTTGAGTGTCTCCAGGTTGTGCCTCGCGCTGTCAAAGTCAATCATCTTCCGGCCTCGCTTCTCCACTCGTTTCTACAAAGAACCATTCAATACAACGTGAGCTGTTTCAGGCCCGGTTCCAAGTTAGGAAACAGAGATGTTACAATGTTGAATATGCTGATCCTTCCCACTCTGGTAACTTGTTTCCAGTTTCCATGTCATAAGACCACACCACTGATTTCCACTTCACATTTCAAAATAAAGGAATGGCAAAATGGTAAGTGTTCTTCAATCTCAAATTTTGATGTTGTATTTTCCTTGTTAACTTTGTTATACTCAACATGACAGCTAAGGGCAAAAATCTTAAAATATATACCGGTACCATATCTACATCAATATCTGCATGACATTTAGATTCAATTTCAAGAAGTCTGCTACTGCAGTAGCCATTTTGGCATAATGTACAATATAATTATTCACCACTTGTTGGTGAAATAGTCTTTTACTCAGCTGAAACTGAGCTACTGGTTCCCTGGACTATTTGTACTGGTTGTGTTCCTGAATAAACTTTCAAGGGTTGCTATTTCTAAATTGACACGATCTGTCTGTTCACTCACCTTTACATCCGGGAATTTGGACTGGTACGTGAACAGCGGGTTGACTACCTGATCATTCAGTTTCTTCTGGTAATCATCCCATAGTAATTCTAGGGTCTAAAAAGACAGTAGAGAAAGAAATTTACATAGTTAACAATGACAGGCACTGTAACACTAAGTACACTGAAGAAGTCAGTCATGTCAGCAGTGTTTCTCCGATGATTATGAAGTTTTATGTCATTGTTTGAATACTCAAAAAAAAAAAAAACCTTGACAAATTCAGGAACCCCAGTTGGAGGGACACACCACATGAGCTTGTATGCATTCACACATGTATGGCACGTATGCATGATCAATTTTACTCCGAATGAACCCAACCCCATTTTATATGACAATGGCTAGCAGTAACACACATGTCTATTGCAAGTGGCTTCAGCCGCTTCCCATAGAGGCATGTGTAATTGCAAGCCACAGCCAAGTAGTCCAGATGTAGCCTTCACTGTATACACCAGCTACTTACTTCTTTGGATTGAGGTATCTGACTACTCTTGACCCAGTCTGATTCATAGATGTTCTCTAGTGCATCGTGTAAACTCCGGCTGGCAGTGCTCATTGCTAGCAAACAAAAAGTAACATGAATTATGAAATTAATCCGTATTTTAATTTAAATAAAGTTTTTGTTCCTGCTGAAAACGCTAGAACTCTTGAAACCTGTCCAATCACTCCTATGGGGCAAGTTAAGTTCATCATGTCATAGAGAACTATTAATTACGTTGTTGGCATCAACCAATCTAACATAACGATCAACTTTGCCAAAATATTGAGTAAAGTGTCTTACTCAAGAACACAGGTTCCACCATCCCTGGCGGGGTTCAAATCCACATTCAGAAAGATTGTCAAAGTAGCAAAGTTCCACACGATCAGTGAAAAAGGACCCACAACTAACTCCCATAGAATGCTTACCTCGTACACAGGACACATAGTTCTTGAGTTCTTTCTGTAACCTGGACGCGGCCGCTTGCTGCTGGTTAAAGTTCTGTGCGTAGAGGTCAAAGGCTGCATCTCTGGTCTCATCTACCTTACCAAGCTTCAAGAGAACCTGTCAGAGGGAGGGGGAGGGGCGAGGAGGGGGAGAGGAGGGGGAGAAAGCAAATAACATAAGGGAAAGACTATCAGCAGAGGTACAAAGAGAGCAACTTTGATACCGGTACTTAAAATGTGTGTACAGTACATGTCAAGTGCAATTCCAAGAAGTCTTTTAATTTCAACAAAATCAAAAAGTGTGACGTTTAGTATCAAATAGCAGATAAACTGGAATATGTGATGCATCATAACTTTGCAGGGATACAAACAATTCATAAAGTGATCCACAACGATCAGTTTCTTTCAATAAAGAAATGTGGTACATTTATAAACAAATTTTATGTGAAGATAAATTGAGCTATGGACACATTGTTTTGTTTTCCAAAATGTTACAGAACATATGTACACAATGTACATATTTTCGAGGGAAAGATCACAGAAACCAAGACCACATTTTAAATACAAGATTCCCCCCCCCCCCAAAAAGAAATCGGACGACATACTTCCACTACAACACTGTACCAATGGGTGGAGAATCTGTTAAGAAGAAATATGATTCCAAAGATTTCCCGATTCTGTCCAGTAGTTTTTGCTGCAGAGCCTATTTTGTGAAGCACACATCTTTCATGTGGGTATTAGGCCTACTACATATTAATTAATCCCTCTATAGGCCGTGGGCCAAAGCCTGTAATGTGCAGTTTCGTCTTAACTTTTTAGTGGCAACTTAATTTCTCGGTTATAAGTTGTTTGGAACATGTTAATTGATATTTTACAATGTTCACATCATACCGTTTGCACAAATTAGAAATAAAGGGGACTGTTTCCCCCAATGTACATGTAACTGTACCACATAAGGGCGATCGCGATGCATCGCTGCCATTCCGTACCAGCCTCGCCCCCATGGGCGCATGCGCGTTCCTCCATCAACCCTTAGCCATGGGGAATGTGTAAGGCGACGCTGACTGGCTAAAACAGAGCGTACTGCGCTCGTACTTTGAGTCTGCAGGCCCCACATCTCCTACACGTCAAGTAACATACACATTTTTTTTCAAGATTGCACGATGCCTTTTCGATTTGGTTTCCGGAAGCCCAGTTTTACACCCGAAAAAACATGTATTCTGGGTAAAGAAATGGAAAAAAAAAAATAGTGTGTCACTTATTTAATTGAAACTGAATGACTTGTGATTTACTTGTGTTGTAAAGGAACGACAGAGGTACATAAATTTAATATAAATCATTATACACCACGTCGAAATCTCATCATGCTCATGTTTGAAAGGCTCGATTATACAAAAAACTTTAAGCACGGTGTCGACTGTCGAGCACTAAACAATGACTTATATTATTTATGCCGACTTCCTATTATCTGTTGTGTCAAATTTTAAAGCGTTTGAACTTAAAACATACAGAAGTTATGGCAAAAATACTATTTATGACCAAAAATTGGCAAAATAATGAGGAAAAAATGTTGTTATAATTTTAATGTGCATTTTGGGACAATGTGAACAGCCGGATTCAGATTCAGCACTATCGAATTAGTTAAGTTGACCTTATTGCAAGCTGACAACAAAAAGTTAAGACAAACCTCAACTTCTAGACCTGATACAGATTTTGGCCCATGGCCCACTATCCAATTTAAGTCAATTTCGCGGGCCCGGTTTAGTAATTCATCAGGACAAAATGACTCCTGACTTTGTTTCAAAAATGGGCTCTAGAACAAAACTACTGGACTGAATCGGGCTATCTTGTTATCATTTTTTCTTTTAAAAGAATTCCCCATGCATTGGTACAATGTAGGTTGTTTGAGTCTCAAGGTAGCGGAAGTATGCCGTTCGGTTTTTTGGGGGCCACCCTGTATTTTGCACCACGCCACTCATTTCCTGGAACCATTTCAAACATGTTTCAATGGACACCACGCAACAACAAGGAAACTGCTGGAATTCTCGGTGATTCCCTGATCAACTCCCTCTTGCATACAATATTATCAGCCAATACAATGTACTCAATACTGGTGTTGGGCACAAACCACAATCCATTCACAGAGTGAAGGCATAACACACATGAAATCATATAGAACAGGAAGGATAAAGAATGCTGCACAAAAACTATTTATATGTCTGACATCTAAAAATCCTCTTCTTTTCAGGTTTTAGAGACCGTGATTTATCAGTGCATGTATGTATACTATACACATTATTGTACTCATGTACAGGTGCAGACCGTACTGACATGTAATGTACAATGTACATGTATGTACCGGTAGGTCAGTTTAATTGGGCGTAACACATTTCTTTCTCATTTCTTTTTTGCTTTAAAGGGAATACTTTATATACAACATTTGCAAACATCAAAAAATAGAACTACCATGTTTTTACGAAATACCTTACTAGGATGTTGGTAAATGACAGTCTAAAGCATCCTGTACAATTATGGCACCTGGTGTCAAGTCATGTTAAGAAAATGGTATTTTTGTATAAATTTCCAACGGTGGTCGGCCGACCACCGTTGGAAAAACCTAACTACTTTTCAACTTCTCCTCCAAATTCACCATTTTTTCAGTCCAAATTCTGTTTGCTATTGGTTACATGTTTATGAACGGGTGCAGGCCAGGTAGACTGGTTCCCTTACCTTACAATTTTCCGGCATCTATAAATTGATCCATTTTATCTTTAGTAGAGTCAGGGAACCAGACTACTCCACCATTTGTGTTTTTCTTGGTTTTTCAGCATTTTCGAACACAAAACTTCAAACATGTCAGTGTAACAATATTTGATCTATTATAGTAACCCCTCAAATAGTTCATTTCTGAAAAATTACAGCAAAAGCCAATGATGTACATTCCCTTTAATACTTCACTGGGCTCTAAGTTAAATACAGTTTTTTTTCAGCTGAGATGTATACATTTTAAAGGTACAAACACAAACATGTAAATTGTATAAATGTTGTCATTATTGTGTAAAAATTCAACATACAGTAAACATGTAACTTACATGTATGCACATAGGGAGTAAACATCAGTTTTGTTTAACAAGCAAATTAAATGATTGGTGGTTTCCAGATAATTCTAATGTACATTTCCTCAAGAATGCTGATGAACCCTGCAATGAAAATGATAATGTCCCTTGGTGGTGGTACTAGTTTAAAATGTTGAACAAAATTTCTTTTTTAATATTAATTTTAAACTCAAATGAAAAATCAAAAACATTGAAATGAAAATCCCATTCAACGATGCACCAGTATGGCAATAAATGTTTTTTTTTTCAGCAATCACAGTTTTTGCGCAGCACGTGGTGGAATTTCTCATTGATTACTCCATTTGCCAAAATCAATATTGTACAATCTGCACAGTGTCAATGCCTTAGACGTGTGTGTACCCAAGCTCATGTATGGAAATCCAAATAAACACTAATACAATACACCTGCTAAGCTCTAGCGTAGATCTGCTCTCTATTACATGTATATTGCTCCAAGGTCAAATAATATGATAAATAATTAACAGATTGTGAGCTGGGCCACACCACACTGTCATGACTGTGTGGGATTTTTGTTGGTCTAGTTTGGATTTACCATGTGATCACTGAGGTTTGGTTACACTTACAGGCTGTGTACATACATGTACATGTACATACTGGAATTTGTATCCTTGTGGAGTCATTTCTTTGATCTCGTGTACTAAAGTTGTCGAGTTTGAAAGTGTACTTTCAAAATGCTGCTATTTTAAACAGAATTAATTTCCTGGGCTGAAATTTGGACTGAATTTCCCATACATAAAATACTTCAATTTGCGACAAATCAACACACCTTGGAAATTCCTAGTTTTTGAGTAAAATCCATATATTTCGTGATAACCTTGTGGAGACGTATTGACATACAGAAATTGCTCTGTGGCGACTATACAATCTTTTGTTCCCTATTTTGCACATGATGTCTCCAGAGGATACCGTGTACCAGATCCTGTACGTGTACATATATGTATTTACAATGTACCGGTACATGTATACAATACACATTGTGCGCTCCAGACATGTGCATGCATTGCCTTTTGCCAGTTGATGCATTTATGATTAATCAAGGAACAGGGTTTTAGGTTCACAGAAATTTAAACAGGACAATGCCATACTGTAAATCGTGTAATTATCTCAGAAACAATACTGAAAAAAGAAAGGGAAAAAAAAGAAGGAATTTTGTTTATTTTATCACTCTTTATTTTCATTTTCAAGTGTACCGTTGACTGTACATGTACAATGTACATGTAGCTGTCCAAACACAATTTTATCAAAACCGTCAGATTTGCTTAGAAAAAACAACAGGGTACTGATACCAAAAATAATGTTTCCTGTTAGGGATTTTTGTAATATTTGCTTTCAATAGCTTTGAACATTAGTTCAATACATTCTCCTTCATTAAATACATTTCTAAGAAAAGGGCCCGTACATGTATGATGTGATCAAATGCTGTTGTCTAACAACATGTGTCTGCCCAGTACATCCACATGTAGAACATCAACGAGCACACACTCTCATATGACTAAATTGCCTTACCATTCACCTGTGAAAATGGAATTGATTGAATTCTAAATTCATGACTAAAGTAAACATGTGGACAGTTGCATTAGCTAATACATGTAAATTGTACATGTACATTTACTTGCGTGAAACAAAATGTAGGTCAAGCCCCACAGTTTTTTCTACATACTGGAAGGTCATACACTGTACACTAGTTTACTAGACAGTAGACACCATTTGGTTGAGAAATCAACAATGATTCTACTTGACTGAATGATGACAACTGATTACGTAGGGTTCATTTATAGGTTTCCTGTCAACTCTCGGAAGTACGGGCACACATCGAAACTGACAAAACACTCAAACTTGATGTCTCCAATCTGGACTGACTGGACTGAGTCATGATGACTGAGCTAACAACTATCTCTAAGCCTTCAGCCTCTGACTATGAGAAGTTCACATTCTAGTACACGTACATTGGTTTTAACAATTGCTGATAATGCAGTGATGCAAAGAAAGCCATGCCATGCAGAACTGTTTTGTTAGTATAGCATGTACATGTATGTACACTAGGCCTGGGCGAGTAGTATATGTGTTCACAATGCTGAAAGAAGTACACATGTATGATAAACAACATACATGTACAGTCAAAAAAGCAAATTGCCTTCTGACCATTGTAAGATTAAGAAGGAAGTTTTTCATTTGTCTAATAAGCATCAACTCTCATATTAAACTATTTTACAACATCTCTCTGTCACAGTATGACACTACACCACCATAGACACATCATTGCACACATGTCAACTGCAGGCTGCGTACATTTGGGTCAATCTGCAGCGAAATGGCAGTGACATGTGGAAAGTGTGGACAATCAATCACCAAGGGCATACATTTGTACATGTTGGGTGCATGTACATGTACATGTAGCTGTAAAGGGGCTTGAATACAATGGAATACCAATGCGATGACCCCTAATTGATAATAATACAGATAATTGTGAACACCAGTAATTAGAATTGCTAAGCAAAGGAAATTGCACAGCAGTGCATGCTGTATGTGTATGTTACCTAAAAAGGGGGAGTGGTTTGATGAGAACTAGAAATATAACTCCAACATTTTTAATAGTATGCTCGGAGGCTCGGACTGACATCAGAAAAAGTTTAAAATTGTGTCAAAGTACATGGGTACATGTATCAACAGTTACCCAAAACCTTGAGCATATATATAGTAAATATTGAATGGATTTTGATGCATTATAAGTACTTAGTTGAATAACTTCCTGAATCCCGTGAAGATGTGTTTTTGTGGTGCTATGTCACATGAGACTGTCAAAGTGCATAGTCAGAGAATTATGTTTTTTTTACACTGCACGTGTCATATCTTTTGACAACTCTTCTTTCAACTTTGCCTCAATCAAACTCAAAAGTGAATTGTATGGATGAGACGTTCAAAGACCATTCCATACATTGTACTACACTGTACATGTACATGATGCATACGCCCTCCTGATATTGTAGGAAAAAAGTTCCTGGACCAAAAACTATGGTTTGTCAGAATGCCTTTCACTTTCATAAACATGATACAGTTAGGGCCTACTTGTAGCAAATTCCTCATGACACAAAAACAGAGGAAATAACTGTTTTACAATCGTGGCCAACATGTTCATTTAACTCACCTTTTTCTTTGTTCTTGAGAGGGTTTTTGTAGCATTTAGAACACGTGTACCTGACTTGAATGCTGACTTTTTGTCTGCCATTTTAACACTGCCTTATGAATGTGTCACAAATACTGGACTTCTTCTGCATTGTTTAGCCACACAGCAATGCATGCTAAATTTCTAGCTAAAATAAACCACGTACATACAGTGTATCCTGCACACATCACCTACATGTATTGTATCCTACACACATGACGTACTGGACTTCCTCTGTATTAGCTGCACATGATTATAAATGCATGCATTGGTGTGTGGGAAAGTTGTGTTGAGGAAATCGAAATGGGAACTGTTGTTTTCACTTGATATTCATCATGGAAGATACGCACCTGGTTTAATAATTGTACATGTAAAGCTCTTTGAGATTGTTGACACGATGGAAAGCGCTATATAAGCACAATTATTATTATTTATGTACCTCTAAGACAGGGTTGGCTGATTTAAATCACGTTGATTTAAATCACTGATTTAAATCGCGATTTAAATCAAATAATTTTTTTTATAAAAATCACCGATTTAAATCACTTTTTTGTAAGAATCTTATTTTTGGCAAAATCAATTGATTGAGGGTCATTTTAATCATTTAAATCAACTGATTCCACTTAATTACAAAGTGTAAGATGTTGTAAACACATTCAAACACCCCTATTTCATCACCATCGACTCAATTTAGGTTTTGCATAATTACCCAAAATCGTTGTTTTGATTAAGTCAAGATCTGAGTTTAAAAGTTTTTCTTCAAAGTTTTTAATTTTAAAAAGAGCACACTCACGATTGCTTTAATCATTCCTTGATCTGTTTACAGTAATATTGTGAATCAACTGTGCTGGTGTATGCTTACATGAACCATCAAAAGGTGTATTAAAAGTCCCAATTGACAGTCTTATTCCCAACGTTTCTCCCTACAAATTTAGATTGAGATTTATATAAAACCTTTTAAAGGTGTAAGGCCTGATTTCTGTTCGCCACCTTGGACCATCAATCAAACACTATAAGTTACACAAGGATCAGTGCCGCCACTTTTGAAATCAACATGCCCATGGAGAACTGTCATATTTGTTTTGTATACCATGTACATGTACCATCAATCAAGTTTTCATTCATATCCACACACAACATATCTCAGCTGTATCAATCAAGCAATGCACCTTTAAAGTGTCTTCAGTATTAATGTACCATTGAGCCAATGATATACATGTAGACTACATGTAAAAGAAATATTTTGAAAGTTTTGAAAGGAAATCAATATTTTGAAAGTTAAAAAAATCAAAAAAATCTGATTTACACAAAAAAATCTGATTTAAATCAAATAGGCCTAAATCCGATTTTTTTTATTTAAAAAAATAAAATAAAAAAAATCGCCAACCCTGCCTCTAGACATGCAAAAGGGAATCGGGAACCAGCTTGAACTGGTATCCGTCCATAAAAGCTGCCCTAGTTCCCGACCCCCTATTATCGTTCGAAATGCACTTGTGTTTACTAACGCGATCCAGTCTACTCATTATCATAATCGATGCATCGTGCGCGCTCGGTAACGGAATCGCACTCGGGATACGGGGACCATCGAATGTATGCTGGGAATGAAGACCACATCGCGTCGTTCAAACATTAACACGAATCGGAAATTTAACGTGTTCACGATCGCGAGTAGCCCCATAAATGTGGCCTATTTACTGGACTGCCTCCGTAAACATAGGCCACACATCCACATGTACAAAAATCGTGTTGACGGAGCCAAATTTTGATTTTCACATTTAGGCTTAGTTTGTAGGGTTTTTTTTGCTTTAGAAGCATACTCACCCTCTTTACAGGCTAATCAGAAAGTGCTGCCTTTTTCAGATGTCTAATTTTTGTGAAATTTCATGTTGAAATTTTGATACGCAAACGTGTAAAAATGAATCTGGAAATTTCACGAAAAATATACATCTGAAAAAGGCAGCACTTTCTGATTAGCCTGTAAAGAGGGTGAGTATGCTTCTAAAGCAAAAAAACCCTACAAACTAAGCCTAAATGTGAAAATCAAAATTTGGCTCCGTCGACACGATTTTTGTACATGTGGATGTGTGGCCTATGTTTACGGAGGCAGTCCAGTAAATAGGCCACATTTATGGGGCTAGATCGCGAGGGGAGCTCTCGGAATTGAACGGGAAATTTCACTTTCCATCCGGATCGTAAGTAAACTTCAGTACAACCATCTTAATTATCGATGTCTACTTGTACCTCAGGCTCAGTTGGCGTAGGCCCCCCCCCCCCCCCCCCCCCCATCTAGTAATTTGGAGGCCGTTTTGAGGGTGAAATCTGATGTTTTTGTTGGTAAATGTATTGTTGGGTTTTTGGGTCAATTGAATGACACTGACACTTGACAGAATTGTTTTGCTCGGCATACATCATTAGCTTGGACCCCACTATCGCCAGACCATGTCCGAATGTTAAAAAGGCGATAAGTTGGGTCCAAGTTACTCGGACTAGAATGACTCTAAAGACCGCCCACTCGTAAAGCCGGGCGGACGGCCCAGTCATACCGCCGGCCGCTCCGCCCAAAAAGTTTCCGGACAAAGTATTGCCTTCACTTTTCACTTTAAAAAAGTTGCCATACTCAACATCGGTTGGACAATTCTTCATGTGAATAAAGATGAAAAACCATTTCATAAATATGACAAAAAAGTTTCGTTCACTGACCTTTTCCTTCGTTCTTGTGAGGTTTTTTGTAAGGATGCTTGACTTGAACGTCGACTTTCTGTCTGCCATTTTGAACACTGCCCTCACCGTTGATTTACATTTATGTACGTTGTGAATCGCCTGTCTTAAAACAACAGAGGGCGGTATACTATTCTGAACCAAAACAATTTTCAAGATGGCTGCGTGCATGCAGATGAAAAGAAAAATATATCGTTGCATCCATCGGTTGTGTCTTTTTAATATTGCTTTCTTCGTTTGGATTTTTTTCATGATATCTCTATTCTCGCTTATGGTGACATATATCAGCTTTGTGTTTTATCTGGATGATGACGAAAGAACCAGAGATAAAAATCTGTACGTATATAGCCGGGCATACATACACAGTATTATTATTTAAACTGAGTTGAGAGTCCAAAATTTTCGGACTAGGCCTGGCCAGTGCAGTACCATCCATGGCCATGAATCATGATGTCCCTGGCACTGACCTAGACAGCTAGACCCGTTAAGGTATCGTGACTTGTATAATTGTACAGCCACGTTCACGGGTCTAGCCTAGCTGGAGTTACCCAGCCCTGAGTTTTATCATTGGGTCGTCTATTAGGGCTGGAGCGCATTTTTCTCAAAACTTGTAGTATTTGCAAAAAAAATTTGGAAAATGTTCAATTTTTTCCCTGTTACACACTAATTGCAACTGCAACTCACCCCAAACTTGCCTGGAATAACCATTACACAGGTCCTTGAAGTAAAAAACGATCCACGATGAAGATTCAGCCTACAATTGCAGTGAAAACAGGAGGAATAACCGCTAACTTGACAACCTTGCTGGGTTGGCCAGGACCGCAATTGGTTTGTGCACAAAAAAAATTGTGTACAATGAATGGCGGTCGATTAACAGGCACAGAGAGCGATCGCTGTCAACTACTCGTTTTGCCGGCTGCGCTGGCTGTTGGCGCATGACGTCACGCGGAAGCGTAACACCCGATGACTGTTTCATGCACTATTGGTTGCGGTTCCAGTACCAAAGCTGTGATGCGAGTGGTAAACCTTATACTAGTGCATGAAACAGTCATCGGGTGTTACGCTTCCGCGTGACGTCATGCGCCAACAGCCAGCGCAGCCGGCAAAACCGTGTAGTTGACAGCGATCGCTCTCTGTGCCTGTTAATCGACCGCCATTCATTGTACACAATTTTTTGTGTGCACAAACCAATAGCGGTCCTGGCCAATCCAGCAAGGTTGTCAAGTTAGCGGTTATTCCTCCTGTTTTCACTGCAATTGTAGGCTGAATCTTCATCGTGGATCGTTTTTTACTTCAAGGACCTGTGTAGGGTCATTCCATGCCAACTCAACAAATGTTGCACACCATCACCTCTTGGATTTTTTTCTTTTTTGGTGTACTGAAAGATACTTAGGAGAAATGCAAATTCTGAAAATTTGGGGTCTCTACGACTTTTCGTTCTTGCGCAACAGCATTTTGAAATTTGAGGTGGGCGGGGCCAAAAGTGCGTCGCGTCACGAAATTCAATGTTTAAAGGGCCATATATTTAAAACTATACACCCCAGACATTTCAAACTTGGTAATCTGGGCTATTTTTTGCTGTAGATTTCAAATATTTTAACAGAAAGAAAGTAGCTTGTTTCATTTTTAAGTTAAAGGGGCCCCAAAATGGCCCAAAACTCATCTGGACCAATGTTCGGGGGGGTGTAAGTCAAAAATTGAAAATATTTTTTTCACCAATTTTTTTGCCTGTAATAGCCCCCAAGTGAAACTACTTTCATGTAAAATCTTACACTTATATTAACTTCATTGAATGAGATATAGCCCTTGCAAAAAGCAAATTTCTTATTTTTACGATAACTTGACCCCCCCAAAAACCAACGTCAGACATTCCGCCCCAAATTTTGCTTCACATATGTTTGAGGTTGGTCCTTAGTGAAGTCCTCTGAAAAGTTTCATGTTGGTGTCTAAATGTCTTCAGTGGATAGCTGGGCTTTATAAAGAGTCTATATCTTACGATGCTGCAGGTTCCGTAACATACAAGTACATGTACTTGTATTTTACGGAACCAGCACAACAAAATCCCTGTTGATAGACTGTTGATAGACTTGGGTCAAGACTACCCATTTCCTGCTCAATAAACAGTTGCTTGTAGACCTATGTGTGCATTATATGCAAATTAGGTTAAATGACTTGAGAGTCTTATTCTTTCCATGTGCTCATCACACAGCATGCATGTCATGTATACATTTAATATAACCAGTTCTCACTTGCACAGCATAGTATAGCACTAACCTGAACCAAAGAGAAGTGATTCAGTTTGAGTAAAGGGTCTATGGTTTTAACCTGATGATCTTAGTTTTCATTATGGATAAGGGGATTCTAGTTCATGCAGGAAACTCATCATGCACCAATTGTAGCAGCTGACCTCAACCCAGGAAAATATGTTTGTGTGGTCTATGATGATGTTTGGTACATTGCTATTGTAGAAGATGTATCACAACTTCATGAGGATGTGTATGTCCGCTTCATGTACAGGACGGAATCAACAAATACTCTCTATTGGCCACAAAGAGAAGATAAATGTAACATTCCATTTGTTGATGTGTTGTGTTGCGTACCAACACCAGAACTTCTACATAGTGGTGGAAGGCAATACAAACATAGTGAGCCAACCATCATGCAACTCATTCAACTTCATCAAAACTACATCACAAGGAATGCATAATTTCACCTGTGAAACTGTAAACAATTATATCAACTGATCAAAAGTCTACATGTACAAATGTAAGCTAAGTTTCATACCCAACTTATTCTTTATGTACCGACTGCTGTTATTCTTGGTACAATGTACATGTACTTGTATGTTACGGAACCTGCAGCATCGTAAGATATAGACTCATTATAAAGCCCAGCTATCCACTGAAGACATTTAGACACCAACATGAAACTTTTCAGAGGACTTCACTAAGGACCAACCTCAAACATATGTGAAGCAAAATTTGGGGCGGAATGTCTGACGTTGGTTTTTGGGGGGGTCAAGTTATCGTAAAAATAAGAAATTTGCTTTTTGCAAGGGCTATATCTCATTCAATGAAGTTAATATAAGTGTAAGATTTTACATGAAAGTAGTTTCACTTGGGGGCTATTACAGGCAAAAAAATTGGTGAAAAAAATATTTTCAATTTTTGACTTACACCCCCCCCGAACATTGGTCCAGATGAGTTTTGGGCCATTTTGGGGCCCCTTTAACTTAAAAATGAAACAAGCTACTTTCTTTCTGTTAAAATATTTGAAATCTACAGCAAAAAATAGCCCAGATTACCAAGTTTGAAATGTCTGGGGTGTATAGTTTTAAATATATGGCCCTTTAAACATTGAATTTCGTGACGCGACGCACTTTTGGCCCCGCCCACCTCAAATTTCAAAATGCTGTTGCGCAAGAACGAAAAGTCGTAGAGACCCCAAATTTTCAGAATTTGCATTTCTCCTAAGTATCTTTCAGTACACCAAAAAAGAAAAAAATCCAAGAGGTGATGGTGTGCAACATTTGTTGAGTTGGCATGGAATGACCCTGTAATGGTTATTCCAGGCAAGTTTGGGGTGAGTTGCAGTTGCAATTAGTGTGTAAAGGGGACAAAATTGAACATTTTCCAAATTTTTTTTGCAAATACTACAAGTTTTGAGAAAAATGCGCTCCAGCCCTAATAGACAACCCAATGATAGAACTCAGGGCTGGGTAACTCCAGCTAGGTCTAGCCCTGGTCTGGTCCGAGTAACTTGGACCCAACTTGTCGCCTTTTAACAGTGTTTAACATTCGGACATACATAACATGGCAATACAAAAGTAATGTAATACTACCCCACTTCTAGTACTACTAGTAGTACTATAGCTAGCACTGAGCATGTTAGGCTACCATTAATAATTGACAGTTTATATATCTTTACAAAACAATTTTTTTGTAAATAAAGGAGGCAGGAGGAAAAAAACGAAGCATTGGGTCAGGAACATGTTTGTGCGTGCATTAAGAAGTAGGCTACATGTACATTGTACAAATTATATTATTCCAACTTTCTTTTGTGTAGGGAAAATGACATGGACTTCCCGGTTGCTGATGGAGTTGATGAAGTCTTGCTCCTTCAGGAAGGCATCGTGCCTGGGGAGGATGCTCAGACCTTTGCCTCTGGTAATCTGATCTCATCCCACATCATTGACTCCTCAGCAGTGGAGATTGCTGGTTGGTGGATGCCTCAGGTCCGATGGAATCCAGAGATTGACTGTAGTCTGCCCGACCAGCCAGGTACCTGTGGTAAGGTGGGTAACCGACCATGATGGAGGGAACGTTTCCCTAAACTCAGTCTTACATGCAGAACACACACCTTCAGATCCCACAAATCTATGTGATCACATCTCCTCTGCAAGGAATTGGAAGAAATTGGAAATGATTTGCATGAAGTTTTCCAACTCTTTGATCTGGCTGTCTCTTGAAATGTGATAGGTGGAGTGAAAGAGTTAATTGGAAAGCAACTTGATTCAAATCTAAGTGTTTCAAGGAACATTTGGAAATGGACTTTTGGACCATGTTTCTGAGAAACTGGTTTCTTTCAGTGACATTTATTATTTCTTTCTCCTCAATAGGTCCTGAGTGTGAAATGCAAGCCAGACAGTGTTAGAGCAATATATCAGTTTTTACCTGTAAGTAAATGGTAAAGATTCCTTTATATAAAAGACAGTAGGATAGACATACATGTACATGTATACGGCAAATATATAAAAAAGTTGTCTACCACATGTACAATGGTATAGGCTATTTCAGGCAGATGTATTCATCATGCTCAATGTTCTTTTCTCCCCCAGATTAATCAAGATAAACCCATTGATGGTATTTATTTTCACGCAAAAAGCGCAGCATCAAAGCTGACAAAAGACAAACAAGTGGTAAGTACGTGTAAGCAAACCTTTTCCACATTTTTGTGTCTGAGCTAACCATTCAAATTGTGTTCATTCCTGTTTTTGATTTGATCTTTCACTTTAGGCAAGTGATGCCACATACAGTGCAATAGCTTTATTGAGATACAAAGATGGTGCATCAGACAGAATAAGGTAAGGGGTGAAGTATCCCATTATTGGTTGTCTTTTGGTTGTTGTTGTTGATTATTTTTAATGAGCCATCCTTTGTATGTTCTGGACTTTCAAACTAAAGGAGGGCCAGGGACCGGTTTAGTGTTGCAGTCAAGTTCTCCAGTCTCAAGTAATATGGCAAGATATATTAAGTAAACTGTAACAAAGATATTCCTTTGTCATTGTTCATCCTCTGTTACATCGGATAATTCTCTTTTACTCTGTGATTCTTCAACAGACTCGATTTTCCAGCAGGAACACACCCCTATTTATCAGCTGAAGTGGACAAGGCAAGCAATATTTAGGAAATACACAAATGATCCTGTTTATCACTCCACTGTAAATATTCATTGAAACCCAACTAAACCCCTGAAATTCCCACATATGTTTTGTTGCGGTATATTTGTGAGTTGTGACTGTACAGCTCAGCCACTGTTAACATTTGGTTTTAATGTCCTAGTTTTATTATTTTTTTATAACATAAAAAAGCCTTCCATCAGGTTTCTGCACAGTGTTGGATTTTGGCATATTTAAAAAGTTTCCTTGCAAAAATGTCTTGGTATAGAGAGTGAAAGGCATTGTGTCGGAAACAAAATTGCAATTAATAACTAATGTTTGTTACATTCAATCAGTGTTTGGAATATGCAGTGGAGATCAAGCATCATATGTTTATCATGAAATTTGATTTGTTGATAGATTTTTCCAGTAGACAAAGTGCTCCAGAGTGTCACTGTCATGCTGTGTTGCCATGGTTACCAGGGTTCCATCAAATTCATGGATGTCATAGTACGCCCAATTTTAGGTAAGAAATTTAATAAAAACATTCTGTCTTATTCTTGTCAACGTATTTTACTGTTCGTGACATCAATATGGTGTAAAGAAAGCTGTAAGTTTATCAATTGTAAAGAAAAGTGTTTGTTTACTTAAATCTCAGAGGACCATTCACAAGTCATGGTCACCAAAAACTACATCCAGAAATGTCCTGAATATTGCAGGTCATCAAAGACCAGCTCCAGGTTTGATTTTGACGTGGAGCAGTTCCTAACAGATGGGACGCAGGTAGGCTATTTTGAATATTCATGAGGAGCTACTTTGTCTTATTTCTTAATTGTGTGCTATATTTGGCAAGAAACTCTTTGGCTTTTTTCATGAAGTGGGCACTGTTATATTAATCTGATTGTGCACCAGGGTGTTTGAACACATATGGCAATAGTGGTGTTCAAGGTTTTATCAATCATATTTCACTCGTCTCTGTTTAAGGGGTAGCTGTGCACAGAGTCCATAGTATTTGTAATCAAATTTAATGTTTGGTCTACCTGCTTTCTCCCAACCCTAGTTAACTGAGGGGTCACAACCTTTGACCTTAGTAACCCAGGTGTCACTGGACAGGATTGACCTGCTGGAATCCGCCCTTGAGCATTGGCAGGGCCCAATATCGGTGGCGCTCTTCATTCCGACAAAATCTTCCAAAACCGACAACGACCACGGATGGAAAAGGTGAATTGTCCACTTTTATTTCAGTCCCGAAAAAGGGTGACACGGGGTCATCTCAATTTAAAATTGTCCATGGGTGAATGTTTGGCACTGTGCTTTTATGTTCATATACTTCAAAGATTGGCCAGACTGCAGAGCGGGGATGTAGACGAGTCCATCACAAGTCCTCCAGTCCCAACTCAACTCAGAAGCTATTGAGTTATGACAAAGGCATTCCTTTGTCTTGGGAATGGACTCGTGAATGACTTGGGACTGGACTTGTGATGGACTCTACTACATCCCTGCTGCAGGGAATGGAAGAATCCGTTGGTTGAAGCACCATTGACTGCACACATACAACCTGCAGCTGAGCATGATACCACATCAGTAATGGCTTCATATTGTAATCACATGGTGAACCTAAGTATTTCTGTACTCTTTAGGTTGTATATCAAGAAGAAGCTTCGTAACAGTCATTTACAGGGTAGATGCAATATGGTGGTTGTCTTCGCTAAAACGGTGAGCAACAACTCTCGAGTTATAACAACAAAAAGGAAGGTATTTCAAGTTCACATACATTGTACATTTCGGGACAATTCAGAAGAAATTGCGGGTGGGTATCTATACAACAAACATGATGATGATCTACTCCTTACATGTATGCACCAGCCGGGATATGTTTAATCATACAGATCATGAGAGAGCAGAATTGCTTAGCAATGTCATTAAAACATTGCAAGGAAAAGAACATCAAGCTATACTGTATGTTATATATATATGGATTTGTTTTTGTTTTTTCAAAATGACAAATTTCAAGCCTCCGGTAATGACTAATTTGCGTTTTTGTTATCGCCATTTTAGTCAGAGGATGAGTATCCAGTCAACTACTTGAGGAATTTGGCCATCAGGTAGATGCATTTTCGTTATCTTTTATTTGATCTGTAACATCTTTCTGACTTGCAGATGTACTCCCCTTTATTAAAGTATTATTTTCCTAGCAAGATTAAAAGTTATTCACTTTTGAATGAGATACTAAACAAAAATATCCACCAATGTTCAGTTACTAATTTATTTCTTCACAAAATTGGAATTATTGGCTGCCAGACGATAACTCAGCTTGCACAGGGCCGATTATTTATGCACAAAATGAAAGCCTTTTGTTTTCAGAGGAATAAAGTAGTTTTGCTTTAAAACAAAATAAAACATACAAATTGAAAATTGGTTTATTAGGAGGACAAAAAGAAATTGAAGAGCATGCAGTATGCATCTTTAGTAAGTTTCGTACTTGTTACATAAAGTTGAAAATAGGGCAATTTTTCATGTATGTAAGTTTGATTAAGTCAATTATTGCTTTGAGGTTCAAAAGTGAGAATCTGAAAAGTGTCTTAGCATTTACAAAGGTTTAAAATCACTACCTGTGAACACGAAATCAAAACTGTAATTGGCCTCACTTTTGTATCTGTTTTACTTCATTTCCCAGACAAGCCAAGACCAAGTACATTTTTCTCCTGGATGCAGATTTTGTCCCTGCTCCAGATTTCCAATCAAGCTTCCAGACCTCCCTGGCTATGATCGAGAGAACCCCGCAGTTTAACAAAACTGCCTTTGTGGTGCCTGTCTTTGAGTATGCGCAGGAATTCATTAAGGTAGGATGGGAACCATACTTTGCATAAAAACACACAGAAAGCATGAGCCTGATCCTTCAGCAGAAAGCATAGTCTTGATTTAAGCGGACTTAAATAATCTGAGTGGGTCTGTCATTAAAATGTACATTATTATCAGAGATCACACATCTCAAATGCTTCTTGAAGTTTTGTTTTTCTTTTTAGTCCAAAATTAGCTGAGCCTGTCTCTTATCCTTAACAGTATCTAATTAACTATTTTTTAATGTTTTGGGTTGATTTTGTTTGCCTCCAGGATTTTCCAGTCGACCAGCCCAAGAATAAGCAGGACCTGAAGGACAAGCTGTTTAGTGATGGGGCTATCATCTCTCCCTTCAATATCCTTGACCAAAATTATACCATGATATAGACTGCATCCCAATCTCTTGTCTGGCACTAGTCTCTGACAATTACAACTACATGGGAACAAGTTACAGTTGACTTAGCCGTAGCTCTGGAGGCTCACTTCGGATGGGATCTCAGCTATTGTCACAGTTAATGCTGTCTTCAATTGTAAGACAGTAAAGTAAGAGTAAAGTTAAAAGTCAAATAAACATTGATGACTGCTATGACACTCTTGTGACTCTCAGTTTTGAACCTTTCTGTTTGAGAAGACCTTAACTTCACTGTAATGATTTCAACGGCTCCCGAGGCTCACAGGCCCACAGACTACAGGAGTTGGTACTCTGCAACTCGGCCTTACAAAGTGTCTACCTATCAGGACAAATATGAACCCTACCTCATTCTGAGGTAAGGCAGGGCTACAGTACAATTCAAAACAACACTGAGGTTTCTACAATAACAATTATACCAGGCTGCCCCTCACACATTTTACAGTTGTGAAGGGCGACATTAAACTGACCTCCAACCGTGAGTGAGTTTAGCAGGTACATGTAATTCTAGAACATTTTCATTTTTGAACAGGCAAGGTCAGTTTGCTCATCTGAAGACCAAAGATTCTTCTTTAAGTTGTTGCACACTTTATACCTCTTGATACCATTGAACAATTTGGGACAAGTTTTTTGCAGTGATGTGTGTGCACAAGCACTGTAGTGTGTGTTTTTTTTTTTCTTGGGCAATATGGACAGCCTCAATGTTAATTTGATTATTGACAAATTTCTCTTTCAGAAACACTGAGAATCTACCGCTGTTTGATGAACGCTTCACAGGTTATGGGATGAATAAAGTAACGTACGCAATGGAGCTTCATGCCAGTGGGTAAGACTGCTGTTAAACTCATTTTAATGTTTACAGTCTTTAACGATATGTGCCTCTAAAAAGTTGGCATTTGAAAAAAAGTTTTATTAAAGTTTGGAATCATATGTTTTGGTAGATTCAATAATGCATCCTATCATCCTAAAATCTTCAACCGTTTTTGTTCTCTTAAGCAACCTACATATTTAGAAATTTGGATGGAAATTTTAGCAGATATCAACGCTATAATGTTAAAATGCAAAAGGTGTAGTGTGTGTGTGTATTTGTGTTCACAAGTTGTTCAGGAACGAACTGATCGCTCCAAAAACAGAGAATGAGCCACCTCCCTGGCAAAGTGGACAAGGCAAGGCCTTGTAAATTATAATATTTGGTTTTGCAATTCAACAACAAAATAAATATTTTTAATAACAAGAAACTGTTTCAATTTTTTGGTTCCTAGTGATGATTCGTAACATTGAAGAACATTCTTGCACGTTATTTGCCTGAAATCTTTTTAATAAAATAACTGACCCCTTTTTCAATTCAAACTGAAGAAAAATATGTTATTTTTGCTGTACTGGTTGTGCCGTACCGTAAAATACTCTTGTAAATTTTTAAACTACATGCACCAATTGACTACTTTTAAAATAGAAATCTTCCTATATTATCTTACAGATATGAATACATGGTGCTACCCAATGTGTGGGCCGTCCATGTCCCCCATCGTGAGAGCTCGGCTAAGATCCGTTTCTTGTTGGATCCTCTGTATCGGTTGAACAACCGGGCCGACCGATTCGAATTTGTATCTGACCTGATGAGAAGGCATAACTTGGGTGGCTGCAAGGCAGACCAACACTGATATAGTAATGTTAGAAATCTGTGGATCTTATTGCAAGACTTTGTATTTATTTCCTTGCCTGCAACAAGCCAGTTTATTGGCTTGGACTGATGCCCACTGGAGATAACAAAAATATATACTGGCTCAGTTTGTTCCTCATTGTTCTAATAAATGCAACAAAGAGTTTAGTTTATACCAGGCTGATGCTTAGCGCAGCCTTTCATAGCCAACTTGTCATCTAGTCTGAAATAATAGTCTTGACTAATTTGAAGGCCAGTTCATACGTCATGTTAATATGAACAAGTGTTACACAAACTTGACCTCTTTGAACATTCATGGCAAAAATTAGCCAGAGTTAAAATGTGTTAAACTTGTCAGAATTCACACAGCAACTGCTTTCTGGTTTGCATTTGCAATTCACATTAAAAGACAATTACATAGCTTTTGTACATTTCTGGTTTTTAGCCATATACATATAATTATTAATGGGTATGTGCCCATTCTCAAGGAAGGTAATCCAGTATTTCTGGAATATCCCGAGAAAAAACTTTGTGGTGCTTCATTGTTATTTCCAAGTTCCAGAATTTGTATGTGGTGTTTGGTAACCTCAGAACTTTCCAGAAAGCTCAGCCAAATTTATATAGACATAAGTCTGAGCAAGACAGCAGACCTTAGTCAATCATATCAGTAGCTTCCTCTTTGGTGCTCTAGTCTTGAATCAAGACTACCAAAATCATATAAGCTTTATAAGAAGGTAGGGCTGTATGCAAATGAAATGGCTATGGCTAGCAGTTACACACGTGTCTATGGGAAGTGCTTTAACTGCTCTCATAGGCCAATCTGTTATTGTAAGCCGGTGTCTATGGGAAGTGCTTTAACTGCTCTCATAGGCCAATCTGTTATTGTAAGCCGTAAGCCGTAGGCAAGAAATTGGAATGCAGGCGAATTAACACAATTCATTGGTCAGTTACGTAAATTTGGTTTTGTTGGTCTACAGTTGAGAAGAAATACGTAGGTCCATCTTTTGTCACATTATTTTTTATATTGCATGTCATTCTCAATGCATTCATGTGACTTTATTCAGGACAATTTGGTGTTTTAGTGATATGGTTTAATTATTATTCTTTGGAATTGTGTAAATAGTCGAAAACCTTGCCCGAGATGTTATTTATTCATTTACGGAAACCCTGAATACATTTACTATTGTTCCTTAGCATACTTTTTTTTGGTATTTGTTGCGACTTGCCATTTACAAAGAAATGAATACTGGTGATGAACGTTAGGACTTTCTAAACTATACCTCACAAATTGGTATAAAATGGTTTTGGATGAGGCCACTGTTTAAATTTAGCAAAGCATTTCTGTAAAGAAAGAGTTATACACATAGCTGGAGTACAACTGTTTGTGAATATTTTAATTATTTCAATGTGATTATCTTAGATTTTTATAAGATGAACAAATACTGTGATTGTATTTTTCTAGAGTCATAAATTAATTAGAAATAAGGGAAGTCACATAAAGGCTCTACAAATGATGAATTAATTGTTGTAAGTCAATCATGAGATTTCCCGAAACCTCATCTTTTGCACTTCCAAACAACAACTCAATTTGTATACATTCTGTCTTGGGATGGCGAAAGAAAACTCCAGAGATTACATGTCTATTGGATCAGCCTGTGAATTTAACACAAATTATAATTTCCATATTGATATCACTTGAAAAGTGTTGTTTTGGCTTTTTTTGTAATTACCAAGAAATTTAATAATTGTTGGACTTCCATCCTCTAAATGTGAACCCAATTCCTACTAAGGTATGAAGTTATTTGTGACCTTTATCTTTTCTCATTTTCAAACCAGCTCCTATATTTAGAACTGATCATGGTATGAGGTGCCTATTTATGAAACGAGTATAAAAAGTCTGGGTTTAATTTAAGAGTTTCTTTTCAGGTACATATCTAACTAATTCATGTTTTATAATTCAATATTTATTTAAAACAACTCAAGTTAGATATTATAATTGCTTTGAAAATGGAAACGTCAACCATCCAAAAACCTGAAATAAAAAGAAAAACAAGCATGACAACTGAAAAATGACTCCATGATGTCATGCAGCATCATTCATGGTCATCTGTATTACCTCAATGAATAACACAGAATCTATGGAACAATTTGTGATATAAGTATCTGTTGATACAAACATTTCTTCTTAAAGGTGGCACAGATAAACATGTAGCTACTCCACCACCAAATGTTAAATAATAAACAGAAATCTACCTTGATGCAATTGGCATTTTAATTTTGCTTTCTTTCCCTCGATTCTATTTACATATTTCTATCTTAGTAATTATCTATAAACACATTGCATACAACAGTGCAATATTTCTTGACAAACAGCACATGTACAGTACGTTTTTGTAACTGCAAGAGTTTCATGTGTCGGTAGTGTATTTTGTTACAAGTATCTGTGGTACTGGATGTAGCAATATGAACCATGCCCAAGTACATGTAGTATCATGTTAGCAATATTAAGCAAAAGCATACTTCACAGAAAATAAGCCACCCATCCTTGTTTCATACACTTAACCTAGTAATGTCAATATTTTCCATCACTAATTGATTGAGTGGTTTACATGTCTTTTTGGGGTCACATCACTAAGTTTGTATACAAATATGAAAACATCTACAGCGTCGGGTTCAAACAAACAAACAACCCAACACCCCCAACAACCCAACAAACAAACATGAACTGACTCAATTTTCATAAAGTACACTAAGTAGCAAGTGTGATTTCATACAACAAAGCAATGTGAAACGTTTGACTTGCTACACATGATTATATTATGCCATGGAAAGGCTACAGCTTTTATACAATGTGGACATTTTTACAAATGTAGCTACATGTATTAACTAACTATTGGCTTGTTTACTAAGAAAAACACACCAAGAACTGGTCTTTTTCAACCCGGTAGCAACATTAAGTTTCAACTTGCTACAAATACGCATCCTGTGCTGTCAGCAATTTCTTGGACAGGATACCTTTACAAGATGGAGGATAACATGGCTGAAATGTCCTTACAAACGTATGTTCAATGGAATAGAAGATCTCCCTGGAAACATTACACAGTATTAACAAATCCACAATGCAACCTGGGTCTGCAGTATGAGCTATTTGGCATCAACCACTAAGATACCATGTCCTTATATTACCCAGCATCTCCTGATTTCACTCCAGACTCAGCGATCACTGTTGCCATTTCCACAGATCACAAACGCATGTAGTACAAGTTAATTATCATGTGTTTATCTCAAAGGCATAAGATTATCTCGTCATCTGGGTTTCAATCAAGAATTGTCATACTTCTGATAATATTGCAACTGCTGAGATGGTGAGATGTAACAAGCTAATGCAAGCCATTACAAACCAAGTGACTGCTAAACAACTTCCACAATTTGCAAAAATCTGCAAAAAAAATCAAACTATATTGACAATTGGCTGTCCGCATTTCAAAACAATATACTACAAGTATAACTGACTTTTCTTTTATAATAAAAATATTAGTTTGCTTTATGTACATTATTGATAGACCAAATCAATCATACGTTTGAAGCTGACAGTAGAATGGCGATATTATAGATATTGGTAATAATCAATAAGTGACCTTTCATGTTGATGAGAGTTGAGGCAATCCAAACTCATCCACTGGGACTCCATCCTGCAAAATAAGAGTTCAAACAGATTGTCAATTTGTTCAGGAAGAAGAAACCCCTAGTTCACTTTCATGAAACTGTTCACATTTGCACAGCAGAAAATTAAACAGGAAACCAGTTCCAAGCAATGAACAAATCCTCAACTTCATAACTTCATTGGCATGTAACGTGTTTTAACTAAGCAATTGGAACTGACCAATCCCTTGTGCTTAGCAACTAATTGAGCCCCAGGAGTTTTCAAAATCAGTGACAATTACAACAATACTTCTTCACTAAAAAAAGAACCAGTGTGCAGCTACTTTCTTGAGTCCCTTTGAAGCATGCTTGATGGTCAAGTGATAAGATGTCTTTGCCAGTAAGTACATGTAGATGGTTTTGGGTTCAAGTCACAACCAAGTTAGCTTTTCTCACAAAGCTCTATGAGCGCACTCAGTAAGCAACACTTAAGAACTGGCATCAGTGAAAGGTAAAGTACAATTTGAAATTTGATCCTCCCACAAACCTGTACTGACTCCGCCCCTGGGTTGGTTTCTGGAGCCGCTGGGGCACTGATGGCCTCATCTAAGTAAGATGTGTCCTCATCCATTAAGAAATCATCCCCAAGTGCATCCAGTTCTGTGCAGGAGACATTGCAAAGTGGGTTAGTGGATATATTAACAAGAAATGTTTGAGGAAAGGCACTAATTTTTTTTATTCTCTTGATAACTTCAAAGTTAAAAACAATGTCAAAGTTTTGAATTTGACACTTTATTATACACGTAAAAAACTTAAGTACATGTATTGCTTCATTCTGAATCTTAACCTTTTCCTTGAAGCCTTTTTCTAAGAAGTTTAATTAAGAGTATTAAAAAAAGACTTTCTTAAATCAAAGATGAAACAGTGTGCCAAAAGAATACAAACAAGATGATGCATCCTTGTTAAACATGTTACCTCACAAATCTGAATGTGGGAAATCAATTTAACCAAACGCTCATTTAAGACTAACAAGAATCAGCAGGTTATTTGAGAGTTACCCATCTATCGTACCTGCTTCAAGGTCGGCCTCATCTAGTTCTGGCATTCCATAACTCCTACCCATGATCTCTTGAACCTCATCTGCTTGCTCCAACATGTCTGACATATCATCTTGCAGATCCTATCCGTTGACAACAAAAACAATGAAAGCAACAGATTGATGACCAAATTGTCAGGTGTACACAACACGTGTATGTCACTTTAGCCTGGCTATAGCTTGTATATACACTGTAGTTTATACCATTGACAACACCAAACACTTACTTTCCCTATTTCACACACAACCTTTCCAGCACAAGTCTTAAAGAATAAAGACAAGAAGTGTAATGTGTTTATTCTGAAGAAGAAAGGACGGTGACTTTCTCAAATGTATCATTTGCTGTCCTATTATGGCAAGGGTTACCAAACTAAAATATTCCCTTCATATGGAAGACAGGAAGACAAGTCTCCAGACTGGGATGGGCAGAGGGGGATGGGAGGATGGGGGACGGGGAGATGTGGGTGTTAACACCAGGCTCACCTCAATTTGGTTGAGATTGACTTTCTTGTACTCTTTCTTCATCTCCTTGATGCCCACTTTCATTGCATCCACCGTAGTCTTAGTGTCTTTCAGGGTCTGAGTGGCAAAGTTGGCCTGCTCCATATTGAAGGATTGTTGCCTCAGGTTGTCACACTGGTTCTCGTACCTGAACAAATGGGGAGGTTGCAGGAATGCAATGTCAGGATCTTGCAATAAACCTTATGAGCAGCAAACACCTTAGATGTTTGCAAAAATTTGCTAGGATTGGTATAATAAGAACTTTCGTGCTTACATTGTACATGTCAGAACAAAAAACACCTTGAACGTCTCTTATGTGGCGCTATACCAATGTTTGTGAGTATTATTATTAATGGCAGAGAGCAGATACTAACAAGTAGGTGATTGAGAGTAGTTCTGGTAAACCATGAAATTTGTGCTTTATTGAAGTGAGGTATATTATGCATCGAGAGATTTGAACAGATTCATGAGTAGCCATTTATCATGTGGTAACCAGGTAGAGGAGGAGGACTGCAGGGGGTGGGGGGTCAAAGAGGCCAACACATCATATATCTAAGCATGATAAGTTCTGTAAAACTGCATGCCATGTCTGTATTACAAAATCTCAGAGGCTCTGAGGCCAATGTCTGCCCTTATTCAATATGAATATGGTTAGTCTTTGGTCTACACATAACCAATCCAGTATACTTTCTAGATCTGGGACCCCAAAGCCCCACGGTCTGAATCTGTAAGATGTGAGTGAACAAGATAAATCATTATCAAAAAGCACAGCACTACAGGCTATCGCATTTGGGTGACTCACATTTTCTTCTGCTTCAGAATCCTCATGGCCTTTTGCTTCACCATATTCTAAAACAGGGTCAAAGCATAGGAATGTTTAGCTAACTAAGTACAGTTGGCTACCAGATACATTTCACAAGAAGTACGCTATGGCCAGACAAACAGACAAAACACACACTGGCAAGCCTGGTGAACATTGTAAAAAATGACTTGTGTGCTAGAATAATACTAGAAATGTTTAGTTAGTGTTCGGGATATCACCGAAGTCATGATGTCAGTGTGTATTGAACGTCTGTCAACAAAACCGACAAAGCTCCCTTGACTCCACCTTTGAACTTGCTGTTGGTTAAGTGGGCAAAAAAAACCCCCAAAACAAGACAAACTGACTGCTCATTCTTTTAAGATTTATGGTTTTCATTTAATAGCCAGTAATACCCCAAGTTGCTATTAAATGATGAATCTTACCTTGGCAGGGCCATCTCGCATCTTCTTCATCTGATCTTTGTATTTTTTTAGCTCAATGTCCAACTTTGAGATCTTTTTCTCCACGGATTCTGACCGACTGTCAACCTTTTGTAAAAACAAGGAAAGAAACAGATCATAATTTACTTACAATCATATACATGTAAATGATGTGTACTGATTTGAGGTAATATGGCCAATCTTAAGCATGTTACATTTGTAATTCTAGCCTTTAGGCCTCAAATCTCAAGCACTTTCATTTGTAAATTATGCTAGACTTTTGTTCTTATTAATTTATTTGTCAATGTCTCCTACCATATTTTGGACAAGTCCCATGTACTCAAAGTCAGAACTTACCACAAAAGCACAAATCCTACACTAGGCCTTCTCAACTTCTCATCACAGTCCTCATACAAAAACATCATCTATCATCATCTATTGTACTCTTAATATTTTTATTGCATTTTAATTGTAGTTTTGTGTGAGCTGGGATCCATGGGAGATCAATGAGTTTTTTCTCACTGAATGGATTACCCAGGATAAATAAGAAATAAATAAATAGATAAATAAATACTGATCTAGGCTGGTAGTGGTACGTGGTGATTGTATAGTTACATGTGTACAGTTTCTTCTTTTGTTTTAGTCCTCAGAGTCAGAGTGTTTTTATCATTCCACAATCATGTAAATGACGTCTGTCTGTCTCTTTATTGTGATTATTTAACACATTTTTAATATGATACCGTGCGAATCAATGCAGTTTGTTACGTTCATTGTGGATTACCTTTATTTTTGTATTGCGTTGTAATTGTATTTTCATTGTTGTTTTTTTAACCGCAAAATTTATCTCGAAACTCCAATTCCAAACAAAACATTTATTGTAAACATCGCTAACAAATACATTTGACATGATATAGAATGACCATGATGACTAGTCGGGTGAGCATGGCTGGGCCGAGCCGTTGTGGAAAAAACATTCTAAAAACTTTAAGGCAGTGTATATTTTACCGGAGACGGCAAACCTTTAGTAAACGTTAGTTTGCCGGATATTTACTGAACATGCGCAGTTACTGGTTTTTTGTACTTAAACATTTTCCGGTGACAAACTTTAGTCTGGCTCCATGCCAAAATTATCGTTGTAACCTCGTATTCACAAGATGGGAATCAGACCATTTTATAATTTCGGACTTTATTTCCCTTTTAAAAAAAATCCTCCAGAGCCACAAATCTGAAAAAGAAAATGTAATACTCTGCAAAAAAATGTTTGAGACATGTTAAAATAATAAAAGAAGAATATTCTTATTTATTTGGGGATGAGAAAAAAAAACTTTAAAATGTGCTGCGGTCAGAATCGAACCCGAGTCATCCCGCTTTCTAGAGCTTTTGCTTAACCACTACACCAAACGTGCTACACAACTTTTGGTGGGAATTTAATACATCTTATAATTCAGCCCTATCTTAAAGAGTACAGCGCCCTCTGTTGATATGGATTGCCGCCGGCAAACCTTTAGTAAACGTTAGTTTGCCGTCATTACCTCCGGCAAAATATCCATTATCAAACTTTAAAGTGGATGTTTCGTTCTCTTTTGCATAGGAACAGGCATGACAGGCAACAGGGCCCGTATCATAACTACATTTTTGATACAGGCTATCTAGTGATACCCAATGATACTAGGCGCATTATTTTCACCTGTTTATTGTCTTACCTCTGTCCAAATTGATTAAGTAGAAATAAATATGAATATGAATAGCCAAGTTATTATGGCATGAACATGATATTTTACTAGGCCTGGCTTTAGCAAGAATAATGGCACTCACATTTTCAATGCAGTTCTGAAGATTTGGTGGTGGTGCTTTGGGTTTACTCGATCCAAATAACCGGTTCATTGTTGCAAAATTAATGCACTAATTAACTGCCGAGGAATACGAAATACAAAAGGTTAAATCAATCTTTAATTAATGCAATCATTCACCGCAGGTATAGTTGAACAGAAAAATTTCTTAGTTGTTTGAACGCGTCAGGAGCCGGCGAAGTCTTCACAAAATGTGTACAAAATACGTCATATCAAAAAATATCCGTAACAAAATGTATTGAGCCCATGCCAGTACTTAATAAAATCCGCACCGTTTGTACAGCTTTCTCGCTTCATGAAAACATAAGAACCAGACTAGATGTTCACTCAAAGCAAGCGCCCTCTACGATGAGTCATGTTTCCCCGTGACACTTCGTAATGAGCTAGGCAACTTTACCATGGGCGGAGCTAGGCCCACCCCGACAAATGCCCTTTACCTTCTAAAACCATTTATATCAAATACTATAATTTTCCCGTACATTAAAAAAAAATGCCGGTACAAATTACTACACAAAAACCAAGTCAATTTGAAATATTCATACTTTATTGTTAAAAAAATGTATGATAAATATATATTTTTACTGTACTCAATGTTATGCACATGAATTATTAAAACCTACATGTTCAAATCCTTACATTAGCTACAGCTTCATCAAATAAAGTTTAAATCATTTATTTAAAAAAAGACACTGACAATTATAAACTTATACATTGCAAGAAGCACATCAAATGATCAAAGGATAGGGCAAAACCAATTGTAACACAACAGCAGTGCAGTGATCCCTCCACGAGACAAACACAAAATAGATAGGTACATTGTACATGGAAGAAAACAGTACATGTACATCAAAAGGTGCAAAAGTTACAAGCAAAAAAACGTAAAAATACAATAATCTTGATTGATGTCATTTATCACCATAATGATCACAATCCTAAATATTGAACAGACTGAATAAAGAAACACACATCTATATTCAAATCACTTGCGTTCTGCCAAAGTTTGAGAAATTGAAAATGTGGTATTTTGACTATGTAATAATTTTAAGATTAAATAAAGAGTTCAGTGAAAATGTTTTTTCCTATTTAATTAAAAACAAACAAAATAAACAAAAGCAGGGAATACATTGCTATGACAAATACACTGTTTCTGAACAGTAAGTCTTTTCTGAAAAAAAAACCCCTTATTTCTACTCAAACTGCTAAGCATATTTTTCTTTCGCTGACAATTGATACTTGTATCAATCATCAAAATAATTTTTAAAAAACCAATGCAACAATGAATCATTGATTACGCAGAATTTTACAGTACACTGATTTTCTGAATTTGTTTTGGGCCACTTGTAGTCTATAAATTCAGCACCTGATTCAGTAAGGTACAACACAACTCACCCTCACCACAATACCTTAATAGTGTGGACCAAGATGGTTGAACAAGGGTGGGGAAAATATTATGTGTACCACATACATGTACATTGCACAAGGTGAACAAAAAGCCTCAAATTCTATAAATGGACTGAAAGTTGTAGTTTTAAAACAAAAAAAGAAAGGGTTTAACAAAAAACGAAGCACCTTTAAAATACAATGTAGTGAGCTCGGTGAAAAAAAGCCCTGTGTTGGTAGTCTCCAAATTAGTTGTGTTTTCTCAGTTACTGTTTATACCTAGTGACTCCCACTTCTGTCTGTTTTTACAAGAACATGTCAGATCTGCAGATTTCTTTGTCATTAAGACACTCAGGAAAATGTGTATTTCATGTAGTCTGATGTCTATTGAAGTTAAAGCTCAGTGGATACTTTGCATATGACAGCAAACCTACACCCATATGTTTGGTGTGAAACCTGTATGACTTTGTTAGTGGCAGGGACAAACTGCATGTCACTGGAATCATCCACAGATTACAATATCTCTTGATGCAGCATCAGACCCATTCTGGTAATTTTAAAATAGCCACATTAAATGCAGAGTCTGTCTGGTACGTACATGTAAATTACTGCCATTCAGAGATAGGCCAACTTTACTGCAAGTTCAATTGTGTTTTCTTATATTCAAAGTTGTTAATGGAGTCAAAATCACAAGACAAATCCCATGTTATACAGGATGAATGATAGGGATGCATTAGTCACTTGTCACTTGACTACTACATTACAAAGTTAATACTGTTAACTAAATGGCATACTGAAGTCCTACATTTGTGCGTTATATTCACCTGATATTTATAAGCTATTAAGCTTATTTTTTAATTTTGGGAAATGGTTACTGGAAGACTTAAATGAAACAATCATTGTTTTGACCTAATTCCATATTTTTTTCTTTGACATGATTGGACATCAATAAAATAATGTGACTGTCCTGTTTATCAAGAAACGTTTTTGTTATTATCTAGGTTACTAACAAATACATGTATGATGTATAGGAATATTATGATTTCATTCTGAATTTTTTTTTTCTTTTGGTGATTATGATCAGTGATTAGAGAAAACAAACATTAAAACTTACAGGTAAAAAAAACCAGATTAACAAACATTCTTTGAAATTAAGGGGAAAAAACTTGCCTGAAACTAACAACTGAATACTGAACAAACTTTGCTGTCACTATTCAGTATTCATGCTATTCAAACACTGCCCCAATCATGGCACAAAACTATTGAACATGTTGAACCCACATTGTAAAACGCAGCAAAGTTTGAACGCATTTAGCTATCTAAAATAACTGAATTTAAAACAAGTTTTCAGAAACAAAGACTTAACCAACTCTAGCAGTTTAGATAGTATGGAAGGAATTTAGGTCTAAATTTATTGATTTCAATTAAAATCGTAAAAGCATTGCAATGTACAAATACTGCAATATGTGTCTGTATCTTGCAAGATCACTGCTTCTCACATAAATAGACACAGTGCAACAATCTTCCTATCTTCCCAATTTATACATTAACCTTATCAGCATTCAGTCAGTACAATGTAGGTTTGTCATAATCTCCCCATTTCAAAAGCCCCAAAACAAAAAAAAGCAAATGAACAGCAATCATTCAATTTCATGGGCCTACAATGACTTACAGAGGAGAAATGTCTCCACGATGCTTGCTTTTTGGATGTGTGATAGCATTCGCACAGGGATTTAAAAAAAAAAAATTAAATGAAAACAAATCTGTATAAAAAAAAACAATAAGTGGGGTATACCCATGGAGGGTACTCAGAGAATGTTTCTCAGCACTTCAATTTTTCCCTCTAAATTGATGTAAGCGCTGACTGTCAACATGGGCTCCTTACATCAAACTGTAGCTTAGCAACCAACGTATATGTACGTGTATGTACATGTATTAACCTCCTGTTTTGCTAAGACATGTACCATCTTGCTTTTCTCTCAAACATTCAATCCTGCCTACCACTGGACTTTGTAGTCAACCTCTGGTTTGATGCTAAGTCTCTTGAGGATTTCATAGGAGACGGCGATGACTAGACCAGCAGGTACAGTGGACAGCAGACGGGCTGAGAGTCCCTTCTTGAAGCCTGATATGCCTTCCTCTTGATGCAGTCTTCTGAATGCTCCCAAGATAGAGTCACCTCCTGTTACCTTAAAAGGATTCCAATAAATAACTTCAGTCCGCATTTCAAAATTACATGCAAGTGTTTAATGTTGCTTTGGTTTGAAATACAGGGTATTCAATTGTGCTCAGGTTTTATTGAAATTTGCTGACAAAATGGAGGATCAAAAACAGCCTTCTCCTTCACTTTTTGCAATGACTAGCAACTGGTGACAATGGTGTTCAGTGTGGGTGCAGGTCAACTCGGTCCCAAACCAACTCGGTCTGAGTCAACTCGGTCCCCATGAAAAAAAAATGTATGTATACAATAATTGAATAAATTAAAGTATCTTTCCCCTAACATGGCACAATTAAATTTTTCGCCCCTTGTGCCTTGCTAGAGCATTTTTTCCCCTAAAATGTCACCGTTGATCTGAGTCCGAGTTAACTTAGCACCGAGTTGATCTGGGACCAAGTTGACTTGGACTGAGTTGGTTTGGGACCAAGTTGACTCGAAACCGTCAGTGTCACGTCTTTCTTTGTCAACAGTGTGGGTTAGGGTTGGTACACTTGTACACAGAAGCCAAGTTTTCTGACTGTGAGAACTGTGTTTTGAATACATGACCAATTATTCACAATACTGATACATGTATTACTATTTTCTAGGAACTACTTACCTGTAATCGTGTTCTAACAATGTCCATTGGGTTTGTTAGGATCGAAGCTGTAGCGCTGGCTAAGGGTCCAGACATTGCCTGGATTGCCACTGCTGGCACTGATACATGTAAAGAGGCATTCAATAAAAATGCTAGCTGCTCTGTAAACAAAAACGAAACAAAACAAATATTTCAAAAACATAACCAAGAACGAAAAAAGGGTGTAATGGTTGTTCGTTTTCCCCCCAAAATAAAACTTTTTAGACATGCTTTTAAAGAAAACCTTTGCAAACAAGTAGGGAAAGAAAAACTCAATTTACATGTATATTGTTTGCATATCTGCATGTATCTGGCTGGATTTGAAACAGGTTCACCAGGAGTGAAGGGTGCTTACCAGTGTCCTTTATAGTAAAATAAAAAGCTTACACATTCAATCCCATTTTGTTTCAGTTGCTCTTCAGCAAAAAAAGATTGAATGCCTAACTTTCTGCTTAATGCAGAGCGCAGACGTCACACAACTTAGTCATTATGTTGCCTGTTGCATGCAATTCACACAAGTGTAACACAAGGTGATACAATTTATTCTATCCTTTGGTCTTGCACTAGGCTAAAATAGAAGAAGAGATTTTCAGTATTTACTCCATGTTTTGCTGATCCACAGTTTCCCACACAAGGTGATACCATGTTCCCTACTTCTGTCAACTATTCAGGAGGATTTGCAAGCTATTGCTTGGACAGATATCATCTCCTATCTAAGAAAGTAGACATTTGACATTTTTCACTGCCGTAATTAAATTGGAGGGAAAAATCTGCTTGGTTGGGATATAACCGAAAGAACCCCAAGACCAACTTGTTGAAGGAGAAAAAACTAATGTTGGGTCAAAAGTTAATAATTTGTTTCCCCAATAAATCTGTAATAACTGTCAAAATGTTGCCCAAGATACGATGAAATTATTGCCCCCTTTCAACCTACCTGCATAAAAATGATAGAAAGGCCACCACAGTGCACTGTTGGGCATGAAAGTCATAATGGAGGCCGTGTAGCCTTTATAAAATCCAATTGGTCCGTCTTTGTGCCATATCTTATGAATGATTCGCTGAGCGTCTTTGAAAGTCACTTTCCTCCGTCCAGCCTCTAAGTTCAGTGCAGAGCCCTGCATCATTATGTGCTGTGATATTATATCGATGGGTACCGTTACACTCTGGGCAACCAGGGAGGCACAGGCCCCTCCCACAAATGATTTGGTCATGTTGCTGGCATGGTCACCAAAGGCCCTTCTGGTGACTTCATAGGTGGTGATATAGACCTGGCCGGATAAGACAGTGAAGGTGTTGATGAAGAATCCTTTATAGAGCCCCCGTATCCCTTCATACTTGGTGATCTTCTTGAAGGCGTCCCATGTGCCCGAGTACAGAGCATTCTGTGTCTGTACTTGGAGCCGTGTCTTGATCAAGGTGGTTGGGTAGATGGTCACACGGATGAACATGCTCATCATGAAGCCAAAAGTGTAAAACTTGCGCTTGTCCAAGTCGTCCCATTCTAGGATTCGTATCTGGCGTTCCTTGGGCGCCATTGGTCTCCCTTCATGGACCCCCCGTGGACGGAACCTACTCTAGGTGATGACCGGACAAATACTTAGGACTAGTCTTCAGACTGGAACAGCACCACTCTGGAAAGGGAGTATTATAAAAAAGACAGATTGAAAAAAAAATAATCCAAATTTAGCACATATGATGCACATTGACATGATTTGGGAAGCAAGATTCAGGCAGTAGGCCTAGAATATTTTGATTAAACTTCTGCACCTTCCATTCTGGGCCCAATTTTATGGCTCTGCTTACTGTAAGCAAAACATTTTTAAAAACCTGCTTACCACTACAAGAAAATACTGTGCTTAGGCCTTACTTGACTTCCCTCTCATGTGCAAAATATTGAAGAAAAGTCTCCTTTAAAAATTGAATTGAGTCTGCAAACTTGGTTGGTGAAATACCGGTACTGAGGACATTTTCTTTGTCCCAGTGGAATGTTTTTTTTTTCTTTTCTCGAGAACGGTAAGACATTAGGTTGTTTCCTTTCAACCAGATGTTTGAAATAGGCTCAGTAAACAATCCAAAACATAAAATTATCAGGGATTTCAGGACCTAGTGTCCCTTTATTAGTTTAACCATTAACAGTGACCATGGAGGAAGTCTATTCCTTCCTCCATGCAACAAAACACATGATACATTGACAGAAGTATACTATCATGTAACAAACAGTAGGCCTACATGATACCAATAATGATGTGATGTACTACTACCACCAATTACCCAATAGTACTCTATCCCATCATGTAGCACTACATGCACTATAGCTAGCACTAGCACTGTAGCAGTAGCATGACCAGCACTTTTTAAAAGCGAAAAGTTTTAACTTGATGACTCCATAATCTAATTCATGGGGGTATTGATGGCACCATCGACTATACGTGTAGTGACTACCATTAGCCATCCCAAGAACTATACTTACTAGAGATGGTTTCGGCGACTGAATACCAATTCAAAGGGCGATTTCATGGATCCATTTTCTCATGAAAACCACTGACGTAAGTGCTGCCGGCGCGGTATATGCCGGTACCGGACCCCCAGCCTATTATCCACTAACTCGTTGTGTAAATTGGTTGGGTACCAGACAACTTAAATTTTGGAAAGGTGTGGTGTGCAGTACACGCGGGCCGCAAAGTCGAGTCGCAAAAAGCCTTCCGATTAGGTGATTCCCAGCTGCAGATCAGCCGCGAATAGCTAGCTCCATGGTCACACGATTACAAAGAAATAGCTGATTACCAATCACTGAATGAACGAATCATGAAGATCGTCGAATAAAAGAGGAGCGTTGAATTTAAGTTTTGACATCACATTACAGACTGGCGCGATTGAAGTTGAACATACAAAAATTACAACGTAAAAAAGACAAGAAAACAGCATCGTCATTGAACAAGACATGGCAACTCCTCTTGTAAGACAAGCTGCTGAAATACACAACAGATCAAGAGGTAAACAATTTCTTATTTCAATATTTGATCCTACCATGCATAGTACCAAAATAGCTCCATGTTGGGGCCGGGCGCGGGCATATCCCGCATGAGTAACATTGTCAATACAAATGTAGCAGCATATGCCATGCTATATACATGTATGTACCGTATATAAATGACTGTATTGTAATAGTGCAGGAGCGGAGATTGTTGGTGCTATTTAAAATGATGTATACAAAATGTACACGCAAGTATTTGATTTGATTTGATTTATTTGCATTTTCCAAGAATGATCATACAGTTTGAATATACATGTAATATAGTTAAGATTTAACAAAACATATCTTGAGTAACCTCCAGCTTAACAAGCTCATCAGGAAAACATCATAACATGTGAATTCCTGATGAGCTTGTTAAGATGGAGTTACTCAAGCTAAACAAAATTCACATCAAAATTTATCAAAAATCATACAAAAAATTTAAAATAAAACTTAGAAAATCCCCATGCAGTGGAAATGCAAGGATAACGCCCCCCCCCCCCAAAGTATTGTACTCAATATTACGGAGGAAGGAAAACAGATCTCCATGTTCACATGTAGCCTATCTTATTTTTATTAGTCCCACATTATGATATGTCATGGATGTATGTACAGTAGAGTAGTAATGCTGAAATTAAGTCATGTTGGGTCTGGATGAGTAAGTACTTTTTTTAAATACTGAATTTTGTTTGGCTGGATTAAGCCCTATTTTTATGAAATAAACAGAGGATTTAGTTTCAAGAGACAAAAATGCAGTGGGCCTACTTTCAATGAAACACGTTCTGAATATTCCGTACTGCAGGTGATCAGCCTATCATTGCAGAATATCTGGAACTCTACCAGCAGAATGAAGGTTAGTTAACCAATGCAACACAATGGTAAAGGACGACCAATGCCAAGAAAAACCTCAGACTTTGAGAAAATGTAGAGACAAAAATAAACAAATTTTCTAACTTTACCCAGAGAAAAGATGTTTTATCATGTTTATCTGTCATGTCTGTTGTAATGGACAAATGTCAGCAAACAAAACAATAATAGTAATAACTTTTAAATTAACACTCACCATTCGTTGTTGTTTCTCATGGTTTACAGTGGATCAGATTCTCCTACCAGAGCAAACTCAGTGTCTGGCAGTCAAGACATTCCTCCACATGTGCAATGTCAAGTTCCATCTCAAGATGCGCTCCAATGCTGAACAGATGTCACCATCCAGTTAGTCTACAACACATTCCTTTCTTGTCTTTACACAATCTCAACCTGTGGGAAACTCATTCATATCTTATGAACCACAGTTTTCCAAACTTTCAAACGCTTCAAGTTTGCTACCCAAGCTTCTTATATATTTGTCTTTCTACAGAGGGTCTGCCATTCATCAAAATGGGTCCACAGATTATCTCTGAGTTTGAGCCCATTGTAGAACACCTGTCACTCAAGGTAAGTGGTAGTAGTTCACCTTAAAGTAAGCTACAAGTGCTTTTAGAGACCCTTAAATGAAATGTCTTTTACCTCACCATGAGCCCAATTATATTTTAATGTGACTTCCGGTACATTTGTCTCATCTTTAGACCCTTGAGGAATATCCTTCAAGGATCAATCCAGTCGGTAAGCAGCTCGAGACAGTTATATTTACTTTTTTGAGTTTTTTCTTGATTATTGACAGGGTGTGAGTCTATCAGGTGAACTCAGTGGCTCTCAGAGGGCGCTGTTGAAAGCGTACATGTCTCTGACTGTCAACAGATTACATTTGGCCGAGGTAAGTCAGATTGTGTCGTGATGCATGTACCTTCAACTCCTAAAGCGATATTCTAGTCCATGTAGTACCACGCCTGAACTGTGTCACCTAGAGATCCCACAGCAGGAATATCACAGGTTGTCTCTAATAAGTGCCCATATGTACACATGTAGATTCTATACCTCCTAATTGTTGTTAAGTCCAACACAAGTTATGAAAGGACTTGTGACTGAACTTGTGACAGGACTTGTGACTGGACTTGTGACTGGACTTGTGACTGGATTTGTGACTGGATTTGTGACTGGACTTGCAACTTGACTTGTGACTGGACTTGTGACTGGACTTACGACTTGACTTGTGACTGGACTTGTGACTGAACTTGTGACTGGATTTGTGACTGGACTTGTGACTGGACTTACGACTTGACTTGTGACTGGACTTGTGACTGGACTTGTGACTGGATTTGTGACTGGATTTGTGACTGGACTTGCAACTTGACTTGTGACTGGACTTGTGACTGGACTTACGACTTGACTTGTGACTGGACTTGTGACTGAACTTGTGACTGGATTTGTGACTGGACTTGTGACTGGACTTACGACTTGACTTGTGACTGGACTTGTGACTGGACTTGTGACTGGATTTGTGACTGGATTTGTGACTGGACTTGCGACTTGACTTGCGACTGGACTTGTGACTGGACTTACGACTTGACTTGTGACTGGACTTGTGACTGAACTTGTGACAGGACTTGTGACTGGACTTGTGACTGGACTTACGACTTGACTTGTGACTGGACTTGCGACTGGACTTGCGACTGGACTTGTGACTGAACTTGTGACTGGACTTGTGACTGGACTTGTGACTGAACTTGTGACAGGACTTGTGACTGGACTTGTGACAGGACTTGTGACTGGACTTGTGACTTGACTTGTGACTTGACTTGTGACTGGACTTTTGACTGGACTTGTGACTGGACTTGTGACTGGATTTGTGACTGGACTTGCAACTGGACTTGTGACTGGACTTTTGACTGGACTTGTGACTGGACTTGTGACTGGAATTGTGACTGGACTTGTGACTGGACTTGTGACTGGACTTGTGACTGGACTTGCGACTGGACTTGCGACTGGACTTGCGACTGGACTTGTGACTGGAGTTGTGACTGGACTTGTGACTGGACTTGCGACTGGACTTGCGACTGGACTTGCGATTGGACTTGTGACTGGACTTGCGACTGGACTTGCGACTGGACTTGTGACTGGACTTGTGACTGGACTTCTTTGGACTCAACTATGAGTATGACACTGCACCCTACAGCCAACTTAATGTCATACACCTTTACAGCTTTACATAACTTGGTGTGACAAGTTGACAGTGGAGGAGATCACCAAGATACGATATGGCTCACCCTACTCCTGGCCTCTAACCAGGATCCTGCCGTGGCTAAAACAGCAGGAAGTCGGGAGGTATCTAGAGGCCCAAGGGTGGAACAACAAGACTATAGACCAGGTAAGCCCAAGAACCACACAGATTAAAGGTCATAGAATTGTGACTGGACTTGCGACTGGACTTGCGACTGGACTTGCGACTGGACTTGTGACTGGAGTTGTGACTGGACTTGTGACTGGACTTGCGACTGGACTTGCGACTGGACTTGCGATTGGACTTGTGACTGGACTTGCGACTGGACTTGCGACTGGACTTGTGACTGGACTTGTGACTGGACTTCTTTGGACTCAACTATGAGTATGACACTGCACCCTACAGCCAACTTAATGTCATACACCTTTACAGCTTTACATAACTTGGTGTGACAAGTTGACAGTGGAGGAGATCACCAAGATACGATATGGCTCACCCTACTCCTGGCCTCTAACCAGGATCCTGCCGTGGCTAAAACAGCAGGAAGTCGGGAGGTATCTAGAGGCCCAAGGGTGGAACAACAAGACTATAGACCAGGTAAGCCCAAGAACCACACAGATTAAAGGTCATAGAATAGGCAAGGCTGTGAAATCTCAGCTTAATAGCCAGTGATTTCAGTTTTTTGTTTGGGATTTCAGCTTTTTCCCCTCATTTGCTATGTACAAAAGTATAGGAGATTTTCAAAGTTCACTTTTTTTTCACCTTTTTCAGCTGTTTTCAGCAATTTTTATCAGTGGCCAATCACACCCCTGATAGGAGACAAGGTGATCAGACTTTCCCATATTTTGAATTGACGTGACCACACAAACTCATCCAGACAGGCAATTATTGTCACTCAGGGAGGCCCCTAGTAAAGGTAGAAGCATGCTGGCCAGATACACGTAGTTCTGTGATAATGAGGATCTGGGCAAGGCTTACATGTAAAGGGGGGGGGGGGGGGCTGTACAACCAAACAATCAGAAACGAGAGCATGTGAAGGACACTTGCACATCAACCATTATGCCCAAGCCAAATTGTGCCTGTTGGTTTTAGTTTTATTTTCACTGTTGGGGGTAAAATTTTGCTGCTTGAAAATCATGAGTTGTGTGTGGAATTTTCTTTTCAACCTTTTCTTTCGTCCTTCAGGTATACACAGAGGTAGACATGTGCTGTAAAGCTCTATCAGACAAGCTGGAGGACCAGTATTACTTCTTTTTGGATCGGTGAGCATTCAAAGAAATGAATGGGTCTTTGTCATTGCTTGGAGTATTATCAAGATACATTGAATATAAAGATGTTCAAGGAAAGAGCCATTAATGTCTAGTGTCTGTAGATGAGGTGAATCCAGATTTATTGAATGCAGTCTTATTGTGAGTTCAAAGCCCACTAGGTGTCCACGGGGAAGCTACTTTACCGCAATGAGCCACTCGTGAGTTGAATTATGTGAATGATCCCTGGTCCTTGTTTAAATACACTTGCTTATTAAAATAGGTCTTCCCCTGACTAAAATCACTCTTGTTTGCCTTTTGCTCCTCAGTCCAACTGAATTGGATGCTCTAGTCTTTGCTCACCTGTATAACCTGCTCACCACCGAGCTGACCAGTGCCAAGCTGGCAGACATTGTCAAAAAATATGACAACTTGATGAGATTCTGTGAGCGGATTCGTCAGCGTTACTTCCTGGAGGGTGAGGATGGAGAGGATGGGTGATGGAGCATCATAGATGGTACTCAGGCTCTGTTGTTGCTTTGTGAATTGGCTACCAGGGTGACAACCTGTATTCATGCGGCCAGATTTAAGAGGCCACAGTGGCCAATGTTTATTGTAGCAATGAGAATATCCGTGAGAAATCTCATGGTCGGCCAGTGGTATCCACATGCATGACAGTGTTTTATGGCATTGTGAATTTAACTCCTGTGCCAATTAGATAAGTGGTTGCTTGGCTGGGCGCCATTAAATAAACTCTAAGAATGACACGATGTGAGAAAAGCTTTCCACGGTGCAGTCCAAGCTCTGTTGTTGGCCTTTGAAACAAACTGGCCATTGTCATCTATGATTGTCAATTAGCCAAGAATGAATCATTAAAAGTTGAGTTGATCGAGCCTTCATTAGTAGACCACAGTGAACTGGCCACATTGGTCAGGTGGCTAGTAGGCAAAGGTTCTGCATATGCAGTAGGTGTGATAGCTCTCCTTGCTCATGTAAAATTATCATTTCACCTGTCGTTTTGATCAATTCGCTAATTGATCAAAATGACCAAATAGTCAGTAACCACCACCACTATTACCAATTAAGGTCTTTGTATTTGCAATAAGTGCTGACCCTCCAAATGTTTTTTATGGCTCTCATTAATGTTATGCATTGCCCCGAATTGGCAACAATGGCCAAGTGGTCCATGGTCACAAGGCTTATAGTGCATATGCAGTTTCTTTGATGCCTACCATCCTGATAGATGTACATGTTAAAATTGACAAGTGGTCACCAATGATAGCCACATTGTTTATTAGTCTTAGATGAGAGGTACCAACCGATAACTGACTGACTGACTGTCACGTGAATTAGACTTGCTTAAGTGTCACCCTGACCAAAAAGTTTGAAATATAATTACCCCTGATGCCACTGAATAGGCTGCATCTGGCCCATTGAGAAGGCCACATGCATGAAAATACTCCCAGTGATTAGGCTTTACCAGGCTTGCATAATATATAGTCTTGTTCTAATCTGATGGCCGCATCATAACTAACATCAGTGCTTGGGTTTACTCAATTTCTGTTGTATTTTTATTTTCTTTGGAGAAATGAAGTGAACTTATGGAAAGCTGAAACAGCTACATGCACATGTAGGTTTTGTTGTTGTATTGAAAATATAATGGCTGGAGTGAACTGAATGTGTTCAAACTTTTGTGAACTTGACATTGATATATAATATCAGTACACCCTATCTTTGCCATACCCTTGGTTGAGCTATTAAATAAAATGTAATTTTCCTGGTTCAGTACATGTATTTGCTGGTTCAGTAATTTAGTGATCAGAACTGTTTTATCTCCTTTCACCATTATGTGTACCTTCATAAGAAAATTGCTTAAATTGAAGGCCAATTTTTGGATCCAGACCTTGTGCACCAGCTGCAGCAGTCATCGTTGGTGGCGGTCTTTATTCAAAGCCATTGAAACCGACAGTAGTCATCATACGGCACGAACCGCCTTTATGCATGAAATGATATACAGAGTGGAAGTCCAACTTTAAAAAAGCAGCATGAATAGCGCCCTCATTCGGTTTTATTGAAGTTCAATTTTGTTGAGCCAGCAATATCCCGTTATCGTTACGCATTCCCTCCATCCCCAATGTTGGAAGTGAACACCTTGGAATTAAATACTCCAGCAGTTTCAGAAACCCACGATACTCATATTGGGGAAAAGAGGAACATGGAACTTTTCATGAGACGGAGCAATGAGTGTAGCATTTCATTAAACGCTGTACTTGTACTGGAACCAGAAATAGATGCAAAGTTTCCTAAAATGAGGACTCAAAGGGATGCAGCTTTGACGGTTTTATGGTGTCATTTGCATTGTGTGAGTTGCTATTGAATGCATTCTGTAGCCACAGGAGGTCAGATGTCAATTTTTCTTTGGCGACGAATTTGTCACCTTTGCATGACAACTTATTCACAGAAATGCTCAGTGATTTTGAAGAAAAAAAAAGCGTTAGTGTACAACATGCACTGTCCTGAAGTAGAAATGTGGTCCTGGAATAGGGGAGGGGCGGGGTTTTTCAACATTGGGAGGGTATCCGAAGATGGGGTGGGTCTGATACTGTGACCCGTTTTCAAAAATATTTTAAGTTTTTTTTCTTCTATAAGGACAATTGATACCAAAATCTGAAAGTTTTTAATTCCCAATAAATGCATTTGTACCCAATTCCGTTATTTAGGGGGCCTATACCGTCCTTGCCCTTTATGGGTAGAAACAAATAGATCAATGGCAAGTAATTCATGTAATGCACGTTAACCATTGTTTATGCTAAAAATAGCTCCCATAATCAGCGAACTGAATATTTGATGAAGATTGATGATGATACAAAGCTAGTTGATTTTATCAACCGTCGTACCGTAGTGTGTTGGCCTATAGTAACCCAGCAACGGGCCTCTGTGCTTCTAGACTTACGCCTTTCTGCGGTTATCGATAAGTTGAAATGATTCGATGATGTAGTTGTGTAACTAAACTCCAGTCCAACCAGATCGATGAGTCTTAGTTGCTGTTATTAAAGAGGATCAAGCGACCTTGGGATTTTGTGTGTAGTGTCCGTTTTCTCGACTGCGACAATTTTTTTCTCCTATAAGCTGTCCGTTGTCAATTTTTCCTGTGATACGAATGCATCCAGAATTTGATTCATTCAGGATGGATTCTTTGTAAGAAGCAAACCCGAACGCCTCTCACTTCCGCACAATTTCTTCCGATGGGCCTTCAGGCACGATAAACAAGTCAGGAAGACTTCATTATGCTCGTTACGTCAGTAAGAACATATGTGCCTTCTTAAAGTAAACCCTGTGAAATGTGACGTATACTGTGGTTTTGAAACATCAATATGATGACGTCATTGTGACGAAAACGGATGTTACTAAGGTCTAGTGGTTTTGATGTTCCTGATTGTAAATGTTGTCAATAATGGACAATTCAAATGTTGTTCACCAAGAACTCATCAAGACAAGGACAAACACGGCGTATTTTTTTCCTTTTACCCACATTTCCCAGTGTGGCATGATGCTAGATCTGTAAAAAAATCTAAACGTTGGCTTTTGGGGATGGGTAAAGGATTGACAAAAACTGTATTGAATGCAATTAAACGCAACCGCACGGAACGCAACGAGATAATGGGGAAAAAATCAAGTCGAATCATCCACAATGAAGAGTAGGCAATCTGAGGCAACTATCATTTAAATCAGTCCTTTCCTCTTTTACATTATTGTATATACAATTTATTCGTATATAATATAACTTCATATAGCAGTTTCACTGGCATAAATATACATACACACCAACTATGGACAGTTCACAATTGAATAAATATAGTACAAATTAAAAGCTTCGTTATATTCAGATTTCGAGCAATGTTCACAACTTAATACCATTTCGAAAATCATATCTTTTAGTAAATAAAAAAAATACAGACTCGTAAAAAATAAAATATGCAAAAATAAATATAGTGTAACATTCAGTCCGTGTTTACAATATCCTATCAGTGCGTTTCAAGACAGACGAGCGAAATTGTACACTAAATAAATATTTCCATTGAGTTACGGTGCCTGGAAGTTTCGGAAGATATTAACAGACACAACATGAATATATTATTTTTACACACAACATTTCTCTGTGCTATGGGGATTATCCTCACCCTATCAAACTCGTGCTATCATAGGCCTATAAGCAGGTTCGGAATTGCGAATGCGCACATAAAAATTGGACGATTTTGACGTCGGGATAAGAACAGCACATATTAAGTCAATGCCGGCAAAAGGGGCGCACCTATAATATATCTACACAACCTGCAAATTTGCATTCAACCAAAAGGATGAATGCATAACTTTACAAAATAATTGGAAAATTTTACGAGCAAGGTGTAAAATATGGTAAGTCCACCAACTTCGCAGAAATTTATTGTTTTCATTCTCGTTGGTATACCCACTTTGAATTTACACGCAAACTGCAGATTGTTAACTTGGCAAGAACGTTTTGTGCACACGTGATATAACTGTTTACATATCGTAATTCCGACTTGGTTTGTTGTTCTATATATAAATTAAAAACTAATTTAAACGTGGATAATAAGTACAAGTTTATAAGATTTGAGGCTTTGCATGGTGGGGTATCGGTATTGTTTCGGTTTTGCGGTAACACCATGTGGTAATAACTACTGCTTAGAAGATATTAGTTCTGAGAAGAACTTGTCCTGCTTATTATCAACTTGCTAAGTAGTTTTTTTTTGTTTTTTTTTGTTTTTTTGTTCTGTTTAGAACAGTCCTGCTGTAAGTTCTAAAAGAAAAAGAAAAAAAAGAAAAAAAAAAAAAAAAAAAAACTACTTAGCAAGTTGATAATAAGCAGGACAAGTTCTTCTCAGAACTAATATCTTCTAAGCAGTAGTTATTACCACATGGTGTTACCGCAAAACCGAAACAATACAAGTACAAGTTTGTCCTATAACGTCAGAGTTAGCTGAAACATTTAGGGGCCCAAATCGCACACTAATAATACTTTCAATAATGAAGAAAAATTTAACCACTTTTTTAATTATTAAACTGACTGGGAAACGAGACAACAATCTTGGACCAGGAGTTTTTACTACATTGAAGCAGATATGAGATCAAATAGCTCACGAAGACCTTTATTATTACGTCACATGAGACGTAAGCAATTGCCCTGAATCTTAGGGCAGCCTTTTTTGATTCTTTGGTTCTCATTACCGACCGACTAATTTGATTTAAAAAAAAAAAGTATTGCCGGAGACCCTGTTTGGACCCCGGTCCAACTAACAAAACAATTAACAAGTAGCAAAAAAGAAATGTATGAATCATTCAGGCAATCAGGCTGTGTGTTATATAAAAAACTATCGAAAAAAATAGTACCATTGCATGTTTTTACGCGAAGGACGGCGTATATAGCAACCAGTGTTATCGAGAAGATGCGAGGATGTTGCCTCTCATCATTATGGTGTCCAGTTTACTTTTAAAGCGGAATGGTATGTCATGGCTGACAACACAACACAAACCAAAACAACATTGCCAAATATGGCTGTATAACTTTGTTCCGCGATACACTTTGACACAAAATATTTAGGCACCTTCAGCCAGCAATACAGCCCACCTCATACAACAATAATTGTATGAAATTTGTAGCATGACATACACATTTTTTGTGTCGATTGTGACTACCTTAATGAGTAAACTATAGAACTGCAATAGGAAAAGGCACCCATGCCATTCGAACTCAATCGTGTTGAGATATAAGCCACGGCTAAAATCTTCAAGAGCTCCGATACTGATGAAAGCGGATCAACTGAAATAAAAATTACGCGCAATCTGCAGCATCCCTTTTTTCGTATCATTTCCACCCAAACACAGTAGCTTTAAGCTTTTTACTAATTGGAGATTTTTGTCATTCCATTTTCAATTACCACTCTCCAAAACGTCGCATCGCCTTCTATGGACCAAAATCACAAAGTCAGATTCTTAACCGTTTCGATTTGAATAAACTATACGATGTAGGTGTTACCATTTTAGGAGTGTTCCATTTCTTCAATTTTGCACGCATTGGAATGAATATCAAGAATATCACAAATAATCTAAAATTATTATGACTCTGAAGGCGCGGTTCTACAACCAATATTTTTTTTGGGGGGGGGGGGCTAGCACGGTGGATCCAGAATTTTTTCAGGGAGGCGTGCTGAAATGTTGACCGGTTATTTTTTCCAGACACTTAGGCCTCCGAGAAAATCAATAGGTAGGGGGGGGGGGCTCATGCCATATTTTAAATGGGGAGCGCCAATACAATCATAAAATCATTTTTTTACGGAATTTATTTTTGGGGGGGGGCTAGACAAAATTTTGGGGGGGCTACAGCCCCCCTAGCCCCCCCCCCCCCCCCCCCCCCCCGTAGAACCGCGCCTGTGACTCTGTATTTCGGACCAATTTTTCCGACTTTGTAGTTCTACTTGGTTTCAGAATTGAATACATATGAACAAGGACGGGACCAGCTCCATTAGATTTAGTGTATCTGTTGAAAAGAGGAACAAGACAGTGTTTCGAGATTGGACTTTTTCCGCATGCATACGGTGATCTGATGCCATAGAAAAGACTGATTTGAGTGTGGAATATAGGTACACAGTGTTTGGCCCGCCTTGTTCACATGTACGGCTATTTCTCATTTGCGATCACCTACGGTACATCAGTTACTTTCGGTGGACTCAGAGCTGTGGCTCCTGCTATTTCGAAGATTACTTCTACTCCTTGATGCAAAGGATGTGAGAGAGCGCAGATCTTCTGGCTGCATGGAGTGTCTGCGGTCCAGTTTCAAGCTCCTGCAGGGGCTGGAGGGTCCTGACCGAATCGCTGGATCCCGGATGCAGCCGATGTCTGGTAGAGGCACACTAGGGTTCACCTTGAGAGGAGGTAGTCTCCCGGGCCTGGTGTGTGCCAGTTCATCGTCCAAGACGAACGGTGCAGAGCCCCTTCTCTGCTTAAAGCACTGCCTACGATGCCTAGCGATCAGACTCGCCGGTGCGTCCGCGAGTCCTTCCCGTGGAAGGTTGCCCCTATCCGAACCTGCCAAGCCGTTGGTGTCGCAGTCCTCATTTCCAGAATTATTTTCATCCTCACTGTGTTCAGTTTCCTCCAGGAGATCGCACTGACTACCTTGGAGTTTAGGGCAGCTCGTTGCTGCGTAGGATGAGGTTGTCGATAGCTGTTGCTGGCTGCATGACAGCTCCGAGGGGATAGTGATGGAATGGACGGTTTGGCTCTTGCGAAGCGGCGGTGGCATACCGGGGAGCGACCGCCGCCGGTTTGCAAGAATGGCAGTCATGGGCAATATGTTCTTGGTCGTTTCGACGCGCTCTTCTAGAGGATTAGAATTAGTGGCGGCTAGCTGCTGTTTTGCCGTCAGGGGAGGGATGAAGTCAGGTGATCTAAGTCCTTGCAGGGAAGAGGTGTTGAAGGCTTCTGCACTCTGTCGGCGGAGTAGCCTTCGCGGATGAGGTGGTTGCTGCTGATACTGCGGCGGGCTGGGTGTCCGATCCCGGAGATCCTGGAATTGGAGATGAAGGTCTCCAAGACTCTTAATCGATGACAACGAAGGCGAACTCCCTCTAGACGTGAATTTCTCATGACTTGGGGAAGAAGCTTTTCCGTCATCGGCTGGAGTTGAAGAGTTTATACTTTGGATTTGCCGATGATTGAACAGAGTGGAGGTGGAGGTTTGGTTATCTGGTGGCTCTTTCGGTGTTAGACGGTTCCGTGGCGACTGCGTTCGGGAAGGCGCCCCTTCCTCGGTTTCAGAGCCGTCAAGAGATCTGGCTCGTTCTAGGCCCGGAACACAAAGCTCGCTTGGTACATTGACAGGTGAGTCGTCTCGAGCTTTTCTTGATATGGGCTGCGTCGCTTTACGCGGTGACTGCAAAGTCGAAGAGGAATCTCGGCCGAAGTAAATCTCTGAAGGCGTGATGCACTTGCAAAACGGTGGGCTTTGTGGTAACGTTGGAGGTACGTCCAAATACTGCTTAGTCTCCGGTTCGCTAGACCCCAAGCCTTTATTGGTAGTGATAATAATGACCTCTTTTCCCTGCGCTTTGCAAGCATCTACCAACAACCTCAGGACGCCTGGCTCTCCAGCGTTGACGGCATAGACCAGGGCCGACGAACCCTTCTTATCCACAATCCGGACGTCGGAGTCGCAGTTCAGCAAGGCAGAGACTACCTCTGTCCCAGCGCGCTCCAAACAGGCATACATCAAGGCAGTCCTTCCATATCGGTCCTGAACATTGGGATCGGATTTGTTCTCTAGGAGGAACTTGACAATCTTGGACTTGGTAGTACTTTGGGTATCTTTATAACTGCTCAGACAAGCCACCATGAGTGCTGTGCGTCCCTCATCATTTGTCTTATTCACGTCTGTCCCGCCTTCGATTAGGAGACGCATCAGTCGTAGTCTCCCCAACCAGGCGGCTTTTAATAATGCATTGCCGTCGGTTTGAATCAGCGCCGTCTCCCCCAAAACGCGTTCGGGTTTCGAAGTCATTTTGACGATCGTCACCGCTGGCACGACGGATATTGGATAGTCCTTCATGAGAGCGGTAAAGTTACGAATGGACAAGAAGAAAACTATCCGCTCCTAATCTGCCACCAATATATACGTACCGGTATGTGGCTAAGTGATGGCTATCTCACTAGAAAATTATGTTTTACAAAGACGGTAGCTGGCTACCGACTTGCTCTAAGCAAGTGCAGTCTAGGTTATATCACATGAGTTGGCATTATCCGTCAAATGAACGAGTAGGGAAGCTGCGACTATTGGCAATCCGTCATGCTACAGTAATACGATGTGAGCCAATAAACTCCGCATCCACAGGGAGATTGCGCATGTAACGTGGCTTACAATGTTTCCCACAGTGATGTAGGTACTTACGGTTGATGTGACAGGAACGTCACATTCACAATAAAGTCAAATACAATTTCTGGTGAAGGTTCTCTTGTCATTCCGCTTATCGTGGGACCAGTCTGTGAGCCATCATCCAAATAAATACACATTATGATAATCTCATAGTGTTCGTTGACGTCAGGGTTCCTAACCTGACAAGTCCTTGTCAAGACGAACCTGGTAACACCACTCTTTCGAAAGCACATGTGAAGTCATAGCATTGGCCGTCCACGTGGTTGTCATACCCTTGGCAGCGTGTAGCTCCGAATGGTCCAGTTTATACGAATGACCTTATCTACTTCTCCAAACACGGCGAGCACGCACGATTTCTCCGTTGCACAATTCCTAACATCCTTACAACACAGAAATCAATGGTCTGATGATAAAGGCTCATGTAGGTTCACTCAACTTAAAATCGTGCCACACTTATCGTACCCGGATAGCGAGTCCCGCGTCCCGAAATCACCGTGCCCACGGTTCTGTGAAACTGCGGGGTTGGGGGAATAATGTCCGCACTGATGATTATCAGTCGGGAGAAGTCACTGTGCCGTGATCGTCCCTGAAATTCCCCGGACACCGAGCGTTTCCGCGTTGTCGACGCCGGTAGACAGTTCTTTAAATGCCATGCACTCTGCCCTGGAGCTTAATGGACTCTACCGTGAATATTCATCACGTGGTCGATGATCGTATTGATGTTAGCCCTCCATTTCAGACTTGTTGTAGATTGTTCACCTTCTGCCGACGTCACGATGACGACACGACGCCTCACTGTCCAGCTCATATCGGTTGACGTGGTCGTCAAACCTTCGAAATAATGACAGGAAAACGAGTACTTATTTATTTGGAATCAACGATGCATCTTAGCCTTCTATTTTCGTCAGGCTTCCTAATAATTTGATTGGGAATACAAACTTCAGTCCATGGGCGTCGCGAGGGGGGGGGGGGCAAGGGGGGCACTTGCCCCCCCCCCCCCCCCCCCTGAAAAGCAAAAAAAAAAACTAAAAAAAAAAAAAAAAAAAGAGGCGCGAAGACAAAGTGGTGTAAATTTAATGAGTTGGGGGAGGGGGGCAAAATGTCCCTGCCCCCCCCCCCTAACACTGATAAATCGAGAATGTGTTGAGAAGTACAAGCATTTTTTGGCAAAAAAAATGTTTGCCCCCCTTCTAGAAAAAATCCTGGCGACGCCCATGCTTCAGTCATAACTACTGGCGAATGCGGGAAACCGTAAGAATGAAGAAGTCAAAGACAAGTCATGGTCGAGAGATCGTGTGACACGTTCTCACCGTGTAAACCTATTTCTGAGATTTTAATATCATTGGCCAAATGCACGCATTTTCATCCCCGATTTAATATATTTATTTAAATATTATTAAATATTAAACATTCAACAGTAACTATTAGATACAAGTCAATTTTATTCGCTCATAAAATGTATATGAGACATTAAATGAACCTTAGAAATTTTTTTAGTCATGCTCGCTTACATTGTAGAACTTTGCAGTCGTATCTAAGATTGATCAATTTGCAACATAAAAAAACCTCTCCGGAAATCGCGCTTTTTCGGCGTGGCAGATTCGCTAGATTGTGAACTCTAAACAGAAACAAATCAATACTTGATTGACATTCCATGGAGATCAGTGGTAACAAATTGAAGCCGGAACATCTGTTATCGAAGCAAACAGCATAATGTGGAACCCATACTCTGTAATACATCATACTCGTTCCTGTTATACTCGCTGCGAGCGCGTTGCCCGCAGCAACGCAAGTATGCGCGTAAGCCAATCCATATAACAGCGCGCCAACAGACATTGCAAAACAAACATTATGGAGTTTGCCAATTTATGCTTATTATATGTCGTTATCGTAATTTAAATACAAAAGCGTCTGGTCTAGTTTGCTTGAAAAAAGAAAGTCAAGTTCAAATGTACTTTTCATTGTATTTGTTTCAAAACTCACAGGTCTGTATCCAAACCTTTCCGGCAACTAGCACCGCAGTAAATATCGCCATCATGCACGTATTCTTCCCCCACGCAAAATGATTGAACGTCAAAATGACATCGCCTCGAACGCGTGAAACCAAAGTCCATTAATAACTTACGTCTGCAGAACTAGGAGGCACTTTGTCACGAACGCTGGTCAAACATAAAACAATGCACTCACATCAAGATGAAAACCTCTTATACTGATTTTCATCCCCCACCTCTTGTATGGACTGGAGAGTTTATATTTTTGCATTCGCCCCTTCTATGCTTGGGCTCGCTGAGGGAGTGTTAGACTTGATTTCAACTCGGTAAACCTTCCTGTCTAGTGCCCCATTATCTAGTGCGTGTCTACCTGCATGGAATTAAGAATCGCGCATTGGGGTCGAGGACAAGCACCGATCCCCTTGCGATAACGGTATGCCTATATAGCCAACATTGCCGTTGCAATATTGTCTATAATAATATTTGCCCATAATTGCTGTTACGCGACCGGAGGTATATCTTATGAACAAAGCCCAACTCAAATTACCTGCGCGATATCAAGTCCAGGGAACCGACCACAGCACAAGCCCGGGCCAACTCGCAATGCATTAATGCGGAGGCCGGTGGTAAATTGCTTTTGTCAGCTAGGGTGGTGCAAATAGGCTGTGCATGCTTTTTTAATGAGCGTCGACAGAAGAGTTCTAAGGAAACTCTTTTTATCATTCCGAAGAGTAAATATAGAGACCCAAAGGTAGTGTAGTCGGGGAATGGAACTGAACTAGAGCGTGGGTGTGAGTTCACATCTTAGTAATTCACTGCAATCGTCTAGTGAACCTTCAGAGACACTTTGGGTACGCCCAAACTTTGAGCTAGTTAGTAGTTATCTAACGTGATGACCTTTGCGAATGCAAAGGTAGCCATTTTCTCCGGGGGGCGGGGGGGGGGGGGAGTTCAATTAGTGATAAGTGACCGGCGCAAGGAACCCACAACCATCCACTGTAGAATCTGTAGAATTACCCACACGATCATAATTATTTTAGTGTCAGGTACGGACTACTACATGACGCCACAGTATTTGTTGTCTTTTTTTTTAATGATAAAGCCCTGTCCATACTAAACGTATATTTTCCAAGGTTTGTTTAATTTGATAAATCCTATAGTATATGCCTACCTTCGTCACTATACGTTCGTTCTCATTTGACGTCATTTTCACCAGGTTATCTCCCGATCATTCAGTGTACTGACATAATTATTAGCATTAGATGTCTGGTTACCGGATTTGTACACATTATCAACGTTCCAACTAGTTCACGACGTTGTTAAGCGGAACACTATAGGTCCTATATGGAATTCAGCATTACCACCTGTATTACATTGTAATAATGTATAAGGCCTACAGTTTATTCACCGAGGAATCCATACAACCACAGAGCGCAGCACTCGGGCGGTTTCGGGCGCTGGGTAATAGGTACAAAGGGCGGTTTCGGGCGCTACAGTGAGTGACTAAATGAACTTGAATATAAAACTACCTGCGAAAATGTCATGTCTTTCATCATTATCCACTGTGATTGGTTCTCAACTTGTTTTGCTGAGCATGCTGTAGTGTTACGTATTGGACTGCTTAGAATTCGCTCGTATACCCTCGCCCTGCAAACAGGCCGCTGGGAAGGGCTAATGAATTCACGCTCTGATTGGATAGATTTTGCGTGACCTGAGACCGGCAAGTCATCACGGCCACGACCCTGCGAGGTTTTAAACGGCCGTTAAGACTGAGTCATTCATCACTCTTTTATTCCCATTTATAAATGCCCTTTTTTTTCGTTGAAAAGCGTAATAATGTAGGGAAATCTGTACAAAAAAACTGATTTTGTAAATGTTCAACTCCCGTCAGTTGCTCAAGCTCCGTTTCGAATTCACGAAGGGTCGAAATGCATATTATTCGACGCTCAAAATTTGTCCACATGGTCCGCAATGAAAAAGAAATCACATCCGGTATGGTGTGTATGCATTTCTTTATGAGAAAGTTTTCGGATAGCATTTGCGCGCATTGGCTAACCGCAGTCTTATATAGCTGCAGCCAGATGCTTTATAGGTCATGATAAATTACCCAGAATGCCATCCCCACTTCCTTCACAAGATTCTGTGAAGCTCATCAGCCCTTCCCAGCCTGCGCTCTGTTTGCAGGGCGGGGGTACGAGCGAATGCCTTTGGAGCCCTAGGTTTAAACTCAATCATTGTGGAGCTGCGGGGCTGGTAGCAAATGAAAGAATATGCAAAATTCCCTTTCGGATCCATCTAGTTGCTCGTATAAAATGGGGGAACTAACGTGATGTTGAAGGGTGAAGAAAAAGGGCACTGCTGGAGTGTGGCTGTAGGGGAAGTTGTAGAGGTTTGATTGTCTTCAATTCTAATAAAGAGCCGAGTATAAAAACTATCTTACAAAAGTCGTATTTCATTAATGCAAAATGAAATTTGCATAATAAATTATGTATATTATGCACCTATTCAACCCGAGCAATATTGGTATAGCCTTCGTTCGATGTGCAGCGCACAGCATGGAGCGCGGTATACGCGTATATACGATCATGGCGTTCGTGAAACTGGAGACTAAAACCATATTTGTCGTGCCCAACTCGGCAAATGCTTGCTTGTATTTGCAACTAGTAGCTGATTCCGTTGACAAGCATGCGTTTCCTTCCACTGTCAACAAAATGGAAGGTTCTGTGTTTTTAACGTTCCGTCGTTATTGATAATCCTGTTTCCCGGATTTGTCCAAAATAGGTCATGCGCTTGAAGAGCTTTGGAGTATGTGTACTAAGCTGCCGCGATCAAATCGATCACGTGCCTTTAAAAGGGGGAAAATAACCACCAGTATTGGATAAAACTGGGGCAATTATATCCCTAAATGCATATGACATGAGCAAGAAATGATTTATGATTGCTAGAGCGGTTCCATTTATCCCTCGTCAATTTGCCCGGGAGAATTTTTTTGTCGTTCTAAATCAACACACCTGTCATGTTTGGATCGAATGACGATCGCCAATGAACATGGAGACAATGGCCAGGCCGTGACGACGGCTGTTACATGTTCATAGTTAGATAACTTTTAGAGCACGGGCCAATCAAAGAACTGATAACTATGTTGTTCGATAATACCGCCAAATTTAGCAATATGTTGAAGAAGTGCCTTGTTATAAGGTTACCATGATAAGATATAACAACAGGCAAATTCCATCATCTTGTATTAATAAGACTCCAAACGTATGGAATTGCCGTGTAATTAAACCCAAGATTTAGTTCCCCTCCAACGATGAACAAATTGTGCTCATTACTGTGATGTGAGCCCTCCATTTGCCAATAGACATAAACACAGAACCTTAATATAGCATCAGTTAGTAATGTTATTTGTTATTTCGGAATTTAAAATATTGTTTGTTTTATTTATGCACATAATTATAATGTTTCTTGGACCACTGACAACTGATGCGTGCAATTAGACGACTGTTTTAGCAGCAATGTAAATCCATTCAAAATCAGGAAGCGGCCGTCTGGACGAATCGTCTTCCCTTGCGTCTTCCTTGCCTAGCAACGGAAATTAAAAATCTTGAAAACACACTTGTGCTTGTCATGCGGCGTGGAGCGAACGTGGATTACCAATCATCGTTTGGGAAAAATAAGTTATTACCGACTTGATGAGCACGTACCACGAAAGGGCAAACGAATGTTGATGTTTTAAAACGATGATGCATGATCATGATTCAGATATTATTAAACCGGAACTAGTTGTTTTATCGTGATGAGTCCCTGCCCCTCCCCTCCCACACATCATATTA